TCTGACGATGGATCTGACGATGGATCTGACGATGGATCTGACGATGGATCTGACGATGGATCTGACGATGGATCTGACGATGGATCTGACGATGGCTCCGACGATGGAGATGATGGAGATGACGGAGATGATTCAGAAGATAGCGGTTCAGACTCTTCCTCTGCCTCCGCCTCCGCATCTGCCTCGTCAGTTGCCACTCCAACATCCTCTTCCGGTGCCACAGCAACTAGCTCTTCAGCCGCTCAAGCATCCGATGATGGAGCTGACGATGGAGATGATGGCGACGGCAGCGACGATGAAGATGATGGAGCTGACGGCGATGACGGCGATGACGGCGATGATGGTGATGATGGTGATGATTCAGGAGACGACTCAGGAGACGATTCTGGAGATGACTCCGAGGACGATTCAGACGACGACTCTGGGGATAGTGGCTCAATTTCTTCCTCTGCGTCTGCGTCATCACTTGCCACGCCAACATCGTCCTCTGGTGCTACGGTAACCAGTTCTTCAGCTGCTCAAACGTCTGATGATGGATCTTCTGATGGAGACGACGGTGACGATGGCGACGATTCAGGAGATGATTCTGATGATGGCGACGACACTGGAGACGACTCCGGGGATGATGGAGATGATGGCGACTCCGGAGATGACTCTGACGATTCAGGCGACGATTCCGGTGACGGCGACGACTCAAATGATGATACCGGCGATGATGGCTCCGATGACAGTGGCTCAACTGATGCCTCTACCACTGCCACACCCAGTTCTTCTTCCATTGCCACTCCCACTAGCTCTCAAGCAGCCCAGTCATCGGATGATGGAGACGATGGAGATGACGGGGACGATGAGGATGACGGGGACGACGGAGACGATGGAGATGATGGAGACGACTCTGCAGATGGTTCCGATGGCGATGATACCGGTGATGATACTGGTGATGATGGCTCTGATGATAGTGGCTCAACCGGTGCTTCTACCATTGCCACGCCTAGCACCACTCCAACTTCTGCTTCGTCCGTTGCTAGCTCTTCGACTGTCGCCAGCTCTTCAGCCGCCCAGCCAACTGATGATGGATCAGGTGATGGCGATGATGGTGAAGACTCGGGTGACGACACTGGAGATGATGGCGATGATGGCGATGGCGGCGATGACGGGGACGATTCAGGCGATGATACGGGTGATGATGGCTCCGATGACTCTGGAGACAATTCAGGAGACGATGCTGGCTCTGATGACACCGGTGATGATGTCACCGATGACTCTGGAGACAATTCAGGAGACGATGCTGGCTCTGATGACACCGGTGATGATGGCTCTGATGACACTGGGGATGATTCCGGGGATGATTCAGATGGCTCCGACACTGGCTCAGCTACCACTACGACTCCTTCGCCCGCTGCAAGCTCAACCTACGCTTCTCCGGCAGCTAGTCCAAGCGCGGCCGTCAACGGCGAGCTGTGCAGTCCCCAGTGCACTGAATGTCTGTCTAATGACTTAACCGATACCTCGAGCACCTCTTTCAGACGGTCCGGTCTGTTCAGCAGAGGACTGACGAGGAGGCTTTCCAGCTACCTGACCTGGTTGCTCGATCAGATGCGATCTGGCCAGCTTCTCGCCAAGGACACCAGTGGTATGTCCAGCTCCGAAACCGTGGTCTTTGGCAGCGGCTCTACCATCTTCAGTCAGACCAACATCCGTGGATGCACCGTCCTCATGGTGGTATCCAAGTATGCCGTCTACCAGGCCCACCTCTGGGAAGCCCCCGGCTTTGTCACCAACCAGAACGGCACGGTCGCCTTTGATGAGCAACAGTTCCAGACCACCATCCTCGACTTCCTGACCAACGACCCCAATCTCAAGATGCCCCAGCTCGCCGGTTCCACCGCGTATCCCGACGCCGGCACCCAGGTCTACATCGGCACGCCGATTGCCACCACCGGACAAGGCGCCAAGTACGCATCCCAGATCTCGGAGGTCGTCTCCACTGTGAATTCCGTTCTCGGACTGTCAACCAGCCCAACCGAGTACTACTACACGACCACCAACTCTGACGGAGAGGGCAAGTGGCTATTCAAGTACAACGCCAACACATGCAACAAGCCAGTATGGCAGATGTGGTACGGCGACGTCGCCGACAATGCCTTGTGGTCTTCTAGCGAGACCTCCTCTTGCGCTACGTCTGCTTCCGTGACTCCTGCCCGGACCGCCTTCCCTGCCTCTACCGGGGCGTCGACGTTCATGATGCTGCCAAAGACGACAGCAAGTTATTAATGAAGCTACAACTGTAGCTACGTATGAGCTATTCTCATACTGTCCTTCCCTCAGTCCAACTCTGTTCTACTCTTTTCACTTTTCACTTATTTTCTGACTATCCTTCACCTTGTTTCGGCATTATTTTATTATCTACTGTCCAACTCGACACCACTGATCGTTTATCCTCCTGTGTACATTAATACACTACCTCAGACAGGCAATTCCATTTCGTGTATATACTAGAGTCCATCTTATAGACTTAGGGCATATGATTCTGCGACCTGAAGAAAGCCTTCGAAGATATACCATGTCCTGGAATACCTCAGACAAGTCAAATTCCCTCAATGAAACAAAGAAGATCACCCAAGTGATCTAAACACAACTATCAACAATACCTGTTTGGAGATACAAAAATGACCTGTCATTAGCATCAGAAGCAAATCCAAGTAACCGGGTAAACATTATCGTCAATAATGCTGTCCTAATCAACAGCTACCCAATGATTCCCATTTAATAGCTCACTCCACTTTTCCGCAGCGCAACCACGACCTACACGCTCCACATCCAGCTGCATGATGACGAGGAGGGAGGGGTAGAGGGGTAAGCCGCATACAGCCATAGACATAGACATAGATATGTATTCCCCTCTATCCCATCTGAAGTCTCCAATAAAGCACTGCATTTTGGAATATAAACAACAACAACCACACACAACTCCAACCTCACCACCTCTCACTCCAACACCTCACCTCACCTCACCTCACCTCACCCACCACCAACCAACCACCCACCAACAAAGCGAAGAAAAAGAAAGAAAAAAAGCAAAATGCCCTACCGCATCCTCCTCCTCGCCCACCGCAAACCCACCCTAACCCCCACGACCTTCCACACCTACTACGAAGCGCACATCGAGCTCCTAAGACATCTCACAGGGGATGCCTTTCCCCTATCCCATCGCCGGAGCTACATTGCTCGCACCACCTCCACCTCCACCTCCCCATCGTCCACCTCTTCATCTGCTCCCTCAAGCAACGAAATCAACGCAACGCACCCCGCCACAATCCTCATCGGCAACCAAACGACGTTCCCCTTCGACGCGATAGCAGAACTGACATTCGAGGATCGGGACGCGTTTGAACGGTTCACAGCGAGGGTGCAAGAGCCGGAGAATGCGCGGTTGATTGGGGAGGATGAGGCGCTGTGGTCGGATACGGGGCGGTTGGGGATTGTGGTTTTGGGGGAGGTGGTTGTTACGGGGAGGTAGTTTGTCTTATTGGGTTGGGTTGGGTTGGGTTGGGTGGTTGGTATTGTGGGGGTGAGAGGGTAGTTGGTTTGTGGTATTGTTGTGAGGTTGGTGGTTCTGGAGGTTGATAGTATACAGGTGAATAGAATAGAGAAAATAGATTGTGATGTTTCGGAGTTGGGTTTAGGTGTAGGTAGCTTGATGGCTGACTTGCAGGGGGGAGGTGAGGGGTAGGCCGTGCGTGCGCTGTCTGACCACCCTATGCGCTGTCTCTCGAAAAATGGGCCATACTCCATGAAGGTCAGAATCCATACAGCATCACCGACTGTTCTCAGTTGTAGTGCCCCTGAAGGCCCACATTGTAAGTATATCAAAAGCCCTAAAGATTTTAGTCGCTGGAATAGATGGTGTATCTAACACGAACGTCCAAGTAGCTGCGATAAAACCCGAAAGTACCCAAAATGGCCGACAGTTCACAAACACAAATGGAAGGAGAGGAGGCAATGGTGCAAGGCAGACGTTGAGACACTCGAGCAACTTAGATTTTAACCAAGGATGTACAGGAAGGTGAGACGACTTTAAGAACGAAAGTATGATTGGACTAGTAGATGAAATTATTCGCAGAGGATCCTGGAGATCAACAAAGCTCAAAACAACTGACCGGTAGTTTACTCATTATTGCTGATACTGAATGCTTCGCGGAGCCGATTATCATATTCTTTCTTATCTGCTAGCTTGCGTCTTGCTATGCCCACTGTATCTGTCGTCCAGTACCATGGCATTATTTCATGAAATGCGCCATGGTCGGGGCAATGTTTTGTCATGATCGGTTGGATATGTTTGTGAAACAACGAGAAGATTCCTGTGGGACTGGTTAGGGCGAGACTGAACCAGAAGGTACCGGATTCCCAGGTTTGGTTCATGATACTAGACACACTCTCTGGCTCCAAGGTCAGTCCAGTATCCTTTAGAGCTCGTTCTTCCTCTTCTAGGATGTTCATAAACTCCAGCCGGATGTCGTTATACTCCGCTGCATCCATCTGATCCACTGCTTTGTTTGTAAACCAATGCGGTGGCTGGATCATCTCCGCTGGCAAGGAACATCCCCACTCTAGATCTATCAGGCACGTGATATGCCAGTATTTATCAACCAGAATGTTGCTTTGATGGAGATCGGTGAGAGTGAAGAAGAATGGTCCCCGGCGAAGGTCGCGACGAAAGAAGAGTGGAAATATGGCACGCATCGCAGCCAATGCCGATGCCTAATAAGCAAAGTCGGAGAGGTTGTTGATCGCATTAGGTTGATGCCGTAGTCGATTGTCATGGTAGGCGAGTGTGTCAACCACGTATGCATCGGTCGTACAGTACGTATAATCCCGAGGCATGTCTACTGGGATTTCTTCGTTTTCCAGGTCCTGGATTCCGAGAGATAGTGGTCGGTTCGTGTTGCAGAAAGCCGCGATTGTCGATGGTGAAAGAACCGATCTTTTGAAGAGGAATTTTGGCGAGACTGAGGAAGATCCGACTGAGATCACGGAAGAAATTATTTCGCAACTCCGAGCTCGTATGCTGCGTGGGCCACGTATTGGATAGCATAGATCCCTTTGATTCATCGATGTATTCGACCAATAGATAACCTGCTGGGGGTTTGTGGCACGGCATTAAATGTCGGCTGTCATTGCGGACATAGCATGAAGGCACAGGCAGCTTGAACAGTGACCGCAGCCAGCAACGTAGGCGGTGGATGCCGCGCATTAGAAAAGGCAGGCTCTCAAGCCGAGTGAACTAGACTCTGTTAGATGGCTGCTGCAGATCGCGAACCGTGCATACCGTTTCTCCTGTCGATGCAGCAAAGACATACAGCTTTGGGATAGGTATATCTGGACAGTTGGTCTCAATCCAGGCATAAGTAGCGGCCTCGCAGCGAATTTTCTCGTCGCCATTTCCGGGTCTGAACGCTTCACCGATGCAATACGGCAAGGGAATTCGAAGCAGAACGCGCTTGTTGCGTTGAAGGCCACCTCGCGGGTGACCCACAGTCACTGGAATGCAACATTAAAGCTTCCATGGAGCCAATCGCTTTTGTCAGCGACATGACAAGTTTTGGGCGAATTTAAGGACAGATGATGGGCCACGACGGCTTGGATCCAGTCCCGTCTGTCATCGAGCGAGGCAAAGAATCGAGCTTGCTGATCCGGGTACTGCAACCGATGCAGAAGATTTATTTCCTTTTCTTTGGCATCAGAATAAGTAATCTCCTCGCGTAATAATCGCAGTCTATGTGCTGTCATGGCGGCCATGGCTTTTGTGGGAGTTCGAGTTTCAACGACTGAAACCGGGAGAGGGGTGGGAACCGTGGAGCCCCGATTTAAGGGGGCTGGGCAACTTTCACCAATCAAGAGGTTCCGATGTGATTAGTCAAGCGTAACCATGCGCTGGTTATCCCGGTTATCGGACAATTGCCCGAGTAAGCTGGGAGCGCCGAGTCGATGCGACAAGGCCGCCATGTAGATGGAGGGTAATGAGAAGATGATTGATAATTAACTTTGCAAATCCAGAGTACAAGACAAGAAATGCCCAGGAGCATGAGGATAGGCCCAGTAAAGCAAAAGACCGATACGGCTTGTGTGCAGTGCTAGCATCACGGCCTGCCCTGACCAGGCTCTGCTACCCCGAGTTATCCACATCCACCAAGTGTATATGCCACGGCTATTGTGCATGATAAAGCCTCGCTAGCCCTTACACTCATTGACAATTTGCCGCATCCTAGGCTTGTGTAGGCAGGTGCGAGTAACCGATGGGACTGTCCACGTATTCATCAAGCGCGTCCTCACTTGGCCAAACGATTTTTCCAGAGTTCTTCCCACCCCTAGGCACCTTGTCAGATTTCTCCGGATCATGTGTTGCGTCTGTCAGGACGAAATTCTCTTTTCCGTTGGTGTATCCATGCGATGCCACGTGAAATTCCCGCTGCACTTGATCATCGGTTTTGAATGCGAAGGTGCCATGCCAGCCTTTCGGATCTTTGACACGCTTGCCTTCAATGGTAGTAGTCTCATGCAAGTCCGCTCTGAATAATCACCACTAGTCAGTAATGGAGATTGCATAGGTCATTCATATGCTATCGAAGTTGGCTTCAACCAAGATACCGCCAAGTAGCCAGAAAGACCCTGAGAGTGCTTGTCGCCGGAATAAGTGAGCGAAACCAACCGAATGAGAATTGCCCGAGGAGCCAGCTGTTGGTCTCGAGCCGTTGCATAGGCTAGGGCTACAAGTGCCTTCTTACGAACGGCGCTGATCGTATTGCCTTCGTAGAAGAAGAATCTCACGAAGTTGATACCCTGAGCAGCGGCCATGTCCAGGGAACGAAGATAAAAAAGAGACGAACAAATGGATGATACAAGAGAATAGATGGGTTTCTCGACATGAGAAGAGGAAAGTATGAAGTTGAAAAGTCGAAGAACTATGATCTGTCTTCAAGAGAGGGGGAATGATAGATGTGTTTGAACCAAGACAAAGTATTGACGGTGACCAGAGGACCATTGCGCTTTCTTTATAACGCCTACAGCAGAGGAGGGAAAGTATCAGCTCAAGCTCAAGGAAAGAGGGGGAATGCACGAGTTAGCCAGAAACATCACCCATGATGTGGGGACATCGCGCGGCGGCTAGAGATATGCGCTACCCGTATATCTCATTGGGGAAACGAACAGGGCAAATGTCATGGTTCGCGATCCTGGATGTATGCTCGAACCTATGAAATCAATTGCTTGTAGGCGGATGGCGCCCATGCCCGGGCTTTCATGTGATCGAGTCCATACTGTTGACGCAAGTCTGGCCAGATCGGATAAAGCCATTGATCCATGCTGATACTAGGCGGCTACATCCCAGCGAACAGACCTATGGCCGGCCACAACGTGGGAGTAAAAGGCGAGGGGTAAGACCCCCTTTGGCAGGGATCCAACATGTCGCTCGCATTAGCGATGTTGATTGTTTGGATGAAACTGACCAGCTTGCCTGGCGGCTATAAATGAACGAGTAACGACAGGCGATCCGCAGCTTCGGTGGCCAAAGCGTCCCAGCCCGTGACCTTCCTGATTAGGTTTAGCCCGTCTCCCAGTCACGACGCGAGGGGAATACTACTGCGGACGTTGCTTCCGTCACTCGGTGGTTTCTGCTGCTCTGACCAGCCTCCATTTCTTCGCTCACGCCTAGCCAGGCTTCAACAGACGAGCATCACGTCTATGTGCAATGGCGTGCTGCTCCAAAATAACTGCCAGCTCTGTCATCCCATTTTTTTCACCATTCAGGTCCCTTCAGGTGCCAACCTCCCGGTTACACCCACTTCTTCTTATCCGCCGCTATCAGGGGCTTCAATATAACTCAAAATTCAGCTTCCCGTATTCAACTAAAACGATGTCATGTAGCGGTGAGATCGACGAAAGTGACTCTTTTCCCAAATACAATTGGATTGATGGGACCGAGTCGCTCGAAAAATACAGACCCGGGGGCTACCACCCGGTCATGATTGGCGATCTATTACATGGGCGATATCACATCGTCGACAAGCTCGGGTATGGGGGCTATTCGACTGTCTGGCTCGCTCGCGACACCCGCTTGGAACGTTATGTTGCCGTCAAAGTCGGCATCGCAAATTCACTTTCTCACGAGACCAAGACCCTGAGAGTACTCTCGGCGCCTGGCGCATCATCTTTCCATCCAGGGTTCTTATCAATCCCCTCTCCACTGGATGAATTCGAATTAACCGGTCCTAACGGAACGCATCCATGCTATACCATGACTCCCGCACGATGCAATCTTAGAGAGGTTTCTTACAGCCGCCTTTTCCCTCTGGATGTTGCACGTGCATTATCGGGTGGGCTTGTACTAGCTATTGCATATATACACTCGAAAGGGTATATCCACGGAGGTAGGTCAACTCAGAAGCCGATTCGACCTCTTAGCCCCTCCATCTAATCTCTATAAAGATATCCATCTCCGCAACATCCTAGTCAAGCTTCCGTCAAGCTTTGACAGTCTCTCAATTGAGAAATTTTATGAAGAATACGGAGAGCCCGAGATATATCCTGTAAAACAGCGTAACGGAGACCCACTTCCACCAAATGTTCCACCAAAGGCAGTATCACCGCTGTACCTAGGAATAAACGCTGGGGAATTTACCCTCCGTGATACGCAAATCCTCTTGGGTGATTTTGGCGAAGCATTCTCCCCAACTTTGCAATGTCGTCGCGGCCAAGATTGTCACACCCCATTCCCTATGCGGCCGCCCGAGGCTCGGTTCGAACCGCAGACACCCCTCTCTTATTCCGCCGATATCTGGAGCCTAGCGGTCGCGATATGGGAAATCCTCGGCATGAAGGCAATTTTCAGCATGGAATCACCCGAAGAGGAAGTAATAGCGCAGCAAATCCATGTTCTCGGCCCCATGCCAGGGTCCTGGTTCAGCCAATGGGAGGAGAGGGGAGACTTCTTTGAAGACGATGGACGTCCCGTCGAGGGCCAGGAGATATGGCCTGCAATGGAGCAAGCATTTGAGGAAGGGGTGCGGAAATATCGACAGAAGAAGCGAATGGCTGATTTCGATGACGAGGAGACAGCGGCGATTTTGGCTCTGATGCGGCGGATGCTCAAGTTTCGGCCGGAGGAGAGGTTGACCATTGACGAGGTGATGCAGTCCGAGTGGATGGTGAAGTGGGCGTTACCGGAGTATGAGCGGAGCTTACAGGCACAGAAGGAGCAGTAGAAGGAAATGAATTTTTCGTAGGTTGCATGGGCTGCTACCACTATAGTTAGACCATAATCACCTCTCTCTGTAATAATAGCATGCAATTTCGAAGTCCGCTTAACATTCTAGGGATTGGAAATAAGTGTTGTAGAGTTATTTGCGAAGCGCGCTAGCGCTGAGCAACTCTAGGTTTGCTCCTACTAGGTCTGTTGCCAGTCCATTCGCTTCTCATTAGTCTAAACATTTCACAAATTCAGCTTTCCATTCGCTTTTATCTTTCATGGATAACGTGACTTTTGTTCTGCCGTTTCCCTCTGTTGTTTTTTTTTCCCTTCTAGGCTTCAACTTTGTATTACTAGTACATTGTCCGCTGCTAGCCCTATGTGGGGCCCTGCGTGAGGCCCCGCGTGCCTCTATATAACGTGCAGAACTTGCGTACATTAATCATGTAATTTGGAGATATTTGTTGCCTGCTTTAGTAAGAAAATGCGCTTCGCAATGCCTTAAGCTGTGTGCGAGACCGTAGGTTGTGGCCCTAGTAAGAATCCCTATGAGCTAGTAGATAGATCACGCGACTTTCAAGTTCTGCCACAGGATGAGCTTTATCCTGATACCGCATAAACTTGACAATATTCATCCTCCCAACTTTCTTCACGAGCACCAACTAGTTCGAATATTGGAGGCTCTTGTCGTTTCTAGAGGGATATAAGGCCTTAAGACTTTACAGAAGAAAGCTTTTGATCTTCATTCAATTTGCCTATTTCCCATGACATAGGTCTAAGAATATGTGATAAACCTATGCGAAGTTAATAACCGCCCCTCGCCCGCGGCTTAGCGTTGCCCGTATTAGGAAACCATTAGATATCATTGACGATTTTTCCGCCGTCTCGGAACTCAAAGGGGGCTTTTCCAACCCTGTCGTGACAATGAACCTTAGCATTGTTCATGGCTGAGGCTATGCTATAACTGTCATATATGGCAAGTGTTGCAGGCCAGCTAGTTCGCCACCTCCTTAGCAAACTCAATCAACAACTTGTTCACAAGCTCCGGCTCCTCCAACTGCACCCAATGACCACAATCCACTGACTCGATTCTTGAATCAGGGGCATTCAGCTGCGTCATCAATGTCCCCGCCTCCGCGCGACAGATATAGTCCTGCTTAGCGGCAATGAACAGATTCCGCACGGGACACTTGCCCTCTCCTTCCGCAATGCCCTCCTCGTCCTCGTTATTGATCCCGCGGATCATGGCCTTATACCACGACAGGGGGCCGGAGTATCCGCCCTTCGAGAAGACACGTTGATGCATGTCATAGTCCTCTTGCGTGAGCCAGGGAGCCAGCGGGGTTGTGCGTCCAGCGCGGACCCACTCGGCTGCCTTGTCCCGGGGACAGATATCCGTCTTCCAGATCAGAGGGTCTTGGGGGAAGATCAAGCTGAACATGGATTCGGGCTACTTTCGTTAGTTGGATTCAGAACAAGCAAAGGATCGACATACGTTGGCTTCAATCTCGGCTGCGGCTGTGTCGCTGTTGTGCCAGATCCAGTATCCGTGGGTTTCGTAGCCGAACACGGCCTTGGTCCGTTCCAGAACCGCATCTGTGGACTGTTAGTCTTCATGAAAGCTATTAAAAGGGAGTCGACTTACCGAGATTAAACTTTCCGCCCGGTGCAATATACGCCACGGCCATAGTTACGAGACCGTAGAATCGGTCAGGATGGTAAAAGGCCAGTCGCGAAGCCAGACCAACACCCCTGCCATTGTTAGTGGAATACATCTCCTATGAAAAGGCACTCACCAATCATGCGCAACCAGAACAGCGCGCGAGACTTTCTCGACATCCAGAATCTCGACCATATGGCTGCTCATCACCTTCAACCGATACGCCTGCAAATCAGTAGGCTTGTCCGTGTCGCCATATCCCAAGAGATCGGGAGCAATGACTCCGTATCCGGCCTGCTGGAGAGCCGTGATCTGATGACGCCAGTCATACGAGGTGGAGGGGTAACCGTGGAGGAACAGAAAGGTGCTGTTCCCGGCCGATGCGGGGATGGCCACGTATCCGTATGTCGTGCCATCGGAGAGCGTGGCCTTTTTGGCCTGAGTGGGGAATGCAACGGATGCCATTGTTAGTTGTGTTTGTCGGATGGATGAAGCAAACTCAAATCGAGGGGTGTTGTCCTATTTATTGTGCGGGTCGTCACTTGAAGGATCCCAAGGCTAACTATAGCTGGCACCGTGTCAGCGCCGCACACGAGAAACCCAATCAATCACGGGTTCAGGTGGGGTTCCAGGGAGTCAGTTCCAACAGGGTCAGAAACTAGTCTATCTCAGCCTCAACTAATCATTGGATTAGCGGCCTCCACCCGCGACTAACCGAGGCTAACACTTAGTGGGATCACTAATCAGCGACCGACCTGGTGTACTGAGTATGCTGACTGGCACACATGAAATCCAATCTAGTTGACCGACGCAGTTATCAAGGTTACCAAAGCATTTGTGGTTATTGATTTGAAGGCGTGCCAGCCTGGCAATGACCCAAACTCATGTCCCAGGAAAGGTCTGGATCGAAGCTGTCAAGGTTGTACCACCCACAAAGATCTTCAAGAGAACTTAGAGACGGCACCATGTCAACGCTGTCGTTCCATCCTCTAGTATCTAGCCCAGAAGTTCCTTGGCCATCATTAGAGAGTCGTACTTGACTAGATGAGAGCGTCTTGTGATTCCTCGCTGGCTCAAGGCCTAACACATGGTGCGCGATCGTCTGGATCTCCCGTACATTCCTGGCGGTTCGTGGCCACAACTCGCCCAGCGCATTGAGACAGCCGATCATCATGCGAATCTGGGCTCTGGCGACCGTCAACTTCACCCCCTTGAACAGGAAACAGCAGGCCGAAAGCAGCGCTAGAGTGCCTTCGCTGATGATGCAGGTGACAAATGGGGTGTGATGAAACTCTGGAACGGGGAGAGCTAGCAGGCGGATCTGGGCGTCAACAGATCGTAGGACTCGTACGGTATGTACGTTGACGAGCTCAGGGGTCGGAATATCCGGGGCTGGGTCTCGGGCGCAACTGGACACATCCTCAACAGGGTTGAATTTGAGGTCTGAAAATGGTCGGTGAAGGCCGATCGTTGCTCTGATGCGTATGAGCGAAGTTCGACAAAAGATCCAGAAACTTACACATGAATTAGCAGATGTGCTTGGTACATAAGCTCATCGATTTCTCCAGTCTTTGTCATGACTTGTTTGCGGTCCTTGGGCAGTAAGAGCAACCACCCGTCGAGAATGGAGTCGGCTGCTTGGATGACTTGCATCGAGTCCTCCTTGACCGCGATTTTCGGCGCGGTGGACATGGCTAATGCGGCGCATTGTACGGCACCGATGAGATAGGCGAAGGATGAGAACGTGCTATCGGGGGCAAATTCACGGCAGTCGAACTCTTGAAGTGTTCTGGGTTCGGGAATGTCCTGTGCCGAGTCAGCCAAGCTTAAAAGCGATATTATCAGACCTACCCCCGATTCATACTCTGCTTCCTCACAGGGCAGCTCGACAGTAGCATCAATGTCTAGAAGCTCAGGTTTCTTAGTCCCTAGAGTACCCGCATAGTATCCATCCACAATGTATAGCATCCACCAGGTTCGCCTCCAGCATTCCTTCAATACTGGGTCATCGGCGCCATGCTCCGCTGCAAACTCCCGACGAAACATCTGCAAGTCAACGGCCAGCTTGATAGCAGCGTCCATGTCGGATTTCGCTTCGTTCTTGCAGTCATACCAGAACAAGGCCATGGAGTAGATGAGTCGACACTGGACTAGAACGGGGTCTGTCGGTGGCGCTTGCAAGAAGCAGGCCTCGACGTGGTCCTTGAGCGGAGCAGACCATTCTCGCGCATTGAATATATATCCGACCAAGCGTACGATAGCGATTAGAGGTCGCAAGCTAGGCTGCTTGCTTGCATCTTGATAGAGCCTCATCAAATGTTTTCGAGGAAGTAAGAATGGATGGAATATGTGAAAGTTTCGGTAGTATGACTCTACCAAAGGATCATTCGCAATGTTGTCGGCGAGGACTTGAATCGCGGGCGACGTCATACTAGCGGTCCCGTCGCTACTTGCATCGCGTGGGCTCCAACTGCTGGAGGAGTCTAACTCGATGATTTGCGATCGAGGGTCGGCTGCTTCCTGCAATGCTGCTTGCGAAGCGGCCGCCCGCTGTTTGCGCCGCTCGGCCAGAGTAGCGCGGTCCAGGCCACCGCGACGCGACCGAGTGTAGAGGCACTGCTTGGCGCCCGCATCGCAGCGGCTGCAGCTGGGTTGTTTCCCGTCACATTTGACATGACGTGAGCGACATGGCAGACACGCCAGCACAGAACGTGCGGCTTTGCTGTTTTCCAAGGCTGACATGGGATCCATGAATGATGTTGAGATGAAGAAGTGAGCCGGTCGGTTATCCGCCAGAGCGGGAACTCGGCGATCCGATCGGGTCCCCGCGTGGGGCTCGGCTATTCGATTATCCTCTCAGCCATCTATATTCTATACGAATTCTACGGGGTTCCGTTGATCGTTGGATACCCGTGAAACGATATAAAATGTCACTCGATGGCTTGCTTGATGATCTCATCCACAGCATCCTACTTTACTCCGAAACAACTACTCATCTCAAAACTCTGCTACATCCTGAACATGGCAAAGATCATCATCATCGGTGCCGGCTTCGCTGGCGTCTGGAGTGCTCTCTCTGCAAAGCGCCTCCTCAACCTCAAGAACAAGGAGGATGTCGAAGTCATTGTCATCGCTCCCGAGCCAACCATGATCATGCGGATTCGGCTGTACGAGAACAACGCTTCCTCCATGACCCATCCTCTTGGACCTCTCTTTGAAGCCGCAGGCATCAAATATGTCCAAGGTACCGTCACAACCATCCAACCTGAAGCGCACACCATCCTCGTCCAATCCCCCTCATACATCGAGTCAAGCATGACCTATGACCGCCTCGTCCTCGCAGCCGGAAGCACCCTCACCCAACCCCACGGCATCCCAGGCCTCCAAGAACATGCCTTCAACATCGACTCTCTCCCCTCCGCAACCAAACTGGAAGACCACCTCAAAAGCCTCGCCGCCCTCCCAGCAACCCCCGCCCGAGACACCATAGTCATCTGCGGCGCCGGCTTCACCGGCATCGAACTGGCCACCGAGCTTCCCAAACGCCTCAAACACCTCCCCAACCCCCGCATCATCCTCATCGACATCGCCGACTCCATCGGCCCCGAACTGGGCCCCGGCCCCCGCCCCATCATCACCCAAGCCTTACACGACCTGAAAATCGAAGTAAAACTCAATTCAGCAATCACCTCCATCAGCGCGGACACCATCACCCTCTCCTCGGGCGACCAAATCGCCACCAAAACCACCATTTGGACCGCAGGAGTAACCGCCACCCCCCTCACACACCAAATCCCCTGCCCCAGGGACAAATCCTCCCGTCTCCACGTCACCCAACACCTCCGCGTCCCATCCACCCCGGATATCTTCGCCACCGGCGACGCTGCCTGCGTTCTCGCCGACAATGACGGCCACTACGCACTCATGTCCTGCCAACACGCGTTGGAACTTGGTCGTGTAGCGGGCCATAACGCGGCCGCGGATTTCCTCGGTGAGGCTGTGGTGGAGTACTCCCAGCCTGGGTACGTGACTTGTTTGGATTTGGGGGCGTGGGGGGCCGTGGTCTCCGGGGGATGGGAACGGGAGGTGAAGTTTGTGGGGGAGCTCGCGAAGAGGGTGAAGGGGTTTATCAATGGAAAGGCGGTTTATCCGCCTACTGATGCGAGGGAGGCTTTGATTGCGGCGGAACCGGGGTTGTATAAGGCGGATGAGTTGTTGGAGGAGATTATTCGGGTGGTGGGGTAGATTGGGTGTCTAGGAGGAGCAGAGGTGGCAGGTTGTCTTTGGGAGTGAATGTTTACTGCGCTTGTTTGTTTGTTATCTACTTCTTTTCCCATTATTGCTTCATTGTAATATCTTGTTTCTTGTATTTTGATTCAGTCCTTAACCTTGCCTCAGCTTATTGTCTTTCACTGCCCAGTGGAACACTGCTAGTCCTCATGAAAGAACATATAGAAGCTTATCTCACGCCACCTGTACCGGCTGGTCATTCAACTCATCGAAGATATCAAAGCCAATGTGATCTTTCGGATCCAGATAGCGGATCTCACCTCTCACCTTCGACAAATTCAAGATCTCCGCCATATCTTCATCCAACAACCTTATCAAATCTCGATTCTCCAACAGCCATGCTTCCTGAACGGTCTTCGGAATCACAAATATATTCCGTTGGACGATCCAGGAGAGTATAATTTGAGCTGCAGATCTTCGGTATCTTGCAGCTATCTTTGCGATCTTTTCTGCCTTGTCAGACCTACTCACATTAATATTGTGTAAGAGGACAACATACATCTGGATCGCTCAGTGGGCCCAGCCGATCTGCATTGGGGTTCACGGCTGCCACAGGCTTGCCGCCCAATGGCTGATGGGCCATTACGTGGATGCCTTGCTGGGTACAGAAATGCACGAGATCAACCTGGGGTAAGTATCTATCGAGACTTCAGTAAGTCCTATTCATAAGGAACTGTCATTATCAGAATACTCACGGATGAAGTTCGACCTGATTGACTAGAGGCGGAATCTTGGCGAATTCGAGAAGCTTTTTGAGCTTCAAGATGTTGAAATTCGAAACGCCTATCGATTGTGAGTTTTCACACACTCAGGCTTCTAGACGGTCGTATCTACCGATTGACTTCGCCTTTCCTTTCTCGACCAGTTTCTCCATGGCTGCCCAAGTAAATGTATAATTCCACGACATTTCATAGTCAATGACGGGCTGTGGTATAGCAATCGCATCAGAGAATGCGTGGATAGCGGGATGGGATGAAGATATCGACAGTGTCGATCTACCTTTCCATTAGGATGACGAATTGTGCTATTATCTGGCCCAGGGCTATAGGCGTGGGGAACTGCATAGCACTATCAGTGACAAATATCTGTCGCTATGTGAGGTTCTAAATTCTTACAGTGCATCAAGTAGATATCGACTGTTGATCGATCCGCAAACATCAGCATTCTGTTCCGAAGCGGTGTACAGCATAGTAGAGAGGACAAACCGTAATCCAATTGCAGAAATTTCAAGCTGCGATCGAGCGCCCTTTCATCATCGGAGGCACCATGCCATGTCTGGGCTCTGGCACAATTATTCAGCAAAGAAAGGTGGTTGTAGACATTGAGGTGCACGCAAATATCTTACAACTTGGTAGTGACGATAATCTCTTCCCGAGGTATTCCGCTTTCCTTGATGGCTTCGCCGACATCTTGTTCGTTACCGTAGGCAGAGGCATTGTCTATGTGTCTGTAACCACATCTCAAAGCGTTTAATACGGTCTCTTTGACACTTGCGTTGCCGGCGTCGCCTCGAAACGTACCGAGGCCGACGGCTGGAATGGAAAACTCTGTGGTAGAGAAGGAAGGAGGAACGAAGTAGGACTGTGACATGGTTGCAGCAGGAGTGTAATATGTGGCCTGAGGTACACGCTTCCGAGGGCATATATGGTCCTTTAAATCAGTAAGACCAGTGGTGCGAATGAGGGGAACCCCGCCTGAAGTACGGAATACGGTACGGTATCAACGGAAGGATGGTGTGGACTCCATTCGGATGGCGTCTAATAGCCTGATTACGCCAACACGATAAAGGCATCTGCACTCAGGTATCAGATGACCGGTCTAAAAGGAAAGGGGCAAGATTAAAATTCGAATATCAACCGGAAGGTTCAATAACTAGAACGAAATGATCTGCCCGCCACACAACAGACTAGATGTAACCTAGGTCACCCGGATCCGTAGGAGTATCATTTTGGAATACAGGTATTTTCCATATAATCTTCGTAGCCTCCGGGGTACTTTGCAATCAGTCTTTTCATCTCATCAGTCACCCTAGGGATATTAACGTCAAATTCAACGAGCCTTAGAATTTAGAAATAGACTTACGACTCTCGGAAGCTGGTGACATCGGGAAAAAGGGCTGCAGCCTGTAGGTTAAAACGCCTATCGGAAATTAAACCTGGGCTCTCCTTTCATTGAACATGGGGTCATCTTACATGGAATAAAGAGCGTTCCGGTCATCATAGTCGTCTTCTGGAGCAGATTTCGGGATATGTGAGTGATAAGCGTTGAAGTAACTTCTCGAAAATTTATTGCGCTCAGGTCGCCAATTGCCCAGTTCATCTGCAAGGTCACGTCAGCTTAATGGGACCAAGTTTCACCAATACCTAGCAATTACATTCATTGTGAGCATAAAAGCTTGCAGGGTCATAAATCAATGGTGAGTTGGTAGCCATGTCAATAGCTGCATTCCCGCACCACAGGTCTCCATGGACGAGGGACGGCTTGATGGACCGCCCGGCTGTCTCCATTGGCCGCAGCAGTCGAGGAATAACTTTCTCGACCATGGCAGTGTCGAGACCTTCCAGTTCAACCCATGGTCCACCACGTTCAATGTTCATGTTGATCATATGCCTGAAGCCGTTTATGAAAAACTCTTCCCAGGTGTCGGCGTAGCGATTGTCTTGAGGTAGATCACCGTTGTATGTGACAACATGGAAGCCGAACTTTCCGTTTGGGGCCTCGCTCGTCGAATGGAGGAAGGCGACTTTTTCGCAGAACTCGACAGGTTCGGGAAGCTCTTCCGCAAGTTCATAAAACTGGCAGAAGTAATAGTGAGCTCCTAGAAGGCTTTTGAAGGAACCCCATCCTATTGGTTTCGGAGTGGAATTTCCGACTATTGCGTGGATTGCGGATGTAGATTCGAACTCTCCTTTGAGAGCTTCCCTACCATGGTCCCCCATCGATACCTTTACAAAGCGTGAGCAGCAAAAGAAATAGCGGGATCTGTCACTGATAATGATGTGGAGGGTAGATAAAGGCGTCGGTAGATCGTTACCTTCATGAAGTAGCTCTCAATTTCATTTTCGCCTTCCACGTCTATCTTATAACTGTGAGCCCAGGCTGAGGAGCCATGGCTCACTACACTCAGGGGCCGGCGGAACAGTGGAATCTCTGTTGAGATCAATAAAACTTGTGCATTTATGCACTCAAAAGGGGACTTAGGAGCGCCTACCTGACAGAACGACGGAGTCAACGGTCGTTTTCGTCGAAAGATCATCTGTCTCGATTACTGAACCCATGACAAACTGGATGCCGGAGACGCTCCTAAAAGGCAAATAAACAGCTTATGTGAACTCTTGCTTTTCAGTGACTTTGGGTGCTCGGGTCATGCACAAGAGAAGTCGAAACAATCTGGTGATACGCACATTTATGAATACCCGCCTGGGTGATATGCGTGCTGATGGCTGAGGTGAAACGGACTGGAATGAGTGCATTTCCACATGACACCGTTCTTTTTGCTTGCCCGACTAGGAGCATCGTATGGCAAGCCGCAGGGCAATGGTGTATTCTAGCTGCAGTTGGTGCTGCAATAGTACGACTAGCAAGCGGCAGACAGGCCTCTTTAACTGGCTGGTTGTCACATCGGCGGTACATAACTGAGGACCGGGAGCTGCTACTTGGACGAGTACTAGGGAGGGGAACCCCCTCCCCCCATTCCCCCTCGCTCTTTCGTAATCAATCCCGTCTCCCGGTCCACCCCGCCAGCTTCTTGGTCCCTGAATGCTGCAAAGGTCTCCCTGACATAAGCCTTTGTTGTCGTCAAAAAGTCTTCTGTCATGGACAGGGTATGTATGCATGGCGGTCTTTGAAGTGGAATCTCTTTCCATGCTGAGATTGAATAGTTTCGAAGACGTTCGACGGCGGAGGAAAGCTTCGGTCGGCTCGAGAGGCGTTTGAGTGGACTCTCCGTATCTCGGAAGGGCGGCGTCTCCTTGGGGCCTCCGGAAGCAGATGAGGATCTGCTGATTGAAAGCGAGGATCTCAAGGGACCTTTGGGACTCAACTTACTTTGTACAGTGCCCGAGCCACATATCGATTTCATTTTCATCCATGGATTGGGAGGAGGCTCTCGGAAGACATGGTCCAAAACAATCGATCCCTACCACTTCTGGCCTAAAGAATGGTTATCTCGAGATCCAGAGTTTAGCCATGTCCGCGTTCACAGCTTCGGGTATAAAGCTGATTGGGCGGAAAAGAAAGCCAGCTTCTTAAATATTCATGATTTTTCGCTGTCTCTCCTTGGAGAGATACAATGCAGCCCCGAGATTCGTCGGAGTAATGTGAGGCTAGAGCCTACCTTTTCTTATCACTTCCACTAACGGACTATAGACTAAGATCGTACTTATCGCCCATAGCATGGGTGGCATTGTAGCAAAGAAGGTGGCCTGACCTTGCCCTGATATGTTGAAGTCTTTGCTGAGCTCTTATCTTGATAGGCATATATCCTCGCCCGAGAAGACCCCACTCTCAGAGATTTTGCTAGTAGAATCCATACAATGTACTTCCTAGCAACTCCTCACCGTGGGTCTGACCTCGCCAAGACGCTACTGAATATCTTGAAGGTGTCCTTTGGTCACAAGCCTTTCGTGGTGGAATTGGAACGCAACTCGGACTCTATTCAGTCAATTAACGACAGCTTCCGGTACTTCGCGGATGATCTTCAATTGTGGTCGTTTTATGAAACCCTACCGCTCCGCTTGGTGTTGGCCAATGCTGTTATTGTTGACAAATCGTCAGCCACTCTTGGATTTGCTAAAGAACGGTGCTCACTTCTCAATGCGGACCATAGCGGAGTTTGCAAATTTAATACCCCGACGGATCCGAACTATAAAAGCCTCCGAAACGCGTTCATTACCACGGTTGATTCTATCCTTTCTGGAGGTAAGCTGACAGATAAGTTTACGTCTAGTCTTAGGAACTGATACGTTCTAGTCGCTCAAACAGTATGCGAGACCACGAAGATCGAATCGTCCAAGCTGACTGGACTCACTGGGATCACTGAACCACCAATAGACGACCTCTTTGCTCTAGAAGAGATGCGAATCTCTGGAACATGCGAATGGCTGGGCACAAAATCAGGATATAAGACATGGAAATCCGCTTGGTCTCTTAGCCGGCCAATATTCTGGCTTACTGGAAACGCAGGCACCGGAAAGTCCGTACTGTCAAGCTACGTCATCAATGACCTCGAAGGGAACAACCTCCGGTGCAGCTACTTCTTTTTCAAGCAAGGAAGCGGAAGCAGGTCCTCTGTATCTGGATGTCTACTATCGATCGCCTTCCAGATGGGCCAGGCGGACGAAACAATTCTCAGGCGTTTGACCCAACTTTCTGAGGGGTCTGAGACTTGGGAGCAATTAGATGAAAAGACGCTATGGCGTAAGGTCTTTCAAGGGGCTATATTCAAGGAGCCCAATCCTGAGCCATGTTATTGGGTCATTGATGCTCTTGAGGAATGTAGTAGATTTCCTGTCCTTATCTCCCTACTTGCCAGAGCGCCCCCATACTTGCGAATATTTCTCACAAGCCGCCTTACTCCGGAGGTGTATCAGTGCCTTGCATCTCATAGTGTGGCTATTGAGAGTTACAGTATACAGGCACAGGACACACTCATCGATTTAGGGATATTCGTTGATTCGAGAACGGATTCTCTTCCTGCTGGGAATGATGGCAGTCACAAGAGCCTTCGAGCCAGAATTCTGGAGAAGGCTAAGGGATCTTTTCTATGGACATCCCTTGTGGTTCGAGAACTCGAGGGGGTGTACTCAGAAGAGGCGGCCGAGGAAGTGTTAATTGAAGTACCCGCAGACATGAACAACCTATACGCAAGAATGCTAGAGAACATCCCTCGCAAAGGTCAGACTCTAGCACGATCCATCTTCACTTGGACACTCATGAGCATGCGACCTTTATCGCTGAATGAAATCAGCCACGCGGTTAAACTGGACACCAACGAGACTGTTCACAATCTGGCCAAAGCTATCATCGCTATTTGCGGACAGCTCATTGGAGTCGATCAAAAAGGCCGGGTTCAATGTATCCACCAAACCGCAAAGGTGTTCTTACTGCAGCAGGAAGGAGTCCCCGCCCTCAGTATTCATAAGTCAGATTCTCACTCAAGAATTGCTGAATTATGCCTGATATCGCTCAACATGAACTTTGGTCAGGGGGGCCGCCGACAAAAACTGAGAATGAACAAGGCTTCCACAGTGTCTGAGGCTGATGTTACGGACTACGCCGCAATATACTTTTCTGATCATCTACATAAGTGCTCCTCGGAGAACTCTAGACTCTGGGCTTTGCTAGCAGAATTTTTGGAGGGCTGTGTTTTGATGTGGGTCGAATATCTCGCTGAAGGAGGGAAATTGCAGCACATCACCCGCACAGCTAAAAATCTGAAATCGTACTTGATGCGCCGCCTCAAGCACATGCAGCCCTTCTCCAACGAGAAAGAAATTCTGGAAGCATGGATCCATGACTTGATAAGGCTGAACGCAAAATTCCGCACGGCCCTTGCAACTTGTCCATCTGCTATTCACAATATTGTTCCTGCACTATGCCCGTCAGAGTCGATGATATCGTCGATTTATGCCTCTCGACCTCGCGGGATTACCGTCAAAGGGCCAATAGAGAGGACATGGAATGAGTGTCTAGCGACAATCGACTATAACACAGCTCAGACAAGTGCAGTAGCCCATGGAGATTGTTACTCGGCTGTCGGGATCTCTGATGGAAATATTTACCTCTATGTCCGAGATTCCACGGTAATTACTGCGACCTTGTGCCATGGAGAGCGGGTCAAGATCCTTGTATTTAGCGACGATGAGCTTTTCCTTGCTTCGAGTGGCCTGCGTAAGGTGACGATATGGGATCTACGGACTCGGAAACAATCACGGATCTTCGAGGTGCATCACCAACCCCTCACCCTCGCATTCAGTGACAACAGCGCATTTCTGGTTGCTGCAACACAGGGGAACTATACAATCACCTGGGACCTTCAAGAGGAACGAATCGAAGCTGAAACCTGGTCTTGGACTAGCAGATTTCACGAAACGGCTGGCCAGACTAGGCCAGCTCAGCCCCCAGGAAAGGCTCTCTTGTCTGACGATTGTGCTATGCTTGCAGTCAGTTATAGGGGACGACCCGTCTATCTATTCGATATGAAGACCGAATCCCTTGTTGGTCCTTGCAATAGGAAATCTACTTCTATTGCTGCAAGGCAGTATGTCGTTGACGCCCTGGCATTTAACCCGAATCGTGAGATAAATGCCCTCGTGGTATCTTACGGTGATGGAAATCTTGTCGTATACGACATATGGTCTGCTGAGTCCCGCTACCAGACTCAGGATGTTTTTGCTCACACACTTGCATGTTCTCCAGATGGTCGTACCCTTGTTACTGGAAGTTCTCGCGGCACAATTCAGATCTTCGAATTTTCTGGGGCGCAAGGTACAAGCCTTACACTAATCTATCGAATCGATGCATTTGAGGAAGGCATTCGTGGTATAGCATTCAGCAGGGACAGTTTGCGTTTTACTGATATTCGGGGCTCTCAATACCGCATCTGGGAGCCGGCTGTGCTCGTCGGTAATGACTATGAAGGTAGTCAGAGTGAGCTTAGTCAAGCAGCAACCCTGAAGCCAAAATCCGTGGGTATGCTTGAAGGGCCCCCAGAGGCTGAAATCACAGCTATATGCACTGATTGCAGCGGGAGATACCTCTTCTATGGGAAGCAAGATGGCGCTGTAGCATACATGGATATTCAGAGCGCCACCCAGCGAGAAGTTCTCTATCAACATGCACTGAATGTGAGGATCACTTGCATGGCTTACTGTGATCAAACCGGTGTACTTGTTACAGCGGACGAGTCAAGTCGGATCATTGTGAGCACAGTCAAAGTTACAGCTGTTGGATGTGAAGGAGCATCAATAGTGGGTGATTTACGTTCCCAGGACCCTATAATGGCTCTTCTTCTGAACACAAGTGGGACAAAAATACTCGTCAAGGGAAGGCATTCGGCTCATATATGGACAACATTTGGTATCCGAACGGGTACTGAAATAAGTCTAAGTCGGCCTGAGGGTAATTATACGCTCTTGAATCACCAGTCATCCCCTGACCATTTCATAATAATTGGTCCGGACTGCCAGAGGATTTATTCGTGGAATGAGATTGCGATATCGTCAGACCGAATTGACAAGGTTGACAACGAGGGTTCAATTAATGAAAGTGACCCTGTTTTTCAGGCTCTGGATCACAGGGCTAAGACGAACATCAACCCCAGCCGATATATTGTCTCCCTATGCGTTACACCACAAAGCTATGAGCAAGCCGCGCGGGTAAAGCTCATGCTATGGGAAACTGCTCAGATCTTCTTCGATCAAGAATGGCCCATTGAGACTCCTCTGCCTGGATTTGAACACATATCAGCCAAAATAACCCAGGTCATTGGTGTCACAGGGAGCGTCGTCCTGTTCTTGGACAGCGATCTCTGGATCTGCAGTGTTGATGTAAGGCAATGGAACGCTGAGAGGCAAGGTGCTCGGAGGCATTTTTTCCTAATGCCAGAATGGAAGGGAAACAACCAGAACTTTCTGGTTGAGTACATTCCCAGCCGACGTGAATTTCTGGTCGTTAAGAAACACGAGGTGCTGGTCATAAAGCGGGGCCTTGATGTTGCAGTGCCCCTTGAATAAATCCAGACTGTATCATCTACGAGAAATGAACCTCAGCCATGAGTACCCAATCCTAAGTGAGCCATGCCTCAGGCAACACCGCGCGAAATTTCCCGTGATTGGCCTTGCTGCAGTCGGACACAGGGCTGGTTTGCCGACTCCGGCTCCGGCTCCGGCTCCGGTCCGCCGTCCGACTCTTGCAGGGGTACCAATTGGTCGGGTCAATGTCGGCTCCATCACTATCACCATCGATCGTTCGCGTGTGTTATCAATCCTAGTTTTCTTCCTCCCGAAGGATCATCACCAAGACCCTTATAAGGTTTCGGTGTCCTCGGATGATCGATCTTCTTGCCCACTTCTCTCCCACGGCCCGACGCGTTATTTGGTCCAAGCGCCCTTTTATTTCGTTCGCGGAGCCGCTATGCAACCTAGGCAGTATCGAAGGCGACACGCCTGTGACAGATGCATTCAACTCAAGGTGAAATGTGTTCCGGTTTTGGACGCGCAGAGTTGTGAACGATGTACCAGGCTCCGCCACTCCTGTATATTTCCAGAGAATTCGCGTCCCAGTAGCCACGTGTCAGCCTATCGTCCGGAGATTCGAGTTACTTTGATACTGACCCAGTGTTAGAAAAAGCCGAATTGATGCCCTTCAAGAGCAAGTGGACAGATTAGTCGCTGAACTAGACACTAAAAAGGTACGCTCCCAATCAGGTGATGGAGCATCTGTTGGACTGCCCTTGCCAACAAGATAGGGATAAGCATGCACCTTCACAACCATCAAAGAACCAATCTCATGTGGCAGCAAATCATTCACATCACCATGCTCATGGGATGCGCGAGGGAAAGTCAATATGTGAAGACGCCGACCAGGACTTCATCTCTCGTGGTCTTTTCACCCTGCTTGAATGCGAAGAGCTCCTGGCAAAATTCCGGGCTCACAAAATGCCCCAATTTCCCTTTGTGGTCGTTTCTGCACAGCTTGGCGTCCCAAGGCTTCGCCAGGAATATCCGTTTCTCCTACTGTGCATTGTTACCGCCTCCCTCGAGCACAAACCATCTTTACAACGTGTCATGGAACATGAAGTCAGAAAAGTCATTGCCACCCGCTTGATCATCAATATGGAGAGAAACATGGACCTACTCCTTGGGCTAATGGTTCACATTGCCTGGTATCACTATCATTGGCGCACGTATCATACTCAGGTTAACATGTTGCTGCAAATGGGTATCATGGTCGTCGTTGCTCTTGGATTGGACAGAGATGGGAACTTGCGGATGCAGACCATCCCGTTTGATAGAAAGGATATCGATCAGACAGAGGCGCAAGGGAACTACCGGACTCCTGCGGGACAGCGAGCTCTGCTAGGTTGCTATTATCTATGTTTGAAGTGAGTCCAGCCGTTGCACTGTTTTTCGTTGCAGCTGCAGTTGGGTTATTGATGAATTACCGCAGGTCATCCCTCTTTCGAAGACAGTTGGCCATAAGACACACCGAATGGATTGATTTATGCACTACAATGCTTGAGCAAAAGGCGGAGTATCGCACAGATATTTTTCTCAGGACATATATTGATATTCAATCGCTTACCCAAATAAGCCATACTTTGCGTGAGGGGCGTACACCGGGCTCGGTTCAAGGCATAAACTGGCAGCATCTGTTTGGGTTGGCGGAAGTGCAGCAAAACCGGACAGAGGAACTTCTTCGTCAATATAATTTACGGGATAACTGTAGGTTTTCTATCTGTGATCTCCTTCCTCGATCTAATCCTAATAGGGGCTTTGCGCATGGAGATGAGTGCAATACCAGTGCTGGTTCTTGGACACGCTCTTGGACGACAGAAGGATATCTTCCAGATTCGCAAAACACGGGAACTGATATCATTGATCTCATACGCATACAATACTGTGACCATATTTCTTACGATACCGTCTGCTGCTTTTGTCCACCTGCCCGCTTCGTCATACAATACTCTCCGGTACAGCCTGATGGTCCTCTCCAAGCTAAGCGTGTTATTCGGTTGGCAGCTCGGCATCCCTGAAATTAAGAAGGATAACATACACAGCGTCGCACTAGCTCTGCTACGGAAATTTGGAGATCTTTCTGCTGAAGACGATGTCTGGGCAAACTGCAAAAAGGTTGTTGGGAGCATGTTGCTATGGTTGGAAAATACAAGTGACCTGCAACATGCAGAGCCTGGCCTATCACAAAGCGTGGTATACCGCAATGAAGGTACTCATGGTCATCATACTGAGCCTAGTTCATGGCAAGGCCAAGTGCCTCGCAGCCAGGGCAGCAATAGTGGATCCCATCAGCTGGAGCTATCACTGGCCTCGCAGCATATCCCACATGCGTCTGGCGATGTACCAGATGGTTGGAACGCAGATATCTGGGAACAGATGCTTGAGGAGCTCGCCTGGCTAGGTCTGCCTGCTGAAACCCGGCTTCGTACGGGGTCTTTACCCTCATTTTCGTGATGGTGGGATATGTGGAATATCTTTTACTATGTCTACTTTGATAATTTACGGGGCATCTATGATGGGGGAGTATCCCTGACAGAGATTAATAGCAGTTTCTGGCTCTCATCTCCGCAATAAATCCAATCCTGGCCACCAAGCTCTAACTATCTCCACTCTACTGGCAATTCCTTTCAAACGCGCACTTGTACTGCCTAGATGTTGATTGATCGACTTTGAAACCATTAGTTAACCATGTGATGTCACGAGCGTCATCGGCCTTCGGTAGCATTCCACAAAACTAGACAGACTGTACGACGATTCCTAGTGGGGACAGCAGTTATCAGCAAAGCTTAGCCAGCTAGCAGATCGGTTGCACATGGCATTCCATCGAGCAGCATGATCAGCTGGGACGGCATTGGCGATATGATTGGATCGGTTGATACTATGCCGAAGACGGTAATGGAGAACGCTCCACAGGAAGCAAGGTTTAGTATGGGATCGACAACGAGCTGGATAGGTCCCCAATGACTAGTGCAGCTGTGGTGGACTGGTGGGACTGAACGACCACAGCTAAGCTGAATGAGGTCTAGGATAAGTCTCCCAACTCAATCAGACAGCTTCAGCTCGATCCCTGATCCCTTGAAACTTTACAGTGACATGACCATCAATCATCAGGGTAGATGAGACGAGCCCCGCAGTGAAAGAGCTCAGCCGTAAGGCTGCCTTATAACCTATGGGAACGCCCTTAGCTGCGGAGCTATCCTGAATGACTCTTTGCAACGTGTGCACAGGTACTCTGTACATTGGTCTTTCAAGCGTGCTTCCATGACCCGGATCCCACTCCGAAAATACTTGATTGACGTCTTCACATACCAAACACTCACGGTCATAAACAGAGGAAGATAGTCCCGCACATCACCCGATGTCCGATGTTTCAGGCTCATAGAGCCGCCGATCCACTCGGCAGCCGAATGCAGTATTCTCCGCCGACGCATGACGAATCCATCGGCATACGGAGCACATTTTATGCTCCGTGGTCAATTCGTCGTGTTTAAATAGACAGATGCCAGCTTTTCTTGTCAGGTCTCCAATCTCTCTCTCCCCTGCAACCACCATGCACTACCTCACCCTAGCATCGGCTCTCGCCGCCACCGCGCTGGCCCAAACCCCCGCGGGCAGCTACCCATCCTCCAACAAGAACCTCGGCGTCGCATACCCCAATGCCACTGTGACACCAGGCGTCTGGGTGAATCCTGACTGTACGTCTCTTGCCCCCTGCCCTGACCAAACTAACCAAAGAAAAGACGTCACCACCCAACCAACCATCTACCCAACCCACTACCACCTCTACGACGGCACCTACATGATCCTCATGCTCGATCTCAACATCCCCGACTCAGACGTCACCACAGCCGCATACTACAACACCCTGGTCCCAGGTCTAGCCGCCAACACAACCACCCGTCTGCACTGGTGGGGCGGCAACTATACCGTCCAGAACGGCCACTTCGTTAATGCCAGTGATGCGCTGGCGGAGTATACGGCGCCTCGGCCGAGAGATGCAACCAATCATACTTATACGTTGTATCTGTTTGATCAGCCGGAGGGATATGTGCCCCCCGAAGAGGCGTTAGATGGGACGTATTATTCGGAGACGACGGATGCGAGGTTTAATTTTACGTTGGAGACGGTGGTGAAGGCGGTTGGGGGGCCGGTGGCGGCGAATTATTTTCTGAGTGATGCTTAGGGGGTGGAGGATTCCTCTTTCAGAATGAATAGACCTTGCTATTACCGTTACGTGGGTATCTTCTTTTCACAAATGGTAGGGTTTCCACATACCGCTTGGTCCAACAGAGGCCCCCCCGGTTAACCACCCTCAGCCTGGCTCACCTTATGATTGAGATGGAAAGTGGAACCACATAGGAGAATACCTCATGCAAGTCTCAATTTGAACTATATATCTATCTACAATAACCTTGGTGATATTCCTTTTAATCCTTGTTACTACGCCTTATAAAGTATCAAAGGGACCAATGGCAGGAGAATCCTGAAGGGAAAATATAAGACTTTTACAGCAATTCATACGACAGTTGAAATTGGTTCCCAAACTGATGGGAAGGGCTTCTTAAACACTCCAAATGCTCACTTACTTCTACGAGAAGATCACCTTACTCATTCCAGGACTAAGTCACCGAACGCGAAATTCAAATTCCACGTTATGACTTACAACGGGGACATTTATCAGAAACTCATACTGGCACTTGGGAGGAAATTTTCACCAAGTATTTCGTGCACATGGTCCAAATCAATCTGGGGTGTGGCGAACCATGGCCGGAAAGCAGGTCTGGACACTGTTACGGTTGAGAAAGTGGACTCAAGACGACTACGACCAATGGCAACGGCGGGACGGTCCACCTCGTGCATGGAGACCTGGCCATTGACACGGCCAAACTCGCGCTTGATGTATGATTCTACAAGTTCTTACCGCACAACGAATGTAATCGCTCATGCAATTACCCCGTTAATCTTGGATATGCTGTTGGAAGCTCAAATGGTTTCCTGATTTAGGTTATACACTCCTATATCATCCAATAGATATATGAAAAATTTTAAAAATTGTTCACGGAAGGTGTATGTTGAAGAACTCGGATTCGACCAGGTTATCAGATTCAAGTTGTAGAGTGTAGAGAGGGAGGTCCGCTATGAGAACCGAAAAAAACAATTGTTTTGGTATGTCCTGAGTTTAGTAACAGCTGGTTAAGTAACATAAGATAGAGTCTATGTACATCTTTCAAAGAAACCTACCTCGATGTAATTCTCGCTCGAGGAGCATATTTGTTACAGGGTCCACGAATTTCCTTAGCTACAGATATTGCCCTATGAAACTGTTCCAGTTGAGACAGTAAATAAAGCAAGAGCACAATAATGATAAATGACATTGATCAGATAAATCAATACTTCTGTAGCTGGTATCGTAGCCGTACCCGGAGACAATTGAGCATGGTTGATCAGCGGGAATTTTCTGTACCATGTACTCCGTACACACTTCTAGCACAAGGAATTGTAGAATTTTCCGGGAAAAAAATCTTTCCTGGGGAGAGGGTCAACTACAACTACAATTACGGGGTTGCTAGCTAAAAGCAAAAACGTAAACATCTTTCGGCACCTTTCCTACAACCACTCATCCTAAACCGGTGCGTGAAGACTACGAACAACAAATGACGACCCATTCAAGCCTGGAAGATACCAATATCTCGGAGGGTTCCCCGGATCCTGCATTTCATACACAGGAGGCATCCTACGCAGCTTAGGTGATCCAGGACGTGCCTTCACCTATATAGAGGGCTTGAGACTGGTGTTCAATCTGCTCAATATCAACATCAGACAAGCTCAGTCATGGACTCAACATGAACTCGGGGATCTACTATATATACTGACACTCTTTCACCAGTTGAATGTGAAGCTCTTCCCATGGCAACATGTCAGCTTACTCATTCCGATGGGACAAGAAGACCAGCGAGTCGACCAACATGTTTCTTATATACCTCCTTCTCCACATGAAGCAGACCTCAGAGTTGACAGCTCGGGGTTATGTTAATTTGGAGTCGGATAACAGAGAGCCGGCTGTCTTATGACAAGATAACAAAGCTTTGGCACTATCTTGGCAGAAGATTCGATCAATCCAACAGACCTCGTCTTAAGCCCGACGAGAGGTGTCGCTCTATCCAGGTTCGTATTTTGACGTCGAACAATATCGCAAGTATTGCATACGAGACCTCGAGATCAAGCACAGCTTCAATCGAGGTGCAGTCTCCTGAGTGGGTCTTAACCCCTGCTTGCCAAGACGACAACCCGGCCTTCACAGACTTAATTGTGCGTTGGTCGGATTTGAGATTCGGGTCAGACAGAGCCATGAGGATCGAGAAGAGTCCTCAAGTGATCATGCAAACAACCTGCATGCAGAGCGAGACCAGGCTAAGGCAGGGTAACTAGGATGTGTACAATACTCGGTACGAGCTATTTCATTCATCGACCAAGAACAGCACCTACATACAACTGAACAATACCTTTCACCCTTTTTAAGGAGGGCCTCGCCAATTGTCATGGCATGCTATTCGAGAGTGCTTCAAAGGCAGAAAGGCTTCCACCTTGTCGTTCCATAGTCACCCATCCTCACAACCTTCAACGGCAGTCCAAGGCCGAGATCTACGAGAAAAGATCCTTACATGGACTGGACAGGACACGGAACCAACCCCAATTTCTTTACCATAGGTCCACATCAAGGCCAGGCTGTACGTGGATGGAATCTTTCAAGGGTATAGGGACCCCAGGTACAGTCTTCATAGCTCAAGCAGTCCTAACCAAAGGTATACATATCAGCCAGATGGAGGACTACCTCGATAATCAGGGGAGAGCCGGGCCAGAGTGTATACAAAAATGCTCGTTGGTTCAATAGCCGCGGATTCAGCACCTATCCCTGAGCTTTTACATCTGCTCCATTGTGTCGAAAGGGCGCGAATGTGCTGCGGCTAAGCGCTCCTAAGATGCCATGAGTAAGGGTATTCATCAGAACCTTATGTTAATAGAGATCCATATCCCGCTGCCCTAGGTTCATGAACCATGGGGGTTTCACATGGGCTCGCAGTTACAGGCTCATGAGAGAACGGAATCGAAATAATTCGAAAAGACAAGTTCTCCTACCCATCCGTCTTCTCCGAAAAATGGACGGATGATGATGGAAGGAATTTCATGGAAAGATAATTCCAAAAGACAAGGTTTTCTGCGCATGTCTCCGAGAAATGTATCATGTTTGATCTCCATCCGTTGCTCACGCTTGCAACGGCACCACCGAGGGCCAGGGTCGAGATGCTTTCAAGGAGAGTATGAGTTTGACCAAATGATATCGGGAACACGTGCTACGAAGACTACACTGCTCTAAAGAGGTACCATAGCTGCAGACTCCCCAGCGAGAGACACAAACATTCGGTCAAAGGATGCATCGGAAAAGCTACTTTGACATATGCCTCTTTCTACAATGGCACTCGAGAAACTCACAGTAGGACGGGGATATACTAGACAGGCTGCACATCAAACTGATTGTACTCAGAACACACCCTTCACACTACAATATTGATGGCTTCGAGCCTGGGATCTACGCTTCGGTGGACACCGCGAGTCGAATGATTGATTACACCGTTTCCCTCTTGATCAACGGGTTTCGGCTCAATCTACAGTGGTTTTCCTATTCCACCAACCTTGAGTTGTTGTCTATTCATGTTCATCGAGTTGGAGCATGCTAATTTCACTAGCTGCTTGATGGGATGAAAGCCTGGCAAATACCCGGACCTACGCCAGTGTCCATTCGAAGAAATTACATTGGTGATAAAGAAGCAACGCACATGCAGAAACAAGACTGCATCGATATTGCGTTGGCCTACATCCTGCAAAATCACGGTGCTACATTACAAGATTGTCTTTGTCCATAAGGATAGTTGTACATGATTTAAGCAATCCTTTTCTTTGCATATGTTCTAGTTAAACAATCAACTGTCTCCACTACATCGCCTTCACCTAATGCTTATCGCATGCTAACATATATTGCTTTAAATTGTATCAACCTTTCTAATATCGGCTTGAACTCTATCCAGTTGAGTCATTTCATCCCCTCGATGCCAGATCGAGAACCGCTCTGGAGTTATCAGATCCGACCCTCCGATCGTCCGATCCTCCGCTAAATCCGATGCCACTATACCATCTGGACCATAAATATCTCTCTCCTACCCTTCAACGTCTCCCAATCACTCCTCATTTCATTCTCCATTGCAGCATCCCCATCCTCAACAGACAAAGCAAACATGCTCATCATCCACCACCTCCAACGCTCCCAATCCGAGCGCATCATCTGGCTCTGCGAAGAACTGCACCTCCCCTACGAACTCAAAATCTACCAACGAGCACCCTTGCTCAGTCCCCCTGAGCTCCAAGCCCTGTACCTCTCTCCCTTCCCCCCCATTCTCCTTCTTTCCCAGTACCCCATACACCACACTAACCCACCCTGACACCTAGGCACCCCTCCAAATCCGCCCCCATAATCCAAGACGGCCCCATCACGCTCGCCGAATCGGGCGCCATCTTCGAATACATCCTAACCAAACACAACCCCACCTCGACCCTCGTCATCCCCCCAAGCGCCCCAAACTACCCCGACTACCTCTACTACCTGCACTTCGCGAACGGGACCTTCCAGCCCGCATTAGTACGGTACGGTCTCGTGAAGCGACTGGACCTTCCCGAGGAGGAGTTCAGTGTACGGTTAGCGAAACGGAGTTTTGAGCGCGCGTTGGGGATTCTGGAGGAGAGGGTGGGAGCGTGTACGTGGTTGGCCGGGGGGGAGTTTACGGCGGCGGATGTGATGGTTGTGGTGAGTTTGAAGACGATGAGGGAGTTTATTCCGTATGATTTGGAGGGGTTTGTGGGCATTCAGGGGTATTTGGAACGGGTGGGGAGAAGGGAGGGGTATCGGAGGGCGAAGGGGAGGGGGGATGTTGGGTTGGAGGGGGGGGATGTTGCTTGGGAGGTGTGATGTGATGTGGATGTATTTTTAGAGTAGATAGAATCTCAACTCTTAACTTGCATGCAGCTAAACATCCAACTATCAACCCAGTACCTACATCTCAAAACAGCAGATCAATCCTTCACACCTTCGCTAGATACCTCTGCATAAAGCTATGGCATGTTTCAAATATGCACTAATCTACACCACAGCCACTTGTTTAATCCAACTAGAACCAACAATGATTGCATCATTCTTTCTCCCATAGTAATCCGTATAGTATATAGATCAACATAGCTGTTACATGATCATCCCAACCATCCATCCAGATGGATATAATCACCAACATCGCACAGAAATCCATGCTACGTCACAGCAGAGATCTGACAGCCATGTGGACACTGAAGTATGAAGGGAGGGTGACTTGCCGCTATTGCATATGCATTCATGCCTAATGGATATTTAAATAGCTAGAAATATACCTAGACAGATACAAGATTACCCAGATATTAAACAAATCAACCCCTAGACTAATACCACAGCAAACCAATCCTTCAGCTTCAGATAACACAACACAGGCAGACACTGTCTGCCTGGTGATTAATATATTCTGAATATTCCCCACCCAACGGAATCCCCACGGAACATACATACATCAAGCTCCATCCCATTCCATCCATCTCGCAAATGACGCAATACCAGCCGAAGCTAAGAAATGAGTGGGACATAGTGATCTGTTGGTTTCAGGTGAGTTTGTTGGTTTCTCTACCCAATCAGATTTATCCATTTATCCATCCATCCATCCATCCATCCATCCTCCTACCGAATAGATGATCAACCTTGAGGGATACATCCCCACGCATTATTTTAATACCACTTAGTAGATACCTACACACGTTGTCTAACATCCCTTGTCAGAGAGTAGTAACTAATCCCTAGTAATCACGGAGTACCTACCTAACCAATAACCCTAAGCGTCAACCCTCGCCAACTGACCCACCTTTATCCACCCACCCCGATCGAACACCGAATCTCTCCCGTCTCACCTAACTACCACCTACCATCCCTACCTACATACGGAGTAACTACTACTAGGCTACTAAATACTTAGCTACCTCGCTAGTAACCAACTACTTACTAGGTACTAGGTACTAGCTAGGCGGTAGGCACATCCAACCTCCCCCCCCCCCGAAACAAAGATTTTTCCCCGATTCCACACACTAAAACTCACGGGTGACGGTGGACTAAAAACACGTGTTTTTGGGGGCCATTGCAGATCCTCAGTCACATCCCTCATCCTTGCTTCTGAGACTAGTGGGTTTTGGGGTTAGGGGAGATCCTGCGACTATTTACGTACCTACCTAGCTTTGCTGGGATTATGTTTTATTTATTGACTAACTAGGAGGAATGACAGTTGGTTCTGGATAGTTCTAGTGGGGAGTCAGCATACGTCGCTTGGCGTAGCTTGGGGGTCGACTGTAGGTATTGTAGGTATCGTCTTGGCTTGGGTAGGGAGGTCGGTTGGCTGTTTCAGGTCATCTATATTTATCAATTGGTATAGATCCGAGAGTTCATTAGACTGTGTTCAGTCGGGTATATACATTAGTGGTCATCACATCACATAGGAAACAGTCCACGCTGCGATAAATCAATCACAATAATCATCGCTAGCATACTGGATGAAATAAGACAAGAAACCACCTCTATCGCCGCCCAAGCCATAAATCAAACCCAAACACCCAGACTATCCAGCCGACCTTCCCGCTGTATGCCATTTTCCGTTCCGTCCGTAGCTAATCAACATGCACGATAAAAGAAAGATGCGGATCAATGCCAGCCGCGCTCGGGTTGGTATCCCACCACCGGGGGGTCCTCGTACAACTGCACATTCAGCCCCAACCCGCCGCTGTTCATGCGGGGCAAACCCGAACACACCACGTCCCCCATGTAATGGGGCGGAAATCCCGGCGAGTGCTGCAAGGATCCCGCGTGGCTGTAGTCGGAGAGATCGTCACGAGGGTCCGAGAGCAGGCGTGGGGAGCTCGGGTACAGCGCCTGCGACGCCGGCGCCGTCACATACGCCCCACTGACGTCAAACGGGGGGCTGGCGATCGTCACTTCGGGAGGGGACTGCAGGGGCGGGGTGTAAGGAGCGTAGGTGGCCGACGCCGAGGAGGGCGATGAGGACGAGGCAAGGCGGTAGTCGTGCAGGCTATGATAGGGGCTGGGAGGGGCGGGCGAGTAATGGTCGAGGGACGTGCGTGGCGACCACTGGAGCCGGCTTTTGTATTTGGCGACAATGTGACGGGGGAGGTCCATGGCGGAGAGCGCCAGCTGGGCATCGGGGTGGAATGGGTCGGCCGTGCTGCGCGCCACCACGATCCGGTAGATCTCCTCGATCGGGCTGATCGAGAGCGGGCCCAGATAGGCGCCGCCCAAGTCCGGGAAGAGGCTGTCGAGGACGACCCCGACCCCAAAGAACTGGGCGAGAATGGCTAGGGAGCCAATATCGGCGTCTTCCGGTCGCAGCATGGCCGGAGGGAGCCAGAACAACCATTGACGCAGCGGTTGCATGCGCTCAAAGGCCTGTTCGGGAGTCTGGGAGAGGAGATCACGCTGGAAGTGTCGGATAAACTCCAAGAGTTCTCCGATCCGACGGTAGTGCTCATGGTGGTGGGCGACCCGCTTCTGCAGAGCCTGGAGCGCCACGATGGTCTGGTCAAGACTGGCCAGGTCTTCATCCTGGAACTGGTAGCCCGACATGACTGCCGTGTTGGTGCACCCCAAATACCGCTGGTTCTCGAGGAACATGGCCAACTCGGATTCTTGCTTCCACATGGGATGCATAGAACTCAGGACCTACAAGCGTCAGTATCAGTGCCAAAGAGAAAAGAAACAAGACGTACTGTTGTAAGGCCTTGCTGCAACGACGCCCAGCTCTGCCATTCCGACGCCTGCCACGACAGAATGATCGAGGCAGCCAGAATCGCATCGCAGTTGTCCTTGGAAAATGCCCCGAGGGCATTGTGCAGGCCCTGGATGGCGACTCCCCGGTGATGGTAGGCGAGTTGCTTGGTCTCCTGGTTCCGGGTGATCCAGGCGAGGTGGGAGGCGGACATGGTCAGGATGGCACTCATCACAAAGTCGTTGGAGAGTGCGATGGCGAGGAAACTAAACAGTCAGCGAGAGCGAGGCAACACACCGTACGAGTACTTACGTAGGCATCTTCTGCGCCCAGATGGTGCAGCTGCTGAGACCCCGTCGGTGGAGATCGATGGATAATCCGATGATGTGGTGGATCAACCGCAGATCCGTCCGGGACAGCTTGCTCCAGCTGGTGCGCGGAAACTGCATCAACTCGGCAAACGGGGCGATGCCCGTGAAATGCCAGTTCTTGATCTCCAGTTCGATCTCGGCGGACATGAGGAGGTCGGGCACGTTGCGGATGGATGACGCGTCGTCGTGGACCGTTGCAACGTCCATGTAATCGCAGCGACAGTTATGCTTGGTGCAGTTCCGACTACAACGGTCAGCAACGATGCAATACCATGATCACCACGATCAGAACATACCATTGTGGAAAGGTCTCGTCACATCGGATGTGTCGCCGCTTGCAGGTCTTGCAGCCAAATCGGGACTTGGTGTGGCTCTTGCGAGGAGGGCCACCTCCGGGACCAGCCATGATGAAGGTTAAAACGGAGACGTTAAATGTTAAGACGAGAGGTAGTGGAGTATAAGTGAGACAACACGCGAGAGAGAGAGACCACACTTAAAGACTGGAGAGATGTCGGGGAGAAGTTGAATCAAAGAAGATGGGGGAGAGACACGATGCGGAGATGGGCCAGGCCGGGATAATATAATAATATAACCAGGTAATATGATAAACCCAATCTGATCGGAGTCGAGAAATGACAGCCCACGGTTGGTTCAGCCAGTGCGGCGTCCAAAAATAACCTCGAGCCGCAGCCTCCCCCCAGTGAAGAGCAGCAGAGATACACGTGGGGAATACGAGAAAACGGTGGAAGGCAGTCGATGGTCTTTTAGTTGCGCTCGTTATTTTTCCCGGTTATTTTTTCTTTTTCGCCTTGCCTCGCCGGGCCAAGACGAATCCAGTAGGGGAAGGTCAAGTCGTCAGGCAGGAACTGGAAGAGGAACGAGACTAGCAGCAGCAGCAGCAGCAGCAGCAGCGCAACTATAAGAGGCGGAGGATTGGGGAACAATCAACAGGTCAGGACCGGCCGGCCGGTAGGGACAAAGTCCTGCAGCCACTGTTGCCCTTCAGCTGCGGGTCGAGGCACCGTCAGGGTGGATTGGTAATTAAAGTCAGAAAAATAATAATCAGCAGCAGCAGCAGATGGGGAAAAACAACTCAGAAAATCCATCGTTGGTCTTTTTAACCCCTGGGGTCAAGGAAAAAACAATACTAAAATACTAGGGACCACCCGAAAAGCTACCCGAACAGGAAATAAAAAAGAAAAATCCAAAACAGAAAATCCGATCCAAATGATATAATAATCAGAAAATAGAATAAATTCCGCCAGCGAGAACGGGTGGAATCTCTGGGGTTAGCGAAAGCCAAGATGTTGAGCGCCACGGTACGACCGGTCAGATGCTGATCTCCAGACCCTCCGCGCAGCCAGTCACGGCGAGAGCAAGCTCCGGAAAAGGAGAGAAAAAGAAATACGGCCACGGTGGTGAGCAGCAGCACTGCCAAAGCATGATGGTGGGGGAACCCTGGCCAGACACGGGAGGAGGCAGAGAAGGGGAAGGAGGAGCAGCAGGATCGGACCATGGCTGCAGGCAGGGGGGGTAATTCGATCATTCTGGATGACGCGGGAGACGTGATGATTTCATCTGGAAAGTGAAGAATCGACCATAATCATCCTGGTGCTGAGCAGCAGCAGCAGCAGCCAAAGGATTTTCGGATTATTTGCGAGCATTTGAGCCTCTTCCGCCGAGAACAGCCTAGCGCGGACGACCCAGTTGGATCCACTTGCTGATTTGGTGCAAGTGGCCACCCGCTCATTGGCCGCCAGAATGACCCCGGGGCCAATGAAGACGAGGGCACGGGGCGGCCACATGGCAGCATCACCGCCAGTGAAAGTCGTCAATGTGCTTGGGCCATCCGTTGAAATGAAACACGCTGCTGACTCTGATGACTATCCAGCTGCTAGCAAGAGGGAGCATACCGCCAGAGGATTCTCGCATGGTCCACCTGATTAAACTTGGTTCCATTTTGCTTTTCCGTTTCATCTTCCCCCCTCCAAGTGGGCGGGACGGCATCCACGCCTCCAAAGTCCGCCTCTGTCCTCCTCAGGTCTAAGCCGCAACGAATCTGGAGTTCATCCCGATTCCATGGTCAATCAAGGGAACCACAAACTCTATCTGCCTCCGTCCCCCCCATCAAACGAAGCAAGTTCCCATTCCCAGAAAATATCCCTACGCCGTAAACCCAGAATCATGCCACAGCCCTTCTAGCCCCCCAGATGGTGGTGGCGGTCACCATCGAGGAATGTCCCCAGACTCGGGCGCAGAGGGCAGTGTCCCTGGTAAAGTTGACACCCCGCGGCTGGTCTCCTGGAGTCCAGATAGTCTGGAGGGGTCTGCGGAATCCTCAACCCAAACTCTGGCGGGATCCATCTTTGGTTCCGAAGCGCTGTCTGTCCGGTTCCATTATCGATATTGGTGGGGAGGTTTCCCCATACCAAGCGAGCGGCGCCCCCTCGTCCTATGGTTCCCTGCCATTTAGACTTGGGCCGGGGAACTTACCCTCGGTGGGTGGGATTTTCTGGGTTCGCCATTGGGCTGTGCTTCTGGATATTATGACACACAGTAGACAGCCTGTCAGGCGGGTGGAGTCGCCGAGTGTCATCTAGATCGGCTCTCGGTACCTTCCACTGAGAGCTGTACTTGGAGAGGAGAGATGGCGAGGTCTCGGTCTGACCACCCTTCTAGGTGTGGTCACGGGTGGACATGTCGTAGGCAGCATATCTGATGGTCTGTACCCTGTAGCCTGGTAGGTACCCCGTCTTTGTCCTCTCAGCTTCTGCTTCACAGATCCTCCCCACGGAACTGCAATAAGTCTAATCAGACCCGCTCAAACTGTCCCAGCCATCCTCATGTCCGCGGAGCCGATGCTAATCGGCGAGCCATCGAATAAGGTCCTGGATGGACACCGATCCTACCATTTCGGGGATCCCAGGATGATCGTTATAGTAGCTTGGATGCCAAGTCGCCGACCGTGCTGGGATCGTGGCCACAATCCCAAAGCAAACGGCATTTGACTGTTCGGATCTTAGTCGACAAATCGTCATGATGCGGCTTGCAAGCCAGGGTCCTCGTCGGGGATCCCAAGAATGACCGGGGTCCTTTGGCAGACACGCCATTGGGCCAGGGCAGCACCCATGCCCATAAGCGATGGCCCGCTGATTGGACCGCACGTAAATCTTCCCCCTTATCCGGGCCAGTAGGTCCGTTGCTTTTTCCCCTGCACTTTCACCCCTCATCGCTGGCCTCTCGTGGAGATGTCGATTTTCGTCCAAGTCCCCTGCGCCAAGCAACCCCAAGTGCTGAGCATTCTTTTCCCTCCCGCGCGACGCACACCGAAGGGTTTGCCTTGCCAGGCGTCCTGAGCGCACCGTTCATGGTGCCTGAAAATATGACCCAACCCCTCCTTCATCCTGCGGAGGGATGGGCATTGCAGGAAGTCATCTAAACTACTATTCATGGTCATGTCACAACCTTAATCAACGCTAGGGTGGAGGTCCCGGTCGCTAGTAGGTTTTCTTGACCTTCTGATGGCGCCTGGAGGATTATTTCCCCTTGCCAGGGTGGGTAATGGGACATTTGCGGCGGGTCACCCTGTTGTGTCTGGCACGATCTAGATAGGCACCGACAAAGTCCGAGATTAAAGTGGGTTGGAGAAACACTTCCATTTCGCTTCAGATTCTGGGAACAGGATGCTATAGGACGCCGGGTCGATACAATCTCTCGCACCGCAGATTGCGGGCACATTTTGCAACAAGGACGTCATCAGCAGGTCTGAATCTGGCCATGACAACCGACCAGGGCGCGGGCGAAATTCCAATCTGCAGGATTGGTTTCGGTGATTGGCCGTAGACGTGCCCAGGGGTTGCTAGTCCGCCATTCTGCTCTTGCCGAGCAGACCCTGTGTAACGGTGCAGACAGCCATGCAGTATCCGACCCGCGGACTAGGGAGGGGGGGGCGTGGTGTGTGAGAAGAAGTACATAGTAAATCCTCCAAAACCTGCAGATGAGGAAAAGACAGCAGCCAAGACACCAACTCACCTGCCCTGCTTGAGAGCATCCATCGTCTCTAGCCTTGGGTCCTGGTGCCGCCAGTTAGGTTTAGCCCCGGCCGAGCTAAAGTTTTAGATCGAGGCTGTAAAGCCCCCTAATCGACGGTGGGGGGATTCCCCTATCAAAACGGACGGGTCCTCTATGAGTCCGTTCGAGTCCATGGGGCACCGACGATGGACTATGGAACGTCGCCAGAGAATCCGCGTAGCTTGGGCCTTCCCTTCGTAGGATATTTCCCCTTCGATTGCAGCAAGTGGGGCACTAGGAGTTACAGGGAAACCCAAGCGGACGATTATGATAGACGCGATCCACCGAGAATTGAACACGCACTGGACTTGGCCGGTCACCTTACCTCAGCAAGACGTATGCAGCGAGGGCAGATCGCATTCTGGACAGTGAACACAAGTCATGCACACCGGGATCATTTGTATGACAGGCTCATCCACATGCCTTTGGGGCATGCGATACGGAGGTAACACGGTTTCAGCCTCGACAGACGGAAGCCAATCTGATCTGGCAAGTATCGGTTCCCAATCGACCGGATGAAACAACGTCAGCTGTCATACCCATGACCAGCTAGATTCTCGGCGGTTTTCTTTCATCAGACGAAGAAACTCTCTCGCATGGCCGGCCGGCGTGCGTGAGGTATAGTTGCAGACGGGTGAGATTAAATCGGAAAATGAAACAGAAAAAAAGGAAACAAAGGCAGGCGGTGATACCGGTCTGAAGAGTAGAGTTAAACTAGAATAAAGCTAAAAGGAAATCTCCACGACAGCATTGTTAGTCGCTTGATTGGAGCCAGGATTGCCAGCCCTGATGGATAACCCTGGTAGGGTGGAAGCCAGAAGAGTCCGTCCTTAGTTTCGCCCGCGCTTGGACATTCGCAGTCTAGTGGGAGACCAACGACCTGGTCCGACCATCCAACCTACACCGTCCGGACCCATCGAAACTCTGAAGATGACCCAGAGGCTAATTAATTCGGACAAGGATTGCTGGTGCCAAACCATCCGGGGCTGCGGGCCGGGTCCACGGTCACGGGGAGGCTGAGACTGTAAGATTGGGAGAGTCTGAGGCCGAAACCTTGTTGGGAAAGCAGCAGGAAGCCATCCGCCAGTCAAAGTCGTCTCCAGGCCCGGACTTCTATCGGGCCACCTCAACTAAGCTAAGTCTAGAGGCCGCCTGACAGCGGAAAAGGGCCTCGACCTGCATCAGCAATGGGAGGGATGAAGAGGGAGGGGGTGGTTGCATGCATCGTTGCACAAAGCCTCATTGCCACGTTTTTGTCCCGGAGATCGCGAAGAAGTCCCAAGATCCCGAAGACCGCGACCAGACCATGTGATGACGGAGGGGGAGGGAGGGATATGCGCTCCATCGCCTAGATCCCTGCCCAGAGTCCACATGTCAGAAGTTGAGCGACCGAGAGAGAGTTGGGAGGGGAAGGGATGCTTGACTTAGTTGGTTCCCTCCCAAGCGAGCAGACTGACTAGGAGCTGGACCCTCTTCGGCCGCCAGAAGTGAATTTGAGGTGATCACCAGGGCCGACCATGGTTAGCTCGATGGGCTTGGTGCTGCAGGAATAGATGGATTGATAGATAATAGATTAGTTGCAGATAACTGATAGTAGAAGAGACTCGACGGACTGAGACACTAGTAAATGGAGCCTACAATGACGCCCAAAGTACCCTCGGTCACGGGGTCATGGGGGGTCATTGAAGGGTAGCCTCATGGCTAGTCCCAGTTGGGGCACTGTTGGCGGAACAAACCGATCCAGCTCCCTGCCAGCCAATCGTGGCTGACTAGCCATTCTCCGCATTGGACGGCGACAGACAGGGAAGAGTGGGCCACTCACAGACGGGCGCTGGCTCGGCAGATCCAGTTCCAAAAAAGCCAATGACAGCCTCCGCAGTGGCTCAGCCCTCGCCAGTTACAACCGCATCCGGTTAGTGTGGGAGGCCTTGGGTCCAGGCGGTCTATGCCAATTTGGGATCTGCCAACTTTATCCTGGGTCCCGAAAAAAACACAAAACGGAAAATCCGAGATGGGATGATGTTCAAAAACAAAATGATGAGCTGAGGGAATCCAAAAAAAAAAAAGAAAAAGAAGGCGAGACCAAAACTAGCCCCCAAACACCGCGGCCTGGGATCAACCATGTCAGAACCCAATAACCCTTCCTTTCCTCGTGGCCAAACCTGAAGGATTACCCACCAACTTCCCCCAACCCGGACATCCCAGCAGGATCCAGCCCGTCGGGCGGCCTATCCAACTAAGTCACCGCAGGTCCTCGGAAATGGAACCTCCCACACAGCCTCATTCGACTTTCCGACAGGTCACAGTGGCAGGCTGGCAGGCAGACAGCCAGGCAATCAGGCCAGGAACCCCGGGGCCAACTAAATTAGTCAACGTAGTTCAATGTCCGTTAACTATACATAATAATAACACTTAAGTTATCCTCACTATAGTAATATTATTTACTGACTCAAAACCTGCTCATGGCGGTGACTTAGCGGCCGAAACATTTTCGCTTTCGCCGTGCATGCCACATTCGGTAGGAGTCATCTTTTACTACGTACTAACTACAGGACCAGAATGCTTAGATAACATCGAGTAAGCCGGTCACACAGAGTGACAAATCCACTCTTACTACCTACCCACCCCCCTTCCCTCCATTTGCTTCTTCCTGCATGGAAGATTCCAAAGAACGACTGGCGGGAGACATAGTGCTTATGTCCTGACGTCGCGGAGCATGGGTCGTGAGTCATGCATCATCAGTGTGTCGCGACTGGGCGTCTCTGACCTGGCTGACCACATCCATCCCCCTTGGACTGACGTAGTGATGTCACACAAACCGCCTGTTCTCCTGGATCCTATCGGAGAGGCCGAACTGCTGGCCTGGAACAATTCCAGACCGGGGTGGGAAAGCACCCACCCTGGATGTTTGCGGCGACGTGGGAATGGGCCTTCGGGCTTTGCTGGGATTTGGGTCGAGGGAAGGTACAGGGGTGAGATGATGCCGACACTTTTGGGTCCCTCGGGGGGGACTTTCTGTAGCTCTCCTACCGACATAGTAGGTTATCACGCGATAAGGAAACAGCTCACAGAGTAAATGGTGGATGTGGACCTCGGCACCTGCGTACGCAGTAGATACTAGATAGCTCCTGTCGATCATGATGTCAAGTCATCTACAGCTGCAGATGAATCCCATTCAACGCCAACGGCAAAGGCACGGCAGGCAGTCGAAGACCCCTGCGTGCCGAAAGGCTATCTAATTTACTATTCTACTAGTCTATCTAAGAACAAAAGGTACAGATCTCAATCATCATGCGTCGAACAGTCCATTACGCATCTCTCATTGTTCATTCCCTCGCCCCTGGTATATAGTCCCGAGCTATACTATCCCAGGTGTCATCCCCAAATGACTGTTTTCCCATGACCCAGCCCATAAGCCCCCCCTCTATGCAGACCCCGACACGGCGATCCACGCACTGTCGAAAAAAAAGGATTCAACACGCCCCTTCAACCACAACCACAACCACACGATGGCGGTCCCATCCGGGCGCACTCCGCCCGGATGGTGCCATGACACCGGTCAGAGATCGAAACAGAAGCCATCGACCGAGCCAAGGGCCGGCGTGGGAGAAAGGAAAGGAAATGCAATTTTATGCGCCTTTCGCCATGAATTTTGCTTGCAAACGAAACATTAACATGACAAGATATAGATCTAAATCTGGTATACAGAACGAAGTTTCTGGGCAACATGGGCCGGAAGTTGCGACAGGAATGAATCGAAGTTGGGTATCATATTTTTGTATCCTTGCAGCACCTGCATCAGGTCAGTCATGTCTCCTTCTCGAGGGAAATTAAGTGAGAATCTCAAGGGTCATACCTGCTGGAACGAGGTCTGGATGTCACGATAGTCCTCCTGGTTCATCGATTTGCTAGGGAATGCAGCGATAGCCTGGAAGTAGTTCGCCAGACTGGACTCCATGGCCTCGGGGTTCTTCATCACCACCTGGTTGAATCCCAGGAAGGCGGATGCCTTTTCGCGCGTGAACTCGATCTTGTTCATCGACTTCAGGAAGGCCCCGGCGTATTCGCTCAGGCGAGGAGCAAGCTGATCGGAAGAGCAAATTCCAAGCCGACCCAAAGCCATCGCAGCGTTTTCATTCACAGAGTCGATGATTTCCTCATTGTTGATGATGATGTAAAGCCCCTGGTATAGCTTTTCCGTGTAGGGAGACAGCGCGGCTTTCTCGTTGACGGCGATCTCACCGCACGACCAGCAGGCATTGTTGAGAACGCTAAATCCAGTGTGACGGTCATCATCACGAATCAGATCCAGATCGAGCTGCTTGATCAGAGTGGGTATGATGTTAGGGATGAAGGGCTCGAGCTGAGGGAAAATGTTGATCGCGCAGTCGCCCAGCAGAGCGTATGACGACTGACGGACCTCATAGTTCGGATCCTCCATGCAGAAGCACAGCAGATCAAAGAACCGGGGCTGGGAGTTGGCCACCAACTCGCCGCTCTTCTGCGGATCGATCGCCTGGATGATCGCACTCAGAAGGTCAAGGCTCGTGACCAAAAAGTCCTTGTCAGGCTCATCGATGGCCTGGTTGTTGACCGAAGCCATGTATTCCTGCAGGTTTTCATAGATAATCTTGATACACCGCTGGAAGAGGGGGGGAGCAAAGGGAGAGAATGCATCGCCGTAGGCCGCCGCGATGTATCCCAAACACTCCAGTAGCGGGAACAGCTCCCGAGATTGATCCGAGACCTTGTTATAGCGATCAATTAGAGCAGGCATGAGGATCTCTACCAGCTGGGGCTTGGCCAATTCTCCCATGACGCACTCGGCCAGAGTCTGGACACAGTCGTACAGGATGTACATGTTGCGGTCCTTGTACTTCCCGAAACACTGGACGAACTGCCGAAGGATGGGCTCACAGTACGGAATCAAGTTCGCGTCCGATTTCTCCTCCAGACTTGCAAAAGCGGAGGCGGCTGCCTCTTGGACCTTCTTGTTGCCGTCCAACATCCTGCGCAGGATACCCTCCATCATAGGCTCAAAGAAGCGCGCTCTTTCCGCCGGGTCTCCCAGGTGCGATGCCCATTCGGAGTACCGGCCAAGGCACCAGCAGGTAATTTGTCGGACCACAGGGTGGGAATCATTAAGCAGCGAAATGAGGTAAGGGACGAGTTCGGGAAGATGAGGAGTGACGGCATCCATACAACCGTCCGCGACGGCGCCAAGAGTCAAGACAGCAGCTTCGCGCTGAGGCCACTGCTCATGGCGAATGGTCTCCTTCAGGTAGGGCAGGATAATTTCGAAGATCGGCTGATGATAGACATTCGAGAAGACGTCCAACGCAGCAGCGGAGCACTTTCGGAGCGTCCACTCGTCCTCAGGGTCATCTCCAAACTCGGAGTCCTCAATCTCGCCTTCACTAAGATCATCATCCTCGCCCTCCTCCTCGGGAGCTGCGTTACCGTTGGTTTGCTCGGACTTGGAGAGATCCAGCCGACCGCTCTTCGACTTCGCGAATTGTGGCTTGAGATCTTCCTCGCGGTCTTCGACCTCCGCATCGTCTCCCTCATTGGTCAACCGGATCGCTTCATCCTCATCGTATACCATGCTTTGAAGCAAAACTGGAACGATCTTGGACATGTGAGGAGCTAGCGGCTGTTGCAGCTTCACCTGCTCGCCCGCGACAAGCCAGAATTCCGCCGCATCGAGCGCAAGCTCCGGGTCCTCCTGGTTATGCTGTTGCATGATAATGTAGTTCACCAAGCCTTCCATGTGTGGAATAAGCTTCTCAGGAGAGAAGTCCACCAGCTGCGCGAATGTCTGACAAACCGTGCGGCGAACGTCGGTACTCGAGTCATTAGCCAGCTGGAACAATTGCGACAAGAATAAATCCATCGAGGCGACCAAGGCTTTAGGTCGGTGGGGAAGAAAGACATGGATGGTGCCCAGCGCCATTGACCGGACTTTGGAGCTCTGATTCGACGTAAATTCGAGCAACTTTGGGATGATTACGTCGAGAGGGCACTGTCCTTGGTAGTCCCGGTCGAGGATCTTGCGGTTATCCTCACAGACCTTGGAGAGGGCAGACATAGCCGCCTCCTGCGCCAGGGGCTGAACGGTTCCCGAGGTGTTGTCGACGAGCGTCAACAGCTCGTGAAGCACATCGGGCCAGGCTAAAAGACCCGCCTGCTGAACCAATTCTGTGATGATTGTTCCGGCCGATTTCCGCACGTGAGGATTGTTGTCGCGCAACCCGAGCAGGGTAGCCGATCGGATAAAGGTCAAACAGGGCTGGGGAATCGTGTTGTACGCAACGTGAATCTTCGTCTTGAGGTTCATCGCAGCGGCGAAACGGACTAGGTCGTAGGCCTGACTGTCCATTCCCAGAACCGGGGAAGGTTGCGGCGTGCTGAAGAGGTAGGTGATGTAGTTGACATAATCGGGCGACGAGGTTGCTTGTACTAGCATCTATCAGACGACAGAAGAAGAAAGAGAGCTCCAGTCAGCCATTTTGAATTTTTCTTTAGGGAGGCGAAAGACAGGTCCCCTAGACCGGCAACAAAGATAAGAGCAAAGCTGGTAAGTAACAACGGGTCGCTTTCTCATAGACGACCATTTTAAAAGGTGAGGGTGGGGGAGCGAAGGAGAAGAGCAAAGAGTAAAAAAAAATGACGACGATGACGAAGAGAGGGGAAGAGCGAAAGCGAGATGGAACATACCTGCTCGGCCTGTTTTTGGACGGGGCGATCATAGGGATTGAGGGAATCCCTGAGGCAGCAAGCCAGCTGCCTCAATGGATCGTCCTGTGGTTGCCACTCCATTGTGTCGCGAAAGTGGAAGGCAGAGGAGGGAGCAATTGCGGGAAGAAGGACGGTCGAGAAAGAGGAAGAGAGGGTGGAAGGGACGTTGTGTAGCCCAAGAAACCCCGCCGTGGACTTGTGGGAAGCGGCTCCAACCCCTTCTTCCCCGGACAGGCTAAAAAAAAAATTGAAGACAAGGGAAAAATTGTCAGACGGACAGAATAAAGGAACAAGAGGACAATCAGATGCGAGAGCTGATGGAGCGCTGATGAGGCGCACAAATATTCCTTAAGTGGACCAAGTCGCAATCGAGCCAGAAGCCCGTCCGGTGACGACAAGAGAAAATTCCCCTGGCTGGCGGAGGGCAGGAAGAGGCCGATTCCTACTGACTGCCAGCAGTGGAAATACCGATGGAGCTAGTGGTGGTAGTGACCAGTAGTACTAAGTACCTGCTGGGCCTGCTGGGTGGCCGTGCGCCCGGAGACACTTACGCTGGTGGCGGTTGCGCAGTGCAGTTCGTTAACTAACACCTTTGCCATTGCGAACGCAGGAGAACTGGAACCCGACCAGAACAGTCAGGGGGAGTCGATCCAATGAATCTCCTCGATAATGGATTTCTCCGTCGTTCCGATGGCTGCGCCTGCAAGATCCTCCTCGTAGGACTGGGAACTTGGGACGATGGGCAGTAATACATGGCCGATGTTTATGGCGGGTATCGTCGATGTGATCCTCTTCTATCTTTCCGAGGTCTGGCGCCCGCGGTAAGAAGCGAGACCGTAATTACCAATGCCAACCCCCCGCTGGCAAGGCAACCAGCAGTCCCGTATGGTCATCGGGGACTATGCCCGATACCTTTTGTTACCTCCTGTGACCTCCTGATACCTGCCTTACGAAAGGTACTCAGAACACAGCCCAGAGAGGGGTAGAGGTACTGCGGTGTCTCAACCATCTATCTGGTGCTACCTACCCAGCGTCTTATCGTGCCCCGACACATGGCATATAATACCTTTGTTAGCAAAGTCAGACAGGACCGCTCCTACAAAGCAGGGAGAATTGCCAATGGATCGAGATAGTGTCTAGTGGCTGAACCAAGAAATGCATGTACCCTTCTCGGTATCTTCCCACTGATGTACAAATATGTACATGCATCTGTGCCATCCGGAATCCTGGACTCGGTACTTATCTACCCTCGTGGTTGCCTTCCCCATCATGGGATCCGTCGGCGGGGATCAGGCCATTGCCGCACCAGAATGACCTGTCAGAGGACATCCTGCGTGTTCCACGAGTTCCACGAGTCCCATCAGAGCTGTCTAAAGTCCACCTGAGCTCGTACCCCCGTGCATGTGGCCGATCACGATCTATGGAGTCTGGATAATGTATGTACCCCAGCAATGTATCTACCGACCTAATGCGTCGCTTCTGGACCTCATGGACATCATTACTGTACTGAAAGTACGCAGAAATAAAAAGTAAAACCGAAAGTTCTCCCCACTTCCCCCGATGCAACTTATTGAACTTTTTAGGCCCAGACCAATTTCTTGATGTCGTAGACCAGATGCTCAAGGTATCCCGTCCGCTTCTTTGCCTCTTCCACCGAAATAATGTCTGACGACTCAAGGATGGAGGACCGTGCTCCTTCGTCATGTCGTGCCTCGCCTGCCCGCACAGCGCGCTCGATCTCTTCGCAGATACTCCGCACCCAATCCGGTTGGCTCACTGTCGCGCTTGTCGAACTTGGCGGGAGCGCCTTGAACGCAATGAGCCGCGTCGTCAATCGTGGAGCTCCTTTGAACCACGAATACATGTTCCATTCCGTACTAGGACGCGCATTGCTGTCGAGGGATTCCGGGGTGACTTGGCTCTGGAGAGACCGGGTGTTGACCCGTAAAGCATTCTCATCGCCAGCAAGATATTCAATCACCAGCCCGACATTATTCTGTTCGTCTCTTTGTGTCTCAGTCAGGACCGATGTGATATAAGTGCCATGGTTGATGCGTGTCACCGAATGCAAGTCGATCCGTTCATACGACAACACCTTGTCAATGTTCCAGTCAAAGCGACAACTGTATATGGCCGCGTCTGTTAGCAGAAGCACAGCCTCCTCGAACGGCAAGGACCGCAGAGTATTAGGTTGCCGTGGGGTCAACATCGTCCAGCCGCCTAGGAATTCTTCCGACTGGTCACTGATGACGATCTTGCAACTAGTATCGATAGCATTCTGCCGGAGCTTTTGAACCGAGATCCCTGGGTCCGTAGTTTGCATCTCCACCGCAAACTCCTGGAACACCTGCGTAGAAACATTGCCCAACAGATAGTCAATACACGCCTGCGAGAAATAGTCGTTGACAATATTGTTGTAGTAGCGCGATAGGGTGAGGCCAAAGTCATTCAGTGCTCCTCGATAGTCCCGCTTCCGAGTCCTCGTATAGTCACCCTTCAAAGCCGCTGTGGAGGAATACTGTTTAGAGATAGCATCTCCGTTGTCTGCCCAAAGTGTATTAAACCACCGGGTAGATGAGTCGTGACCTAGATCTATGCTGATGCCCTCGCGCTTCAATTCCCGCTCCAGAGCCCATTGACCAAACGCGCATTGCGCGACCCCAGTACGATCGAGACAGTCCATGCAGTTCGTGCGCACAATGCCGGTTTGACTCTGGAGGACACTGTCATTCCGGATAACAGTGTCGCCGAATTCATTCAAGGTCGCCTCCAGGCGGTTCACGAGGCGGCTCACGTTCTCAAACTTCATTCCCCGACACTCATTGTGGAAGTCAAACCACTCGAGTGCGAGGGGCACGCCGTCTATGCCGCCTGACTCATTCAGCGCTTTTGTAAACTTCTCGTACTGCTCTCCCAGTTTCAACTCGCCTGCTTGTTTGTCAATAAGTGAGACCCCTTGGATCTTTCCATATCTTCGACTGAGATTTCGAAAATGTCTATCAAAGGCAAGCTGGTTCGTTTCGGTCGAATGATGCAATACAGGGACTGGCTTAAAGGCGTACGGCGACTGCGAGAAGTACAGCGGGATAGACCCACGTACTTGGAGGTAGGAGTAGACATTATGAGACGGATCCCAGTCAGGAACCGAAAGAATCTGTTCTGTCTCCACAGCATTGGCAGTATTCCCCAGATCATCGACACCGCGACGGAGGTACCGCAGACCTGGGCGCTTGACTGATCGCCGGGAAATCAGGGTGAGGAGATAGTCTCGCTTCTTGTCGCTAGTTTGGACGGCCTGTGCCTCTTGCTTGTCACCCAGTATGCGCCCCTCCAGGAGCTCCTCTTTCGGCTCTCCCGAAGGATGGTTCTCTGTTGTAGTCTCTGCAGCCTCCACGGTGAATTCACGTTGGCCAACAAAACCTTGCATCAAAGGAAGGACGAAATTATGGGCATCAACCGTAATAAAGGGACCCATGAGATGACGATTCCAGAAGTACTGGGATATTCGATTAGCATATTCCTTCTTCGTTCAAAACAAGGGTGAGGACCATACCAACTCATCTACAACCTTGTGCAACGGGAGATGGCTCTTCAGCGATGACTCTTCCTGTGCCCCGAACTTTCTAGTGAGATCGTAATCATATGCGAAAAAGAAATTCTGAGAGGAAAAGATCATTTTCGTATAACGTAGCAACTTGGGGAGTAACTCCACGGTCGGATCGGAGGAGAAAGGCTCTCCAAGCGTTTTCGGTGTTGGATCATTGCTTCGTGAAACAGGGGTCGTGCGTTCATCATTCGCCTCAGAGGCTGCGGCATCCGCCTCTGCAGTCGTCTCCTTCGCATCTCCTGCGAGCCTCTCCGTAGCACTCTGGCCAGCTGTGCCGAGCCCCGGAAGTCCGAGACTTTTCCTCGACAACCAATTCGCAGCGAAACGACCGAATCGGACCCTCTTACCGATCACATCTTCAGCGATACTGCCGACGCTGCGAGCTCTTGAATGAGCGATTTCATGCTCCGGAGAAGCCGGTGCAGTGTTGATCTCGGTGTCGCCTCCGTCACTTTCAGTGTCTGATACTGTACTGCTGTCGTCCGAGGCAGTCTCGCCTTGGCCGCTCTCCCCATGAGACAGGCTTTCCTTTGCCTGGGAGATGGCGCGGATCGCATCTGCTTGCGATGAAGTAGGGATTACCGCGACATTGGTCACGGCATAGATGGGTTTCCCTTGAATCTGAGCCACTTGTTGTCGCTGCGTTATAGAGATGAGGAAGGAATATGACGCAACGGAAAGGAGCCCTTTAGTTCAGGTCCGACGTCAGCAATGCGCTTTTCGTCGGGGATTGGGGATGCAACTTTGTTGCAAGAACGAGACAGGCGCAGAGAAAAGCCGCATTGAGCTTCAATGCAAAGGTGAACTGCTTACCAACGAGTCCATAGGTCTCCAAGCCGGAGTCCCTGTCATCATCTTGGTCCGACGCGAACGCCGGGAGCGAGGAAACCTTGTTGGTCTTGTAGTCGATACGAAGAGTGGCGGGCTCATTAGTTCCAGCATGTCTCAGTCCATTACCGGGCGACTGAAGGATCAGCCCATCGACCGCGGCGACGACGACTAGTTTTCGCAGCAAGCCAGGCATATCGCTTAAGTTTCGCGGGGTTGGGACGGTCGCGGTGAGTGGGGAAGCGCAAAAGAAGAAGCTCCGATGGCTAAGCTGCAGAGCCGAGCATCTCTAGCCCGGTCGTCCACAACACTGCCGGCATAGTTCTTATTCCACACTACTCTGTACTTGTTGGGTGGGGGCCGTGGTGTTGAAAAACAGGCCATAGAGCCAAGGAGCTGACCCCAACGCTTGCCCGGCCAGCGTGCGACATCATCGATCTACGAGCGCAAACCCCACTGCCCACTGCCCACTGCCCACTGCCCACTGCCCACTGCCCAACCAGCCCGATCTCGAGGGGCATCGTTCCTTTACGTCACTTTTGCCCCATCCACCGCACACTACACTCCGGGAAAACAACTCAGATACAATCATCAATCCAGGCTCTCACAGCCAGGTCCGCGAGCCAATGCACAAGGTCTATCTTGCAAAGTTTATCCTAAGGCCTATATACAGTTCGGATCTATCGCAGGCATTCGCCCGCGATTCATGCCACACGGGAGGAAACCTCAAAAAGTAACAGAAAAGGTGAAAAGCATACAATCCCAATGCACATCCAAATCATTCATGGGCATCTCTGGTTCCTCATCCTGGTATTTCCTCGCGCGTGGAGAGAAGTAAAAGTACAATGCATCCAGAAAGCAACACCTTTTCCGTCGACAGGTCTCAGGTGGTCGAAGGTAGAAGAAGAGCTGAGAGAAGCGCCGGAGGCGGAAGAGAAAAGGCAAGAGGGGAAACACAAGAGGGAAAAGAAAAACGTCACAGCAATATTCTGGGTCGTAAATTAAGCCAGCAAGCAAAAGAAAACCAGCGGGGCGTCGTATCATTCTATAGGACGGCATTCTTGTTGGGCTGTTGAGAAGAGCGATCTACCTCTTCACTTCGCTTATACGTAGGACCGGGCTCTCCGTCGCTGTCTCCGGCCAAGTCGGAGAGCCCGAATGCCTGGTTCTCGACATCGTAGGCGCGCATGAGCCCTTCACGGTCTCCGTGGCCGTTCATATAAGCGCCCGAGGAGCTCCGACGGTGAGGCTCGTTGCTGCGACGGGATTGCATCGAACGCCGAGTGTGAAAACCGGCAATTCCGTCCGTGGGAATCCCTTCATCGTCGAGCTTCGAGTTGAGCATTTGTCGCCCATCCGGGTCATGCCGGGATAGATTCAAGAGATATACACCGGAGAAAATAATCAAGAATCCACACAGCAATGAAATCGTGTTAACAGCATCGGTCGTGTTGAACCCCTTGAAAAGAATGAAAGAGGCGCACAAAGTCGCAGTTGTGAATGTGACATAGTAGAGAGGGTTGACACTGCCAAAGATTGTCAGCGATGCTGCAAGCGCTGCAGGCTTGACATCCACTTACATCGATGTAGAAAATTGGTTCAAGGCCTTGTTGATGTAATTCATCTGCGTCAAAATGCAGAATCCCGTGACGATCATAAAAACATAGGTCGAAGCCTGCGTGAACTGATTGTTACCTCCCAAGGTAAGCTTCACCGCGATACCAAATGCCTTAATAGACATGACAGATACGGAGCCGACTGTGGAGCAGATCGAGATATAAATCAGAGGGTTTCTTTTGCCGTATACGGGAGCGACGCGGTAAATCATGACTGTAGAGAATATCGCAACTGCAAGACAGTAGATTAAGAATCCTATAGATCAATCGAGTCAGCGGACTGAGTTAGAACCTTGAGTGTGAGTGGCTCATACCTGGCTGTAGCGCGTAGCCCAAGATCTCATCAATTCTTTCCACTGGCTTGTCCGGGGGCGCGTGAAGGACGATCACAACCGAGCCCAGCAGACACATGGCACATCCGAGCTTCCCCAGAACCCCCAGTCTTTCCTTGAGAAAATATGAGCCCAGAACGGCACTAGGACAGGTTAGCGTATCGGACGGGAGACCTCAACCAGCGATATCAAGTCTCACCCGATCAAGACACTTAGCGCACCTAATGGCGTGACCAAAATGGCGGGTGCGAAGGCGTATGCGGCGAAATTGGCGATCTCTCCAACAGCCACTATGATCCATCGTCAGCTCCTCTCGCTCAGGCGACAACGGATGAAACGAAGCCTGGCGTACATGTAACCACACCACCCCACCAAATGGGACTTTTGAGATATGAGAAACCTTCTCCTTCAAATCCATGCCTCTCGGATGCCTGCATCAAGCCCTGTATGACAGAATCAGTCGTTTGTTCGTGGCGACAATCGGTATCGACGGCAGGAGGCAATTCCGGCGGTTATGCATCGGCGGCGATTGGAGACGAACGAACCTTTTTCGTAATGACAAAACTAGTACCTAGAGACCTGTCAGCTCATACGGGGGATAATTCGGGGAGAGCATCGCATACCGATAGCCATTGTTGATGTAATGGCCAGAATAAGGCCGATATACCTGCACATGGTCAGCGTACTGCGACCCGATGATGGCCCCTACGGCCAAGGCTGCAAATTGGCCGGTCCATACTTGTCGGAGATCATTGTGAGAGTCTCTTGGAGCTGATTGCTCCTCGCGATTGGTTGACTTCAATGCTAGCGAGTGTTGAGGCAGGTGTAGTCCGAGCCGGAGCTAAATGGGAAGCACGTTGGAGAGGCTGATGTGGATGGTTTGGCGTGGTTGATGACTGTCTTGGGATTACCTTCAGCCAAGCATTCGGCAGCGCGCCAACAATGACCGACTGTCCAGGGACGAAGAACGACGGCGCCTAGGTAAGGACAGGGGGAATGCAACAAAAAAAAAGAATTCGGTGGCAGAAGGGAGTAAGCCGGGCTGGGTAAGATGCTGCAGCCTTGATGCGGCAGTAGGTTTTGGGGGTCGAGAACTCCTGCGATTGAAGGAGAGCTTGTTAGTGACCTTTGTCGGATCCTAGAGGCTGGCTGCCTGCGCTCGTGCGGTGGGGTTTTCCCCTTCAGACGGAACCGGCCCGGATCTGGACGCGCGTAAGTGGTTGAAGCGAGTGAGGGAGGCGAAAACCCAGATACTGCTGCTGGAGGTCAGAGACGTGGGCAAGTAACGAGTTTTCTGAAAGTCGCAGGAGTCTCAAAAAAGCATCGACGAAAGAACAAGAGGCGGTCGACGCCGTCCAGAAAGGACACCAGTTGATCTCTGATGGGAGCGTGACCGACGGGCAGTTGTCCTCGGCTGAAGTGCCAGATCAGACTCCGTACACAGTACGGCCTGCGTTACCGGGCAGCGTTTAATTAAACTTACCATACTCCGTACCTACGGCTGTACAGCCAGGAATGATTCCTACTAGGCCCTCTAAATATAGGTAAGCGGCAGGTCTAGTAGCAGCAGGGGGGAGAAGAACTCCTATTAGCGAGACCAGCTGCTGGCGCCTATTATTCATTGCCAAAGAAAAAAAAGAAAAGAAGAGAATTACTCCGTCCACACGGATAGACTGCTCGTTCTCCTGCCTGGTTGCTTGCTTCTTGTGATAGTGGACAAGATCTCCTCCATATTACGTATCGTATGTATGGACGGGTCAGGCCTGCGGCCTGTGAGAGCTTAGATAATCGCAGTTGGCAATGCCTTTGGTAATGAACCTGAAAAGAAGGGCAACGGTGGCCATTCCAATCACCCAATCAAGGCTTGCCAGCCACCGCCCGGCCCCTTGAGGAGCCTGGTTTCAGTATCCGATCGGCGTTATGAAACGTAAGGTGCCGACTAAGAATAGGAACCTGGAACTGAAGCCCTCGCCTCAATTCTGGTTCCGGGGTCGATGTCTCCAGCCTTGGTTAGTTTCATTACCGATCGCTTGAGCATTGTTACGGCCTTGGCATCGCGAGATGTGCACTCGGTGCCGTCCATAACACCCTATCCACTATCCACACTCCGTAGTGCTTGTCTCCTCATCTTATCAGAGATTTTGACAGGTCTGATTACGGATATACCATGCGTAAATAGCAACTAGTCGTGATCGTCTGGCACGACCCTGCCCCGTGCAGGTGGTCCGCCTAATTAATTCTAGAAGCTGCTGACTTTCACGCACATCAGGTGATCGAGTCGAGTCTGTTGGTTACCTGCAATCTCTAGATACCATTTTCCTGACACTATCATGGAACTGTTCGAGAATCATCGTTTCCTAAAGCCTTTGGGTCCTCTAGCAGCTAGTAGCTGACTGGTTTCCACCAGAGATGGCTTCGAAGTTCAGTCTGTAGCAAGGTCTATATATATAAAAAACCGTTAATTCCGTAAAACCCACCACTAGGGGAATTTTGGCCAAAATTGCTACATAAATAGTGTCATGCAAATGACTACTTATCATGCACTTCATGCAGAATATTGCGATGACTATAACAGTTAAGATGCGTCAAGAGCATGAATAGACCCAATCAAATCGCATCGTGCAGGCTATAAGGAATACTATGGAAGAGCATGAGGTAGGAAAGGCAAGAAGAAAATCGTGCTTCGGCCACCTGTTCCCTAATATGATCGACTGACTACATCATCCTAATAGTATGAACGGACCAACTGCACCGATCAAGATGCCTAACACCAAAGGAAACATGTTCCCTTCTAAGCCATTTTTCGCCAAAAGGCAGGATCCGTTCCTCCAATGGCACTTTGGCAAAAACCACTTCCACCAGCCCACCCCACTTTAGCACGGCCCACCCGCGAGGTGGCAGCTGCAAAAATGTGGGGGGGCGTTGGTTGTCTTGATTCCCGCCTTTATTACCCAAAGTTGAAGAGTGAGGTTCATATGATTGGAGGGCAGAATAACCAAAGCCCATTCCATCTTCCTGAAGAAAAGAGAGGAAGGGAGATAGGATAAAATCTATGTAGCAAAGCCAAGGCCTCTTGCCTACAATCCTGGCCTTGAAGTTTAGGGACTTAAGCGCACCGATCACCTTGCAATCCGTCCAGCAGGCGGAGCGAAGAAGCGAGGCTTAAAGGAGCACGGAGGTAACCTGTAGTTTTAGGAACAACAACATCCGCATTGCACAGTCATTGAAATCGTATCCCCCACCACAGCTAGATTTATAAACACGAGCAAGATGCTTTCTTTTCTGACAGTAGAATCAATGATGGCCTCCGGGATTTTTCTTCCCCGGCAGCCCCCAGACTGATAGCAACTTCCTGGATCTGATATCCCTAGGAAGCACAGAAATCATCAAGGAGAAAAGAAAGATGTCATTTATCACTCCCAAGGGAATGAGACGCAAGGCAGATTAAACCAAACCAGCCTATCACGCCTGCGTGGAAGCTATTTGGGGATATAACACGATAACGCCTCGATCGAGTACAGCAGAAAGACGCCACAAAGACCATCACTGGTGGTATCACTGACCAAAGCGGGACAAAGAACACAGGGGAGAAAGTATTTAAAGCCATGGGAAATGTCGAGTACAAACCTAGTGTTTTACACCCCGCATGCCGAGTGCCCAAGGCAACGCTGGTATACTGGGGCAGTATACCAATCCGGAAAAGAAAACGCAATGGGGGACGAATCAAAGTAACACGTACCTGTCTGGCTTGTACACCTGCGGATTTTCCGAGGCTCAATTGGCTGACACGATCCGTGGTTGAAACCATCATTAGTAGCTCATCACTTTAGAAGCTGCCCGAGTGAATGCACCTCACGGCCAGCTCGGTCCAAGAACGCTGGATTGGTTAGATACGGCCTTCATGAAGCCCATGGAATGGTGGATGACGGAGGAATCTCTTGAAGGTGTGGGAAAAAAGGTAGATGGTGGGTAGGATGAAAATCACGATGACCGAGAACGTTTTGCGTCCGGGGTAGGGATTTCGGTCAACTCAAAGTCGTCCTCTGGTTCGCGATACCGTTTCGTAGGAGCGCGGCTTGGTGACTTGGCAAGATTTGCTTCGTCATCTGCAGCCAATCCTTCCTGTACTCCCAAGTCCAAATACTCTTCGTCATCAAACGCCAACTCCTCAACTTCGTCGTGGGTAGCTGGGACATGTTCGGGTTCATCATGGAGCTCTCCCGGCTCGAGTTCATCCGCATTGGTCTCATCACCGATGTGCTTGATGTCTTTGCTAGGACTCTTTAGCAGATCTTCCACAATACCTAGTGAGTCATCCTCCAGGTTCTGGGTAGATTCGGTGATGTCTGGAACGTCTTCGGAGACGCTATCAGGCACTGGTTCAGTATTGTCGTATGGAGCCTCTTCGCCTCGGCCACTCGGTGGAACTTCCCCATCAACATCCTCATGGTCATGGAAGTCAGCGTCGCCTGCATCATCCTTGAAATGAGTCGTGTTGTTGATATCCTCGAGGGCATCTTCGCGGGATTCTTCCGCGTTCGACTCCGTCACGTCGCCATAGAACTCTCCAACTGTCTCTCCAGTATTTTCACCAGTCTCTACTGCTTCAGCATCTTCATGAGGGCCGAAGTGTTCAGTAGCATCTACATTAGTCTCTTCTGGATAGGTTTCATCACCAGCACCTTCCGTACCGTGATACTCATGATAATCTGGGTCATCAAGAACAGCGGCAGTCTCATTAGCAAGCTGCTGCTCGTCCAACAAGTCGGGTTGAGGCAGCTGAGTCACTGTGGCAGTCGATTCTGATTGCTCCTCTGAGTCATACAGCTCCTCAGTCGGCAGCTGGTGGTCGCCAACTTTGATGGCCTCGGTCTCAGCCGAATTAGATTCGTGGAGATGGCCGTCCTCAGCATTAGTTCCTTCCGGGACATTGCCCGAAGAGGGAACAACCACTTCGTCATTGCCTGAAGCTAAATGGCCATGACCCTCATGGTCTTGCTCGTCTTGCTGTTCACCGGTGACACCATCATGAAGCTGAGATTCAGCCTCCGGCTCATGATCTTTTTCTGAGTCACTGTAATCATCCTCGGGTTCAGAGGAGTCCTGCTGGAGATAGTCCGGATTAAACTCCTCATGACTCTCCCCAGGAATATCAGCAGATGTGGCTTCTGCTTCAGCATAACCGTCCCAGTATATTTCCGACAACCCTTTCCCTTCCTTCGCATCTACGAGAAGGTTAGAAATCTCCGCGAAGATTGTCGGTCGTGTGCTAAGGGTGAGATAGAGTGCTTCCGGCTCTTCGATTCCGTCATTGTGTGAAAGGCGCAGGTACAGGTCAACGATCTGGTGCAGTGTAACCTTATCGGTGTGCAGTGAGTCCTATACAATGATTAGCAATGGCCAATAAACATTGGGCTATGAGAACAAACCTCTGTTAGCTGGACATTCAAAGCTTCGACGTCTACAATCAAGACATCACTATCACTGATATGATCCCGTAGCACTTCGCGACAAGATTCGAACAGTCTGCCAAAAGACCCAAAAGCAAGGCTTTCATCCTCCAGGAAGAACGTCTCTGAAGAGTCGCCTTCTCTGGGGGGAAACAGTGATATCTCGTTGTCTTGATAATAAACCTTGACCGGATGCAGAGGCGTACGTTCGGTTGCTGGAAGCTCTTGTTGTTCGTGCTGATGCTCGACAGCTTGTTCCTCTGAAGAAGAAACCTGGTTTTCGCTGACTCCTGTCACCACTTGCCCTTCGCCCTCTTCTTGTTCATCTTCACGGACTCCTCCGTCTTCTGCATCTCCAACATCTCCCACATGATATTCCCCCTCGTCTTCCTCTTCCAGTTTATCCTGTGTCTGTGCAGCAGAGTCGTTGCGCTCATCAGCTAGCGGTTGGGCGTCGCCAAAACTGCTTGCTTGGGATTGCGCCTGCTTAGAAGATTCATTATTATCATTCTTCACGTCGGTTTCTGTGGTGTGTGGAACTTCTCGCTTCGCTTTGTTAGAGTCACCAAAAGGCTTCCCGTTCTCCGGCGATCCGGCTGTGTCTACTTCATACTCCTGAGGAACATTCTTTTCCGACAGATCAACATGCTGCTCAGTGTCATGCGAAAAAGGGCGATCATCATGCGCGAGAGGTTCGGCTTCCTGGTCGGGATGAAGTTCTCTGTCGGGTTCGTCTTTATCTTCTGCGGTGATAGTAATCTCCTCCGAGGGGCGTGTTCCCTCTGCCTCTGGGTTCTGAACTTCCTCAGACGCTGGCGCCACTTCTTGGGCTTCAGCTACGGGAGCATCAATGTCCTCATCGTATTCGTCTTCTAGCATTTCTGCCTCATAGATCCGTTCATTTCCGTCCTGCATTTCGACAGTGTAATCTGCTTCGGCATAAGCGTCATCGGCATCCTGCATGGTGGGTTCCGCAACATCATCGATCATATCGGCATCGTGGGTCCCGTCGTGGTCATAGTCTAGATATTCGTCTGCGCCTATCATATCTTTGTCGGTGGTGGAGGCCTGGTCTTCCATGATGTCGATATCAATATCGAAATCATCCGCATGCCCTTGATAAGGAGAAGCCATCTCCATCTGATCATCAGCCACAGAGATCTCCATGGTGGTAAATGCGAGCGATGAAGCAGTTGTCATGTCATCGATGTGCGAGAAGAGGGAGACGCGTAGAAAGTTTTATCGTGGCGATCTAGGTGTGTGCCTGACAGCAGCCCAAGGACAGGATCTGTGGGTTGCGATCGCAAGAAGTAAGGAATGAACCTGGCGCTATGAGAAGTGGAACTGCGTCTTCAGCAATAACGGCTCTGTCGAGATCCCCAAGACGGTGTGTGGAGGGGGAAAGGGAGAGGAGGATGTTGACTCGCGATGAAGAGTGAAGTGCCGACAGAGGAAGCTTCTTGTGCTGCGGTAAGCGAGGGGGTAGCGCGGCGCACGGGCCAACGGGGACCGAAGAGAACAGCAAGCGACTCCCCGTGGCCTCGACGTCAAGACACGCCTGCCAGACATTCGTCCGTTAGGAGATCGGTGCCATTCGGGCGAGAAAATATCATCTCTTATTCTACTCTTGTATCCCCATTCTCACAACCATGGTGCGGCTCAAATCATCCATCAGTTTTCCAGAACACTGCTAACAATCGCGCACAAACAACAGGTCGTCCTCGCAGCGTCCATATGCACCCGCGGGGGCAAGGCCGTACTTTCGCGCCAATTCCGAGAGATTGCTCGCTCCAGAATCGAGGCCTTGCTCGCATCCTTTCCAAAACTGGCCGACTCCGGGACTCAGCATACGACTGTTGAACAAGACAATGTCCGCTTTGTCTACCAGCCTCTGGACGAGCTATACATCGTTCTGATTACGAACCGCCAGTCGAACATCTTGCAGGACATCGACAGCCTTCACCTTTTCGCCCAAGTCACCACCAGCATCTGTAAGAGTCTGGATGAGAGGGAGATTCTGCGCAATGCCTTCGAATTACTGAGTGCCTATGATGAATTGGTGACTCTGGGGTACCGAGAGAACCTGTCTCTTTCTCAGATTAAGACCTTCCTGGAAATGGAGAGTCACGAGGAGAGAATTCAGGAAATCATCGAAAGGGTATATTTTCTCCTCTGGCTACCATGTCAACACATGGCTGATTCCGATCGTTTAGAACAAAGAACTCGAGGCCAGCGAGGAGCGCAAGAGAAAGGCCAAGCAGCTGGAGATGCAACGGAAAGAGGCCGCCAAAACCGGTCGCTCTATGGCCCCCCGGACCCCTTCTTATCCCGTCTATACACCACCCTCCCGACCTGCTGTGCCTGATACCTACGACTCCTACGAGGCGGAGAAGAAGAAATCGTTCGCTAAGTATATTCATCCCCTCCTTACCCCTACTTTTGATTCTAACGAAGCCCGACCCCAGACCGTTACCGACCCGCGGTAAGGGCATGCAACTCGGCAAGAAGTCCAAAACCACCGATATTTACGAGAAAGTGCGCGGCGACCTTGGCCCAGAGGTCGAAGAGTCCAGCCCCTTGGTGACACCACAAGCTTCTACTCCGGTCGGCGACAAGGTGTCCTCTGCTCGTGCTTCGCTGTCTACAGACCGGGATCCTGTCCACATTACCATTGCGGAGACTATCTCTGCCACGCTTACTCGAGAGGGTGCACTGAAATCCTTCGAGGTCAAGGGCGATCTGCAACTTCGGATCTCCGACCCATCTTTCACCAAACTCAAACTCGACCTCCTCGCCAACCCCACGCATGGTGCGCAGTTCCGCACCCATCCTAATGTCGACAAAGCTGTCTTCACCAACTCTTCCGCAATTCAGTTGAAAGATACATCCAAAAGATTCCCAGCTAACAACTCGATTGGTGTACTGCGCTGGCGTGTCGCAAGCTCTGGATCTGACAACGCTGATATCCTTCCTATTACATTTACCGTTTGGGTGAACAAGGGCTCTGACTCCACTACGGTTACAGTCGAGTACGAGCTCACTGGCTCTGATACTCTGCGTGATGTTATTGTCACTATACCATACGGCGCGACAGAACCGGCAGTGTCCAGCTTCGACGCCGTTTATGAAGTATCTGGAGATAGTCTGGACTGGAACATCGGTACCGTGGATGAGAGCAATGCATCTGGCAGCTTTGAATTCGAGTCTACGGGCGACGGGGATGAGAATGAGTTCTTCCCCATGAGCGTGCACTTTGCAAAGTCCAGTCCTTTTGTTGAGGTTGACGTAACCGATATCTCTCTGTTGGAGATGGAGGGCGAGAGTACTGGATTCTCCAAGGATGTGAAGAGCGTCGCTGAGGGATATGTTATCGAGTAATTCTTTTCACGTCTCCGTTGCTTGGGTGTATAGAGTACTAATGACGTTCGGACCGCCCACTTGGGGTTTCTGCGAGTTGTTTCTATGCTTTCTGACCAGGGTCTTTACCCGTGTGATTCTCCAATTTAAGCCGATTTTGCCGATTTGTATCCATTACTCAATTATTCCTTTTCCTGTCAAACGTTTTCGCCCGGGGAGGAATGTTTTGGGAGCCGGAATCCCTTATTAACCTATAGGCATCCCCCAGCACCAGCGCCACTGCCTGCCCATTGTCTCTGTATCGCGGGGAGGGTCTGTTCTCAAGCTGAGATAGTCGGTGTCTACTGACGGTCTGGGCCCGCTCAGGGAGCCAGGGCACACCATTCAGTGGCGTACCTTGGTAGGCATGCCTCTGAAGTAGGGATCAGATACGTAAGCTGGACCTAATTTCAACGTATGTCTTATTCGACGGCTGAGGCGGGATTTTCGTTGGGGGGAGAGCGACCGCCAGCCAGCGTTTCAGTCACATGAGGAACGAAGGATAGGCAGTCACGTACCAGATTACTTCCTTTCTCCCTTTCCCTCCAAATGTTTCCCTCGATCTACCCTCGTCAAAAGATGATGATCGTTCTCGCCAGTCCTAACGAGAATGCCTTGATCGCGACAGTGTAGGTGGCATGTCCGCACCATCGCGCTATCATTACTTTGCCGCCACAGGTGAATCAACCACGGAGACGGTGAGCCAGAGTCACGGTATGGTCGGCCGATCTGAGGCCGATTCGAGGCCGATCCAAGGCCGAATGGAGGGCCCATAGGGGGCCAGGCAGCATGTAACCGTCCATGATGTCTAGGCGCTTGATTAGGCCCTCGTTGGAAACGTCAGGGGATCCATGGAAACATCTCACGCTCGGTGATTTCGGTGAAGCTTTACACATACAGACTGACATTTCCACTTGCATATCCATGAAATCAGACAACACTCATGTTCGACCATGGTTACCTCAGGGTGGGAATGCTACCTTGAGAGAATAAACCCTTCTTGAGCTATTCCTCGGCTTGATTAGACTTATGGTTTACAGTGCATCGCTTCGCCCGAAGCGCTGTCTCCAGCTCATGTGCCTAAGGTCATCTCATGTTACTGCCTGCTTTTACATAAAACAGGGTTATGGCCCAACCCAAGGGAAGCGGTACCCAATCAAACCTAAGAGACTACCAGCATGTGTGATGCGAAACAACTCCTTAGTATACCGGTTGCCAATGACAAATTCTGAACTCTGGCATCTACTACTTACTAGTAGTACTGACTTCCCGCGGTTGCCGGTTGGCAAGAGCCAATAATGTGATTGTAACATCCGGCTTTAATCGAGAGAAGCTTCGGCACCAAGCATCTAGACCCAGGCAGTCCTGTCTCGCCATCCCAAGATGCAGCCACGACGGTGGCTTTCCCGTTCTTTCCCAGTCGGACAGGCACTTCGAAGAAACTTAGAAATGGAGGAATGTACGGTCTCCAAGCCTTGCTCTATACCTCGAGGGCTATATGAATACCTATCTTTCCGTTGAAGAATCCAGTTCTAAAAGTACATGAATAAGGTCGGGTCTCGGCTGTTTTACATCGTCTTCATTCGTTTCCTTCTCAACCTTTCTGGAGTAGACTACGAGAACTCCAAGACATGAGGTACAACTGTCGTGCAAAGTGACATCAAGATGAGCTGTCCTGAGGGGTTATTTCGAAGCAATTACTGACGACTACGTCTCTGTCCAGTTAATTGCGTTTTATCTTGTATCTGGCTTCTCTATTCCGCAAAACGATGCAGTATCTGCCTTGGCCAGAACAAGCAACCTTCAAAATAGCTTCAACCGAATCGAGCAGCTACAACCATGTGGTGAGCCATAAACCACCCTTGCTTTGACAGTCCAGGTACCTTACTGATGTTTCAACGCACAGGGTAGCTCATCCCGTTCGATAGCGGGACAGGAAACGGATCGTCTCTTACCAAACAGGAAGATGGCAATCCCCAGATTGGCCGAAGGTCCGGAGTCCGCTTTCTCAACTCCAGGCAGGTTTCACCGTCGCCACGTGAGTCGGGCTTGTGAATCCTGCAGGCAAAGGAAAACCAAGTGTACGGGGGATAAGTCTGGCTGTCGCAATTGCCGGGACGCTGGCATCATCTGCTGTTATACAGACGGCAAAAGGGAAAAGTCTAAGAGGTGTGTCTGGGTCTATCTGAACGTTGAGCCCCTTCTCTGACTAGATAACCTGGCGGAAAGACAATTGGCTAGCTTGGAGTCGAAGATACAGACTTACGAAGATGTTCTGAAAAGTCTGTGTTGCCGATTTGGTTTTACCAATGAACAATTGATGAACGTGGCATTGACAGTGGTGTGGATGAGACCCCCTCACTCTTGACTCTTACTAATTTTTCACTGATTGATGACAGGGAGGACCCTCTGGACAAGCCTTGCACTTTGATATGCGAACTTCGTTCACTGAAGATCAGGGGCTTTTCTGCGCTTTTAATGCTGAATCGCCATCGTTTGTTGACCCCACCAGTTGCGTTGACTACGTCAAGGAGGATTTCAACAAAGACGAAACCTCCCAAGCCACAGGCTTCATCGGACAAAGCTCGGAAATATCGTGGATCCAAGCACTAAGCAGAGAGCTCAATCGTGGGTTGGAAGCTGCTAGGCCCGGCGAGACCATGTTGCCTTTATCGGAACGCGATGGGAGCATCATATCCGCCCTGAATTATCATCTCGATTACCAGGAATTACCCACCATTCAACGGCTGGATGCTTTTGCACTACCCTCAAAGGACATGGCCTCAAAGCTGTATAAGTTATATGTGGATTGGGTGCACCCCTCCTTTCCAATCATCGGTATCACGCCATTTGGACCGCAGTTCCAAGCATTCATTGGAAATCCCTCTTTGCGCCCAGGAAATAAATGGCTCGCAATCCTCAACCTCATATTTGCGATCGCTGCAAGGTATGCTTACATATCCGAAGTGGACTGGCCATTAAACCAGGATGACCACCTGTTGTACTTCTCGAGAGCGAGAGTCTTAAGCATGGATGATCGACATCTTCATCATCCTGACCTACAGCAGCTACAGGTAGAAGGACTGGCTGCTCTATACATGCTCGCCTTGGGCCACATAAACCGGTATGTCTATCTTTTTGAGCGCACCAAGGGCTGTGTTTGAAGGGGTATTGATGTCTATGTGCTTACGAGTTACTCAAGGGCGTGGAAACTCTGTGGAAGCGCTGTGCAGGGCGCCCTCGGTCTCGGGCTTCATCTACGCCACATGGGCGAGTTTACCACTGATACTTCAAGAGAGGCCAGATATCGTGTATGGTGGTCCCTTTACATGATTGATCATCGACTCGGCATGATTACTGGACGGCCTTCCTGCATAGATGATAATATTCACACGACACCTTTACCGGTTCCCTTTGACGAGAGTGACTTTGGAAAGGAGGAAGTGATAATTCAGCTCAAACGTTTACCCAGAGCAGATCCCAGTAATTCAGGAGGTGCTGCAAGCCCCCGATTGGACCCGCAAGCCAAGCACCTTATAACTACAAAGATTACGGATACAGTCGCCATTCCTTCCTGTGGATCACTGTACTTCCTTCACCTCATCCGGCTTACGCTAATTGCAAGGAAGATGAAGGTTAAGCTCTACAATCCCGGAGTGGCGCGCAGCCCTTTGATAGGTGTTGAGCTCGCCATACAAAGTCTAACATCAGACATTGAATCCTGGCTCTCGGCTCTGCCTAAGGATTATGATTTCACATCCATGCAGTCATCACAAGCGACACAGTCGATCATCCACCAAAGAATTAGTCTCGCATTGTTCTTCTATAGCACAAAGATGGGTATCACACGGCCGTGTCTTCGTCGTCTGAGCTCAGTCAACCCAGATGGCAAATTTCAAGACTTTTGTAAGAGAACAGCAGCTGAGTGTGTGGAATCAGCCTGTCATATGCTCAGATTATTCCCCGAAAATCTACACGCAGCGACTCTATACAAGATGTCTCCTTGGTGGTGTGTGTTGCATTTTCTCATGCAGGCAACCACGATTCTCTTGCTTGAGCTCGCGTTCGGTGTTCAGCATGTTCCCGAGAAAGTCTCGATGGTGTCTAAGGCTGCTGAGAAAGCCTACGAATGGCTTGGCATACTGGCAAGGACCAGTATGGCCTCGGAAAAAGCTCGTCTACTCTGCGATGGGTTTATGCGTCGTATCGCACAATGTGCAGGAGGCGACACATCGAATTACCTATGCGCTGCTCACGCCACTGGCAGTTCACAATTGAATGACACCCCTGTTCCGCCTTCTACAACTGGTGCAAGGGAGCTTCTTTCTGCTCCCGATACTCCAGATTACGACATGGCAGATGTTTCTCTGCCGCCCTTGGAACCATCGGGCAGCATCAATGCTCCACCTTCTACATATCAGACTCCAGGAAATCTTGATTCTATGAAAATAGAAAGAGACACCCCTTTCCAAAGTCCTTACGATGGAGGGCTTCCTTATGATCCGAGCACTGGGCAAATCATAAGCTCGTTTTTCCCTCCCGGTGCAGTGCTCGACTTTGATGTACGTGACTATCTCTTGGAAGAGTTCTGATCTCACCTACACCTTCGGTCTTCGGTTATGGTTCCAGAATCCTAGGACTGCTGCTCTTATAGCAGACATCCCCCGTTCTACTTTGGCTTTCGTCTCTCAATTTCATTAAGGCATGACCCCAACCCACACTGGACCAACTTTCTCTTTGAAGTCTTTACAAGTGTTTACGTCTCGTTCAAATTGCCGCATTCATTACGTTGCCCTTCCTAACCTCCCCATTTGACCTTCTTGGCGACATTCCGGTGGGATCCCACTTGGTCGTACGAGTAAGGCTGGATCAAAATGTTCCCCACAGTGGGAACGACAAAAAAAATGATATTTCAAGAGCAGACTTATGTCCGCATGTTTTTATTATTACGTTGTCCCTTTTCGGAACGGAAGTGCTTAGCATTATGACGTTCAACGGAATGACTTTCTTTTTTTTTGCCTTTCCGGCGGTTTGAGAAAATGGAATATTCAAGCATCAGGTTGCAAATCTGTACGTGTTGTAGTATCTAGTACTTTTCTATCTGGGCAGACGTGATGCCGCAGCATCAGGTGATGAAGGTCACGTTTCTTGCTCCTCATTCAAATCAGTCATCTAGCCTTTCAGTCCTCAATAGGCGATACATGAGGGCATTAGCACGCCACCACTTCCCAACCGATCATGCTATTTCCCCTCTACAATTGCACATGTGACGAAAGAAACTTGCGAAAAGAAGAGGTTGGCTCCAATATGACCTCGTAGTTATCTGGACATATTTAGAGTATGTATTATAAACAAAAAGGTTCTATATACATTCTCCAACACGTACGCAGGCATCAATGTGTTGGAGGGGAGGGAGGCACCAAGAGCCATCAGGATTGTTATCGCCCACGATTCTGTATCCAATCCATAGGGGACTGACCGTCATTCAGAAAGAAACACCCCAAAGCTAAAATGGGCCCAGTACCAATAGAACCTCACATGCGGGTAACCATGTATCCAGATAGTAGCAGCGCTGGCAGTACCGAAGACTGACCTCATGGCACGCTCTCGTCTGTTCCAATGGATCGGGGTGAGAATATTTCTCGAAACCCATAAAGGAGGGGCGGGGGTCGGGGGTCTAGCCGGGCAACCACCCCTCCTACGTACCCTGGGATGGCGACCCAGAGAGAAACCACCAAGCCACTGGCACGAAAGAGCAACCGGTCGACCTATCTAGGCCCCCTCCCCGGGCGAAACCTAAGCCTCCCAGTTCCGTTTCTTGGCGGTGAATAGGAACCGGGCGTTTTCGTCCTGGGAGGTGAAAGAGGGGCGGGTAGCACCACGTGTTAGGACGGGGATTGCGCTGATTTTCGAGATTCGGATATCGATGACGTGCGCGCGGGGAAGGGCTCGATTGGCCCATGAGGTTGATGGATGGGGCCATTTGGGGCCACCGTCCCAGGTTTGAGGGTCGATTCCGAGGAGGCCTCGACTGTCGCCGATGAAACGTTCGATGCAGTCGAGAGGGGGGAGGAAGCGGCGGCGGACGCCGCAGCCGATGTGGCTGGGGTCGATTTGGTAGTCCGGGCATTGTTTGAGGGAGGCGATGATGGTGGTTATGTCTGTTGGGGGAGCTGGGGGGTGGTCGGGTGCGGAATCGGAGTCGGAGGTGAAGTCGAGGGCGAAGTCGGGGTCGATTAAGGTTGAGCCTAGGAAGATGGTCTTGGTGCGGAGGGAGAAGAAGCGTGTCATTTGGCCTAGATGGAAGGCGTCGCAGGCGCTGGAGTTGCCGAAGCCGTAGCGGCATTGGAATGGACGGGGCTGGTGTGTGGCCGGTGCGAGGGGTTGTCTGGGGAGGAAGGGTTTAGGGGGCTCTGGATCTTCTAGGGCACCGTAGACGCGGAGGAAGTAGGCTTGGAGGTCGGTGATGGTGTTGAGGACACATTGGCGGCGGTAGTAGAGCTCCTCTGGGGTATGGTTAGTGTTTCTAAGGTGAATGGAGTGGGTGATGGGTGACAGTACCTTCTATGCCACCGGAGAAGTAGCGCCAGTGGAAGGTAGGAGAGTCGGGGGGCTCGACGCCGTTTTCCCAAGACTTCGATCCAAGTACTATCAGGGCATGTGTCATTACTCTGAAGATGATCGGTTCGTCTAATGTCCGCGCTACAAAGATCGTCTGTCGGATGCGATCCTCACTCAGCTTGAGTAAGACAGAATCGAACTTGGTGGGGGAATATTTCCCTTTTCCAAAAGCATAGCTGACTCTTTTGAGAGATTCTTGCACGATGTGCGGAGAGTTGAACGCATCTGCTAGCTCCAGTAGCCTCGCAATCAGGGATACGGGCATGAATTTGAGTTCTGCATCGAAGGAACCCTTCTGTTCTTCGTCAAACGAGTTGAATGAGAGGATCTCGAGGAACAGCTTGATGGCATCTAACCCAAGTCTCGGCGAGAGATGTTTGCTTGGGAGAATCACGACAGGCAAATAGCTCACTTCCGCGCTTTGTTCATCAAAAGAGACGCCGTTCATGGGCTCGGGAGTCGGCAGTTCCCGGTGCATCGTCTTCTGTTGCATGAGTTGTCTGCCCTCGGAGAATTTCTCAGGATCAAGAAGGGCTCGAAAGTACGGACTATTTTGCATCAGATCCTCACTGGATACTCGCCAGCGACGGCGACGTGCCTCAGCTCGCATGGATGTGTCCGCTTCGAGATCCGAATATTCGATGATAACATCGCCTGTTCTCAGGATGATTTGATAGGGTGCATCAGACTCCCCCGAGTCAGGAAGTAGATATGGTGCCTGCCTTATCTGGGGTTCCAATTCGTTTGCAATATTTTTCAAGGGTATGTTATCAATCGTAGATCCCAGACCCTCGTATTGAGGATCCAGGGGATATTTTGAACCCATGGCGAGAGAGCGTGTATATTCCACGGTAGTTTGAAGAGACGTATCGCTTTCCTTATCCTACCAACACAACTGCAGGGAGCATTTGAGCATTTTCGGCGCTTCCTCACAACGTCGAAACAGGAATTTGCCTGTGCTGGTACTTTGAATATGGGATATCCGCCACAGGCGTTTGTGCATCATTTGGAGGCCGCTCCACGAGACAACAGAGACATTGTAGTGCAGGATGTAAACTCCTCAAGCCAAAGAGCTATCCATATTGGCAGAGGGTCGAGAAAACCTGGATTAAAAGAACAGAGACAAGGTGGTGAAAAGTAGTTGGTGGTTGGATCGAAAGAATTGCCTCTTCAGGCCATGGTGTCATGTGACCCGTCGCGGGGATGCTGCCTTAGGGTCAATTGCATTCTTTCAGGCTGCCAGGCTTCATAGGCTATCCCCTTATAATTGGATATCCACGTTCCTCTCCGATATCCTGTGCAGTTACTCTTGCTTATCGTAGCCCATTCACGCTGTCTTGATAAGCGAAGGGCGACCGCAACAATTCTTATGATATACTCGTGTCGGCGGGAAAGTGAAGCACGTTGCAGCACGACCGAACCCCTTAACCAATTTGATGATGAATCAACGCAAACCATTGTGGACTACTCCGTACTAGAACATCAAACTCCACCAGGTTGGTAGGTCAGTTTCGTAGGTTTCAGGGGCGGAAGGATTCATAGAAGTCCTAATCTGACATTGTGCACACAAAGGTACATCTACACCGAATCACTCCGAACTTCGAATAGGATCACGATGTTGGGGCAGTGCTCAGCCGTCGGCGGTCCCAGCCGCTGCAGGGATCAGGATCAAGATTACATCGAGCCTAGAACTCAGATTCGATCTAAACACCGTTCTAATGGCGCCGTTGGGGCTTAGCTCGAGCTGCTTTATACCCCGATTGGATGCTTACAGTTTAGCGGTCGTTGGTATTTGGAATTTTGAAATTCCCTGAGCCTAGTGATGCGAAAAGTTGCTATGCCCTGGCTGTAGCCACAGATGGTTTCTGGCCCCCCACATGCTAGTTTCAAACAATTGGCAATGATAGAACATGACAAAACGAGATGATTTTCACAGCGCTCAACTCCATAACCCCCATGTGCAATAGTGTTGCTTTAAAAAGACATAATAGCGAAAAGTATGTATATATGCGAACAGAATGGGTGATTAGTTGGTCCGAAGCCAAAGCGATAATATAGTGCGTAGAAGGAGAAACTGCAGACGGTCTTGCTTCATGGTAACGACACGATCGGGATATGTAGGATCTGGCAACTCTTCGTTTGCTCAGGCTTCACAAACCCGTTTTCCTGAGTGGATGCTTCACGGAGTTTGAGCGCCTTGCCGGCGACATGGAATAATTTCGCGGCAAGCGGGTTCAGCGTTTCGACTGATATCGACGTCTCGGGCAAAGCAAAGCTAGTTGTCTCATCGTCCTCCATCACCTCTTCATCTTCATCGCCGCCTTCAAGCGATTGCCCGCCCATTCCGTCGGGACGCTGAGAGATAGGGGAGAACAGGGCGAAATGCGGCAGTGCCTCGTCGTCATCAGACGAGTATGGGCTTAGCTGCTGTTGTTCATCGCCGTAACTAGGCAGGCCCGTTTCAAAGATGTCGGTTCGTTGCGAAGTCAGATGCCACGGTTCACCACTGAGGAAACCCACCACGAAATCTTGGTTGGCACGGGCAGCAGCTATACAGCTTTGACGGTAGTCCGGGGTAAATGAAGTGTCCGTCCTGGATGGCAGACAGAGCACGAGACCACGGGCCAAAAGAGGGGGGGGAGGAAGATCCTCGGGTATCGTCGATGGACTCAACGTTGCGAACTCGAAACCATGTCGCTCGAATTGGGGGGACTCCAAGGGGTAATCAGACGAATCCTCGGTATGTTGTGTGATGGTCTGGGTAAGAGAGATGGTGGAAGCCTTCCGTGGAGGAAGTTCCAGGCCGCTATGATCAACAGCGTACTCAGTGAGATGTTGCGATTGTGCCGAGTCTTGGTCGTCAAAAGACTGCTCACTCGCGAAACTATTCGCTGTGATCTCGGTCCGGATGGTCTGCACCGTGTCCGCTACCGCCTCCCGAGCGGCAGCCTTCAAGGTCGGAATCAGGATGTCGGCTTCTTGATTATAAACGGCGGCCCCTGAAGCCCAGGCCGTAGAAAGTCCCGCCCAGGATGCCGGCTTCACCACCCCTCTGGTGTATTTCTTCCGGATCAGATCAACCACTCCATTCCGTGCTTCTCTCGACTCGGTCTTCTGCCGACCGACCACGTCAACGGTAGCATTGAGGATCCTCCCACTTTCCCAGATCAAAAATCCATGTTTTTTGGCCAAAGTGGTCAATTGACGGACGGTATCTTCGGACCAGTCATCGATGATATCGGCATGGACCTGGAGAATACTGATGTGCGGGCCGACCAAGGAGGCGAGATGAAGGAGCGAGTCGGTAGTGGTGACCGTGTGAGAGGGAGAGACACAGACGGGCAATCCGTAAGGCAGTTCGGATTTGGACTTGGCCAAGGTCTGGAGATAGGAAACGATACGGTTGCCGGGGAAGGACGGGCAGTCCAGCGACGAAGATGTATCCATTGCGGCAGAGAGTAGCGAGGGTGACCAGGAACAGAGCAATGGTTGTCACGGAGGAAGGGAGAGGGAGGGAGAGGGGAAAGGATTGGGAGAGGAGGAGGAGGGGAGAAGAGGGGAGGAGGAGGGGAGAAGAGGGGGGAAGAGGTGGGAGAGCAGGACGACCGGAAGGTCAGTCAGTCTGTTATGTCTCTTTTCTTTGTTTCCCTCACTTTCTGGCTCAGGGAGCTCGTCCGGTTGAACTAGGTGGTAGGTACACTAATTAGATGGGTGGTAAAACCCACTTCCAGTCCCTTGACTGGTCGACTCGGTCGAGACAAAATGATTGACAATTGAACACCGTCCCCACTTTTCCGACATTTAGCTCGACATGATCAGTCGACAGGGGTTGAGGGGGGCCCCGTTCGGAAGTGGTTTGAGTAGGAATCGGATTGGATTCAGCAGATCGCACCCGCTTGCCAGTCAAAATCTGCCGAACCGGACGGATGTGACGGCGAGAATAATTGAGGCCCTCGCGCGGCCTCTCTATATAGGGAGTCAAAGATCCCTGCATGATCGCGTCGAGCCAGCAACCGGAGGCCTGGCCTGGCCTGCCTGAACTCAGCCAACGCGAACGATGGACGTACTGTACCTTATTTTCTGCTTGCGAGCGACCCAAGCTTGGTGCGACTCCATCCATCGACGACGGAGCCGCGACACGGGGAAATACCGAGTGCCTCCCCACCGACCGATACCGTTCTTGACCGATCTGACTCTTGAGGCTTGCTGTACTGCCCCGTACCGGCGCAGTATTCAGGATTTTAATCTTACACCAAAGAGGGAGGTAATCTATCTGCGAACCATGGCCACCAGAAACTATGCCCAGTTTTGCTTTCCAATCATCTTTGCAGCTTTCGCGTCTCTTAGCTCCTCCACTTTTGTGATCTCCAATGATTTCCACCCATGGAGATCGTCTTGACTTTCGACTCTCGAGTCTCGAGTCTCGACACTCGACAGGACATCCATCGGTCTCATGAGTGTTCTTCAGTCCTCGGAAAACATCAGTCCATGCCCCCTCTTCCCCCCTCCCTCCCTCCCCTCCCACTCCTCAACTGTAAGCAGGGCGATTATTGGTGAGTGCAAACCCACCGGATGTCCGTCCTCCAACTTGCCCAAATGCCCAGCCTGGCCATTAACGCCCAGTGCCCCGTCGCCCACCCCATACGGAGTGGACAGGGGCAAATCCGCCTTGTCGGAACGAGCGATCCGGTATAGTGGAAATGTTACGCAACTTACGCCGCATACGCAGAGAGCGGGTCGTCCATCAGGCGTAATTTCGCCGTTCCCGAGGGGACCACTTGAGTGCACCAGCTGTACGTGGCTAAGAAGGTCAAAATATGGGAGGGTTGCCAATAGCGCTTTACAAGGCAGTAGTATTGAGTCGCCTTTATCGTGTAGATAGTTGCTAGTCCCTTCAGCTTCTCCCGGGTGCCAGGTTCGGTTGGTGTTGAGGTGCTTTCCATTCTCGCTTAGTAGTACGGAGTAGACCCTCTCCGATTCAACCGTCAACTAGAGGGTTTTTTGGTTGCCGATCGTATGCCCCAACGTCGTTATACTTTTAGGCGCTACTGGCCTTTCGGAAGCTGCTAAGAATGGCTTCGTAGACGGCCTTGACTCCAAGGTATACTATCGCCTATTCGGATGACAGCCTCATTCCTCGAATTTAGGAAGCTACCCAAAGCTTTGAGCCCCAAACAGCCTCTGATACATCCAACTGCCGGGTGTCTTGTGATGAGTCCCAGATCCGCCCCAGCGTTCAGCTGCCGTCGACGCTTTGACAGCCTTGACGGGAAAGACGCATGTTTGGAGGGTGATCCGCTTGGAGATAGTTTCAGGCCGCAATGCCTTGCCTTGGACGGCGAGTGACCAGTGCTCCACTCCGTACGACCATTTCCACGCACCGAGACATGGTACGGAAGAGTATTCTGCTCTTCTCAGTCTCTCACAGACATGCCAGACGAGGAAGACAGGATGGAGTCCCACAGGATCCTGACGGGCCTGGATTATCATTGGTCACATGAAACGCTAGGCAAGGTATCTGTCGATCAGGCCATCATTTGACGGATAGCATGTAGTGTGTGCGGAGTACCACGGAGGACTGATAGACAGCAGCCACTGCAGACTCGGTACCGACGTCCGCAACTACCTCTTATGGGCTCATGTGATCGGGCAATTTAGGTGCCCTCCAGGCTCCATGGTCCTACCAGTGGCTCCATTCGCCCAGCTCGGACCGTCACAGCATCGCGTGCGGTGTGTCTTTACCATCCCGATTCAGAAACACCCTCTCGCGCCATATCTGATAAGAGGTGGTGTTCTGTTTAACGGTCTTCAGTGCTTGCTGCTTACAGTGTCGCAGCATTAGCCTCGACTGTGCTACAAGGGTCGAGTAGTCTGTAGCTTAGCGCTATACTAGGCGGAATATTGCTGCATGCGGTAGCTAAATTGGCAAAAGCTCCAGATTAAGTCCATCATATACCTACGACTTTCTTTTTCTACTCAAGAATTGGACGGGAGCTTTCCTTTTGTAACTGCGTTCGGCTTGTACTACTATCTTCGTACTACTACTCGTGTGTCCACCCACTAAAACCCTTCAGCTACTAAGCCATCCTTTTGGACAAGCGCCGTCAGTGGCTGCCTTGCTTTGGCCTCAGGCGTTGAGATCATGTTACCGCCGGCTGACTTAGCCACTCAGGGGCAGGTCCCGAAGAGGACTAGTGGCCTCCGTGGATTCCGTTGTATCCCCGACGGCCTGACCGGCAAAAGACCTCGATGGGGAGCCACTCGGTCGCTCTCTGTACAGTCTTAAAAACGGCTTTTGCTTTTCCATTTACCAAAGCCCAGAAGGTCACGACTCGCTAGCTGCCATAGCGGTGTTTGCTGGGTTTCTGTCGCTGTGGTGAACGCCTTTTTCAGTGGTACAACGAATTTTTCCTCCGGAGCCTCGGACCCGCGATCCCTGCTTGATATTTTGAAGCTCACGCCACTTCTCCCTCGGCCATTTATAGTGCTTTCCACGGCAGCTAATCGACAACCGTCCAACTACGTCCCTCGCATTTGAGCGCTTGTCACCTCCCTCTGTCGCTGATACTACATCACGGTACCGGCTTCTCAGGCTTTTACCTTGCGACGACCATGTCTGGCAAAAACCTCCCCACATTCACCCCGGCTGAGATCGAGTCTCATAACAATGCCAAATCCTGCTATGTGACCCTGGGCTCCAAGGTCTATGACGTTACCGATTTTGTCGATGGTCATCCCGGTGGTGAGGAATTGGTTCTCGAGTATGCTGGCAAAGACGTGGCGGAAATACTGCGCGACCCGGCCTCTCATGCTCATTCGGACTCGGCATACGAAATACTGGAAGAATGTCACATTGGGTTCGTTGCCTCGGAATCAAATGGCAAGGCTGTGAACGGATGCGCTTCTCAAGCAAAAGAACGACCGCTGTACGCCACGACTGGCATGTCCTGTGAAGAGGACCTGTCTGTCGACACCGACTACACCAGGGATTATCAGACGCACAAGTTTTTGGATCTGAACAAGCCTCTCCTTGCCCAGCTCTGGAACAGTGGGTTCACCAAGGAGTTCTATCTGGATCAAATCCACCGCCCGCGGCACTACAAGGGAGGGGAGTCTGCGCCACTTTTTGGAAACTTCCTTGAGCCTTTCAGCAAGACCGCTTGGTATGTGGTTCCTATTATGTGGCTTCCTCCTGTCACATATGGGACTGTCCTCGGGTTCTCTGGTCTGGCGAATGTGCCGGCTGCCTCTGCTTATTGGGTCGGCGGACTTTTCCTCTGGACCTTGATCGAATACCTCATGCATAGGTTTTTGTTCCACATTGATCGGTATGGGCCCATGCACGTCCCCCTCTGGAGTCACGAGCACTAATCTTGTTTAGCTATCTTCCCGATAACCGAGTCGGTCTTACTCTCCACTTTCTGCTCCATGGAATCCATCACTATCTACCTATGGACAAGTATCGGTTGGTCATGCCACCGGCTTTGTTTATCGTCCTAGCCACCCCGTTCTGGAAGTTGGCTCACACCGTGTTCTTCTACAACTGGTATGCCGCTCTGACGGTATTCTGTGGCGGTGTCTTTGGCTACGTCTGTTATGACTTGACTCATTACTTCCTTCACCACCGCAAGTGAGTTCCCCTGGCCTTTGAAAGTTCTATATCACCTCGCTAACCGCCGTTGTTCATCTAGTCTTCCCGCCTACTACAAGGCACTCAAGAAATACCACCTTCAGCACCACTTTGCGGACTTTGACAACGGATTCGGTGTCACTAGCCGCTTCTGGGATCGAGTGTTCGGCACCGAGCTCGAGACTCCGCCTCCCAAGGATGTGAAGACCCAGTGAACGGGTTTCCGTGGTATTATACATCCTGATGCTTCTCTCCTGAGTCCTTCGCGAGTATTAACACCTCGCTTCATATCCTATGTTTTAATGTACGAAGTAATGCCGTCGCAGACGTGTGTTCATTATTTTTACTCACGTTGACCTGCAGGAGTTGGGCTTCTTGTGAATTTCGTGTACATTGATCGTCATGGCTGGGTTGAAGGGCGCATCCATCATTCTTCCATGACTTGTGACTATGACTCTCCTTGTCTGATATGAATCATTATACAGTTTGTACAAAGTATATGACCACTTAATATATAATCACTATTTTATAGTCCAACATGAATCTCTCGGGTTTTGTGAAATTGAACAGGTCCAAAATCCGTGTCTGGCATGCCGACTGAGGTCTATCCATGGTTCACAACTGTCCGCGGGAAATGGGAAAACTAAAAGATAAGGAGGCAAAGATGCCAAGAGCCACGTGACCGAAAGGCGTCCCACGCCAACGGAACATTGAGCTGTACAGTATCTTCATATCCTTACCTCGGCCACATCACCAGCGCGACCATTTATTTTCCGGTGGAACAGCTCATATTACCATTTCACTATTTAACCTCAATCTGACCTGAAGCAAAGGAGCAGTAACAGTCTGCCGAGATCCGGATTTGAAACAGAAGGGTTCGCTCAAGTCAAGCTTGATACGCCGTCACACTCTAACGAAGCCAAAGTGACCTAAATCCTCTCCAAGCGAACTTCGTTTCTTTTTTCTGTTCAGTTCAGTCCAGGAAAAGAGAAATTGCAGCATATAAACAATATGTCAGGTCTCGATGTTGAGGCTCTGCTCGAGTCCACCGCCGCTCCGCCGTCTCAAGACCCTCCCCGTTCTCAGGACCGCGATGACCGCTCCAAAGCCGATAGTACCGACCGCCGCGATCGTGACCGGTCGCGAGACAAAGACCGCAAGCGGCGGGACCGCAGCCGCGACCAACGTCGCTCGCGAGATGTCGATGGGGATGAAGACATGAAGAGCCCGAAAAGCGAACATGGCAGTGCTAACGGAAGCCATAGAAGCAGAAAGAGGAGCAGGAGCCGCGAAAGCGACCGCCGTCGGTCTCGTCGTGACCGCTACGGGGACGAGTACCGCTCGGGCGGTGACTTCTATCGCGGTGGTGGACGGGCTCGCACTCGATCTCGGTCCCCCTATGATGACCGCTATTACCGCCCCTCGGGCCGCTCCCGTCGCGATGAGCGGGATGAAGAAAAACGGACTCGTCGTGAGCGTGAAGGTCGGAGACGCAGCCCAAGCCCGAAAAGTCGCGAAAGGACTCCGGAACCTACTGAGGATGAACGTGACAGGCGTACAATTTTTGTCCAACAGCTTGCTGCCCGGTTGAGGACCAAGGAGCTGATTGCGTTTTTTGAAAAAGTCGGGCCTGTCAAGGAAGCTCAGATTGTCAAGGATCGTGTCAGCGGACGGTCCAAAGGGTGAGTCTACTTCCCTCTTCCGGGGGCATGGGCAGGTGCTAATTCTTCTAGTGTCGGTTACGTCGAGTTCAAAAGCGAAGATTCCGTTGCGCCCGCTATCCAGCTTACAGGACAGAAACTTCTAGGAATTCCCATCATCGCACAGTTGACTGAAGCGGAAAAGAACCGTCAGGCCCGCAACCCGGAGGCCAGCAGCGGCAACAATCACGCTGCTCCATTTCACAGGTTGTACGTGGGTAACATTCATTTCAGCATCACTGAAAGTGACCTCCAGAACGTCTTTGAGCCTTTTGGCGAACTCGAATTTGTCCAGCTGCAAAAGGACGAGACTGGTCGGAGTCGGGGTTATGGTTTCGTGCAGTAAGTGCTCGCTTCTTTGCTACTGGAGTTGGAATGTTGCTAATCGAGCATAGGTTCCGTGACCCGAATCAGGCTCGTGAGGCTTTGGAAAAGATGAATGGCTTTGACCTTGCTGGTCGAGCCATCCGTGTTGGCCTTGGCAACGATAAGTTCACTCCTGACTCGAACGCACAACGCATGCAGAGCCAAGGTGCAAACCAACATAATTTCCAGGGCTCTCAGTTCTCGGGTCACGGAGGACGTGGTGTTCAGGCGGGAGGTACCAGCAACTTCGACCGTGCTGGAGGCCGTGATTCCGAAAAGGGAGCCGGTGCCAGCGCCTTGGATGATACGGACGTTGCGGGTGTAAACTTCAACAACTACAGTAGGGACGCATTGATGAGGAAGCTTGCAAGAACAGATGAACCCTCCGAGCCTGCTGCCGATGACCAGCAGAAGGTGCTCCGGCCCAGGACTGAGACCAAGCCGTTGCCCGTCAATGTCAACATGGCGAGTCGGTGTGTCTTGCTTCGCAATATGTTTGACCCTAACGAGTAGGTGACCCGTGCCTCGTCTTACGTGTTTGATCTAACAGTTCTACAGGGAGGAAGGCGAAGTCTGGATCAAAGAGTTGGAGGATGACGTTCGCGCTGAGTGCGAAGACAAATATGGCCATGTTGTTCACATTGCACTAGATCCCAACTCGCAAGGCGACATCTACCTAAAATTCGACCGCGTCCAGGGTGGCGAGAACGCCATCAAGGGCCTGAACGGGCGTTTCTTCGGTGGTCGACAGATCACCGCGCAGCCCGTCGTCGATGCTGTTTACAGCAGCCTGTTCTCCCGAACCAAAGCGATCTAAAGTATCTGTCTGACCTGGACATGCGCCTGCCAGACACGTACGGGTAGGTATTTCATCTAATGTTTCACCAGGTGCAATCTGTGACGGCCGGCCCACACTTTGACCTTGAACTGTCGGCTTGGATGACACTGCCCTGGTAGGTGCCAGTCTTCTTGACATCTTGCTCTTATGGTTGTCTCCGGCCGAGAGCCTTGCGGAATGATCTGTTTATAGGGATTTGTACATTGCGTTAGCGCCAAATAGTATTCGTAACTTCAATAAAAGTCTAGCTAGCTGTTGTAATATCTGCCGGGTTGGTCTGGCAATTCTCTTGGTCAGCCGCCGACAGGATAGTTGACTCGAACAAGGCATAGACAGCCAAGCCAACTTTCCTTCGCATAAGAAGACTGTCTGCTCACTGATCGCATTATACCAACATGCCCCATCACTCAAAAACGCCCAGTGAGTTACTGTCCTTCTCATAGCGGAACAACGTCCAGATCGAAGCCACCCTCCGATCTTGCTATGAGTTTCCGGTATTAAGGACATATCCAGAGCACCACTTCTACATCTATCTAGATATCACTGACATAGCCTGGTCTGTGTAGCCTCGTGCGCAACAATCCATTACTCTCCTGTCATACTAGTGATGAAGCCATCATCTCTGGATTCACATCTGTATACTATAAGGTAGATAGTATGCACCTATTTTCCAATCTCTACGTGGCAGTCTATCTACACAGAATCAAGTCACGCCGTCACCTCCCCGTCACTATGCCATTACAAGTAACAGAATCACCAAGAGGGAAGATAGAATAGATGATCCTCTTCTATGCTGTAAAGACCGTTAACTTCTGCCGTGATTTCACCATCACTATCTCATTACAAGTAACGCATAACCTACCAAAGTAGGGTTGGATATTCCTGACCATGACAAGACACAGAGTGCACATTCGATACTCATAGAACTATATCTGTCCCTGCCGTGACATTCCCATCACCAAGTCATTCCAGGTGACGGGCATCCCCTAAAGCCAGGTATAAGATTTGTATAGGAGATATAGAGAGCTGTAAGTTCCTGTCTAAACTATTAGATTCTACATGAACGAATCTATCTACACCGACGGTCACTTTCTCGTCATTCCCCAGCATTGCAGACTATGTCTTGGTGAGAAGTGCACTTAATTCTATCAGTATAGACACCTATAGCACTCTTTCTAGTAAATCTTCTAAACCACAGGCTGCCCACAACACCTGTTAGATTCCCACCACTTATGACAGAAGTAGACCAACTCGAACAAACACATCATCCTACCCTGCACCTTTCAACAACAAAGTAGATATTTCTCCCACCATGCCGTCACATCCCCGTCAACATCCAACTAGAAAAAAATCCTGCCTCACGTTCATAACAATGACATCTACAGTCCCAGAGTCTAAATCCCAACCACCCAGCCTCGAAGAACTAACACAGTACCTAGTACCAACCCCACAACTCAACACCTCCCTTCACAATCAAGTGGAGACCGCCTAGGACAATGAAGGTGTTATTCACTGCTCGGGTCTGTCTACCGATAAATTTCAGTTGCGTTGTGTGGAAGTGATATTCTCACTTCTTCTCCTCCTTTTTTGCATATTGGTAATGCTCTTGTGCATACTGATACCTTAGGAGTGGTCTGCTGAATGGATTATTTCTTGGTGGGTGGTCGGGCTATCACCTGTACTTGTTCTTGGTCTTGTTCTTGTTCTTGTTCTTGTTCTTCTTCTTGTCTATTTGATTGGATGAGATACTGAACGGGTTGGGTTAATTTACTTTACTCTACTTTGAGTTACAGTGTCGCTGCACGACGATATTATCAACAACATCCTCACCATGGCGTTTACTGGAAGGGTGAGTGAGCGAGGAAACAGGCTAACTGTGTTTGTTGTTGAGGGGTGTTTTTGCTAACGGTTCCTAGTTCTTGGCTTCTCCTTCGTATAGCGAGTCCACTGATTCCGGACATCGACTGGCGACTGGCGCCTTCGTCAGGCCCCGGCAGGTGGTCACTCCACCTCATGCGTTGGACGCTGAGGCGGAGCCCCTGCGGGCGGCTTTGGATGCTAGCCACGAAGAGGCTATCCAGATAAAGGCCCAGCTGAGCGACGCACGGAAGCGGATTACACTCGACGCGGAGATCATCCAGACTCTCCAGGCCAAGATCGACCAGCTGCAGGACGTCATCATGCAGCATAGGATGGCGACCAGCGGCCAAACCAAAGCATCCTCCGAGCCGAAGTACATCAAGAAGAACCACGAGTTCAGGTATTCGGCCAGTACGATTGCCCACCACACGACCATCTCATCCTCGCCATTCAGCACGCCCAGTGCCCGTCGGGGCGGGATCTTCAATCGGCCGCCGCCCAGGTTCAATATGCCATCGGGCGGGAGGGGCACCGACGCCAGAGCCGCTGTCGCGGTGACAGCTGAGCCGTCGCATTCGAGATGGCATGATCACAGTCCGCGCGACCTCTTCACGACTAGTCCGCAGCATGCGGCCCGAGGATCGGACAGCCCCAAGGGGCCCGTTGAATGGAGTAGCGTGATCGACCAGCTCGCCCACAGGTACCGGGAACTGTTCCGGAAAACGGATACATTCGGCCAGGTGCACGGTAATCTCCCCGACTTCGTGCAGGACATGGGAATGGAAGGGGCCGTCAAGGAGTATTTGATGACAATCTCGAACAAGAACCACGCCGCGTATCTGCTGGGAAACCCGTCCACCCGGTTCACGCTGCTAACGAAGGCGATCAACTACTACCTCGTCGGCGAGGCCCTCAATATCACGGCCGTCAGGGGATTCGAAGACAGCGTCGACATGGGAATTGAAGAGCTCAAGCAGCAGATCTGTCAGGGTAGGTTGCGTGTGTGGGTTTCTCATTCTGTCGTCTTTGTGCTCGCATAACATACTGACACTGTGAAAGACACTCCGCCCATGATCCACCACATGTTGATCAACGCCATGGTTGTGATCGTCGAGGGAGCCATGCAGGTGCCGGAATTCGCCGATTTCTCCAAGCAAAAGGCGCAAGCTCATGTCAAGATGCTATGGCAGTGCATCGGGCCGCTCACCAACGACCCGAACAACGTGCACGGGCTGGCTTGGGCAGATCTTACCACGATCATGTCCGAAGCCCAGAATCTTGCCGTCGACATGTTCAGGCATGCGTTCGAATACCGCTTCAACTTCCCTGAGATCAACGAACCGTTCAACCCCGCGACGATGATCAATCGCGACTACTTCATCAAGGGGGATCCGTTGGCGTTGAAGAACAACGACAACCGCGTGGGATTGGGGATCACCCCGATCATCGAAATCTGCGACCTTGCGGAGCAAGGGAGCAAATTGGTGTCTTTGGCCGACGTCTTGCTGCTGCCGTCGCCCGGCCACTAACGGTCGTCTTGTCCGCCAACAAGAAGCCAGACCGGGGGGGCGACGGCAGCTGGCTGTCTTGTCTCTTGGTTGATTGCTCGTCATTGGGTAATGATGTAGGTTGGCGTTCTCTTGTGGAGTTTGGTGGCCAATGGATCTGTAAATAGTCTCTGTGAGATATGGCTCAAGAGTTCAGGAGGTGTTTTGCGAGCCAAGGCGTTTTGTATTTCAAGCTACTGTCCGTCGGAAAATATTGGTCCAAGAGCCGAGAGTGAGAGACGAACTAAGAGAACAGAAATCCAAGAATGGAAGTATGAGGTTTCTCTCAGCGTTGTTGCACCATGTTCGTAGACGGAGTAGGGAAGTAAGTAGATAGGGAACTAGGGAGGGCAGGGGAGAGGAGGGGAGATTTGTGAAACCACACATCCTCCCCCAACAATATGCTTCTTGCACAGCCGCTGGGCTGCAGCATTCACCGCTGGAATCATCATGGCCGTGTTACCGCAGCGAGGGCGTGGCAGCGCGCACGGGGAGGCCTGGAAGAAATGCCGTGGTGGTTCTCCGCCGCGCCCAACGCTCGGCCCGCAAAATCAGCAGCCCCCGCGGATTCCCGATAAAAGGCAGGAAACCTTCTTCCTACTTCGTGTCCGGCGCCTCCTCGTGCTCGTGTTTTGCGCTCTCCCAAACTTCTCGCCTCTCCTCATACCAGCCTGCCAATGCCCCGGCATTCATGATTGGGTCTCCCGCCAAGCGAGTCTCCGTCCAGGCCTGGACCCTGGCCGACCAGTATCGTAAGCCTCCCCCAGATTCTCTTATCTCCGCGCCTCAAGCGCCCAGCCAGATCGGCCTGGAGTTGCGTGGTCGTCCTGCATTCGCGCCTCAACCACCACTGACTTGCCTGTTTGCGTCTAGTCTACATCATCTTGTCCCGGCCTCGTTATTACTCCAGCAAGTACATCGTTCCAGACGACATCCGTCCCACCAAGCGTCGCGAATTCCACGACTATTTCGTCACTCATTTGCCTTCCTCCTCCCTTCACCCGGATCCCCGAGGTCCGTTGACGCCCTTCCACAAACTCCCTCGTTCTGCCTCAGTTCCTCATACGGGCGAGATCTCCCATTCTCCGACCGCATTTCAGCCCTTGGTCGACCGAGATACCACCGTTGTTCGCATCCCACTGCGGAGCGCGAAGCACCACTTTGGCGCTCACAGTTCCCGTGGCACCCGGCCTTACAATGAAGACGCCTATCAGGCTGGTGTCATCGATCTACCCTCCTTTGCGAAGCGTCCGCCGGCCTCTTTGACTATCAGGCGCACTGGCGCAAACCCTGCCCCCAGGGAGAGTCGCGGGGCCGACACTGCGAGCGGGGATCCACAGGTCTTCTACTTTGGTATCTTTGACGGCCATGGTGGGACGGAATGTAGTACGTTCTTGAAGGATTGGCTACACGAATACATCCAGGATACTGCGGCTGCGTTCGAGTTGCAGTCCAGTCTACGACAAGACCGGAGCGGCCACTTTCCGCGGGGCGCGGAGCCCTCATCGGGAGCGCTGCCGATCGTCCAGGGCGGTAACTCCAAGCGAATCGAAGAACTGGAGAAGATCCTGGTGCAGAACTGGAAGACGCTGGTCGGAGGTTATTTCAAGAGATTTGTTCCGGCCCACTTTTCGCATTCTGGAAAAGACTTGACGGTCGAGGGGGATGCGGGTAAGGGGGTCACCATCGAGGAGATACTGGAATATGCATTTCTCCGGACCGACCTGGAGTTTGTCTCGGCGCAAGCGGCCAAGCGAGACGATGATTTTATGAAGGTCGGTCAGCCGATGCATCAGGATGATATTTTGTACGGACCCAACCACACGCGATCGTTGAACATTGGCGGAGTCAATCGCTTCAAGGGGGGCAGCACGGCCAGTGTTGCGCTCATCTCTACCCCGACACCGATGCCGTTTTGGCATCCGAATGCTCCGTCCAGCCTACTTGTGTCGCACGTCGGAGATACTCGGATCCTCTTATGTTCCACTGAAACAGGTCAGGCCATTCCGGTCACATCCAACCATCATCCCTCGTCTCCCGTCGAGGCCAGTCGGTTGCGACGGTACGCCGCCACGTTCGTGACAGACTCTTTTGGAGAGGAGCGGATGAGCGGGCTGGCCAACACCCGGTCCTTCGGGGATGTCCAGTCCAAGCGCATCGGCGTCTCGGCGGAACCGGAGATCCACCGCATCGAGATGGGACCGGCCGAGTACTCGTTCCTGGTGCTGATGTCGGATGGGGTCAGCGGCACGCTGCTAGATCAAGAAGTCGTCGACATCGTCAAGGAAGCAAGGACCCCGGACCAGGGCGCTCGTGATGTGGTCAGCTTTGCGACCGAGGTGACTCGCGAGGGCGACAATGCCACCTGCCTGGTGGTCCGATTAGGCGGTTGGGAGCGACGGCTGGAGGGAGGACTCGGCAGCTTGGGGACGAAGGAGTCTCGAGAATGGCGTCGGCAAGAAGCGACAGATCCGCGCAGGTCACGGAGATGATAATGACGATTCCCCTAGAAAATGCCCGTTGTACATAGCTTATTTTCATGCGTCTCGTTTTGTCCGTGCTGCTCGGAAGACTTGGCTTCTGCTTTATTGTACATATGCACTATCCTTGACATCTAATTTCTTTTGTTATTTCTGCTATTACCGCAAGTGTAAGGTTGCCGGAATGGTTGTGCGTCATGCTGGGTAGCATAAGTATATCGTGGTTAGGCCCAGCCCGGAAGCAAAGGAATGCACGGTTGGCCGCAAGCAGAAAGCTTCTCCTGACCATGCTAGCTCTTTTTCTAACACTTCATCACTTGGAATCTGTCCACTTGGCATCTACAGGAGAAACCCTGGGTTGATCTTCTGGACCAGTGCAATTTCCTCATCTCCGGAGTGCAGCGGAGATTGACGAGACCGCCATCGTCAGTGGCTCCTTCTTATCACCCCCCAACCTTATCGCCAAACCTCACACATGGCCATTTGACTCTCCTGACTGACCTCGTCTTCCTCCCAGGCGCTGCTCAAATCTTTTCAGCATCCCTCTCCCTGACCCTTAGTGCAGCTGCATCGATTCCGGTTGTTTCCTACACCCTCGTGGTTCGTTATTTTTTCTGTCCTGGCGCGTCGCAAGAGCGAGAGGTACGTGTTGCACAGAGCTTTCAGGAGAATTCCCGGCACCGTCATCTTCCCCTCCAGCCTCGCCTTATCCTCGTGGCCAATTTTGGTGAGACACGGTTGGACGTGCTAACAGTCTTTGCTCCGTCCCTCTAGTTTCCTAGTCTAACTTATTTTTGTTTCTCCGATCGACCTGAAGCTTGCTGCGGACACGGTCCACTCGCCATCCGTCGTGGAACCCCTCGGATAGAGCGTCTTTCCTCCGTCAACTCCCAGTCGTCAGACGTCCTCTCCTTTCAGCTTGCCGAAAAATTCCCCTTCTGTCAATTCACTTCTGCTATTACACTTTCCCGCCAAGATGAGCCCCCGAACCCGATCACAAAAAGCCGCCGCCGAGCTAGTAGCAACCGACCCATCGCCAGCGGTCAACGGCACCCTCCAGGAGTCGTCGAAAGGCAGCGGAGTGGACGCTGCCAATGACGATGTGCAGGAGAATGTTTTCCTCTTCGCTCCGAACCTAATCGGTAAGATCCCCGCGACGCTATCGCAGTGGGCCAAAGCCTAACTTCGAGGGATTAGGATATGCGCGTGTTGTGTTGACGATGGCCTCGCTCTACTATATGCCCCTACACCCGCGGACGTGCTCCCTTCTATACAGCGTGTCGTGTCTGTTGGATGCCCTGGACGGATATGCGGCGCGGTACTATAATCAGTCCACTACCTTTGGTGCGGTGCTGGACATGGTGACAGATCGGTGCACGACCGCGTGCCTGTTGGTGTTCCTGAGCTCCGCCTGGCCGCGGTGGGCCATCATCTTCCAGAGCTTGATCGCTCTGGACATGGCCAGTCACTACATGCACATGTACGCGACTCTTAGCATGGGTGGCTCCAGCCAGAGCCACAAGAAGGTGGAGGCTAGCCGGAGCTGGGTTCTGTACCAGTACTACCACAGCAGGGTTCGTCTGTCTCTGAGATTTCTTGGTTAACATGCTAACAAGCTCCACAGACGGTTCTGTTCATTTGCTGCGCGCTGAACGAGCTGTTCTTCATCGGACTGTACCTGCTGTCGTTCTCCTCCCCCACCTTGTCCCCGTCCCTCCTGCAGCCGGTGAGCACCGCTAGCCCCTGGAGTGCGGGTGCTCTCGAGATGGCCCGGGCGAACAAGATTGACAGCTTCTGGCCCTGGGTGATCACGGGTATCTCGGCCCCCGTCATGGCCCTCAAGCAGTTCATCAACGTGGTGCAGCTGGTCAAGGCGAGCAAGTGGCTGGTGGAGGGTGACATGGCCAGCCGCAAGGCCTTGCGCGCTGGCAAGAAGAACTGAGTTGATGTGAGTTCGTGGCTTGAGCTTCCTTGGAGTCGTCAAGTCAAGCTATAAATACCCCCTTTGGGTTATATTCGGTTCTGTGGATTGACGGTTCTCCGGCCGGTCCAAGGCATTCTGCATGGTTCTGGTGCTCTGGTTGTTTCTGGACAGTTACGACCTCTTCATACTTCTTTTCTTTCTTGTTTCCGGTTCGAGGATATCGGTCATGTTTTAGTATATGTGATGAGGGTGGTATATGAGGCTGGTGTACAGACGTCTCTGGACAAAAGCGAGACGAGTGGGGGTATGCTTTGTTGAGTGGTTCTACGTGCATGGCTTCTTTCTTCTTGTTTCATTGTTCGTGTTCTTTAAATTGGCGCCGCCACGTCGATAGCATTTTTAATCTGGACCACGAGAGTGGACACCTTTAATCCTTGTGAGTCAGTAGAAACTCCGGTGGTAAGCGTGGGTAAAAGTACAGACGCCGGGCTAAACCGAGCGCAGCCTAGGGCCGGCAGTGGCTCCGGTGTCGGCGCGGGGAGACTCGCCAGCTGCCCCCGCCAGTCCGTATAAGTTTATACCTCACCCTCCGTCCTCACTCGTCGATTTCCCGTGCTAAACTCCCTGCTTCTCATCATGTCTGCCTTCAACGTCGTCGTTTTTGCCGGTGACCACTGCGGTCCCGAGGTGAGCTGCATCCGACCTCAAGCCAGACCATTGACTAACCCATTGCTTCCTAGGTCACTGCCGAGGCCATCAAGGTGAGCAGCTACGCTCAGCTACGCCAGCTGCGATTCGAGCTTATTCTCCGAGACACGCAACAATTCTAACTGTCCCCGTCACAGGTCCTCCGTGTCATCGAGAAGAGCCGCGATGACATCACCATCAACCTCCAGGACCACCTGCTCGGCGGTGTACGTCCCCTCGCCGCACTGTCTACACCCCCATACTGACACATCCAGGCCTCCATCGATGCCACCGGCATCCCCTTGACCGACGAGGCCCTGACCGCCGCTAAGAACGCCGACGCCGTTCTCCTGGGCGCCATCGGTGGACCGGTACATCCCCAATACCCTCCCCAACCACAACAACAAGAACAAGAACAAGAAGAACACCACTAACCCGTCCAGAAATGGGGCACCGGCGCCGTCCGCCCCGAACAAGGTCTCCTCAAGCTCCGCAAAGAGATGGGCACCTTCGGCAACCTCCGTCCCTGCAACTTCGCCGCGCCCTCCCTGGTCGAGCACTCCCCCCTGAAGGCCTCGGTCTGCGAGGGCGTCGACTTCAACATCATCCGCGAACTGACGGGCGGAATCTACTTCGGCGACCGCAAGGAAGATGACGGTAGCGGTTACGCCATGGACACGGAGCCCTACTCCCGCGCTGAGATCGAGCGCATCACTCGTTTAGCCGCCCACTTGGCCCTGCAGCACAACCCCCCTCTCCCTGTGTGGAGTCTCGACAAGGCCAACGTCCTGGCCACTAGTCGGTTGTGGCGTAAGACCGTCACTGAGGTCATGGCTAAGGAGTTCCCTCAGCTGAAGATCGAGCATCAGCTCATTGACTCCGCCGCGATGATCATGGTGAAGGAGCCCCGTAAGCTGAATGGTATCATTGTCACGAGCAACCTCTTCGGTGATATCATCAGTGATGAGGCCAGTGTTATCCCTGGCTCGTTGGGTCTGTTGCCCAGTGCTAGTTTGAGTGGTATTCCTGATGGAAAGACTCGTGTTAATGGTATCTATGAGCCTATTCACGGTATGTATTCCACCCTTCTGTTTGAGGGTAAATGTGGTTGGGGATTGGGCTAATGGAGTCAGGTTCCGCCCCTGATATCGCCGGCCGCGGCATCGTCAACCCCGTCGCTGCTATCCTCTCCGTCGCTATGATGATGCAATACTCCTTCGGTCGGTTCGACGAGGCCCGCGCCATCGAGGCTGCCGTGCGCAACGTTCTCGAGTCTGGTATCCGTACGGGCGATATTGGCGGTAAGGCTACGACCAAGGAGGTCGGTGATGCTGTTGCTGCCGAGCTGGAGAAGCTCCTGAAGTAGGTGTATGGGTTGGAGAGAAAGGCATGATACGAAAAGTATTTTTGGGCGGATTGCCGCATGAGATATGACCGATCTAATTAAAATATTGATTAATCACTACCCTTGGTTCCTTCAATATGTAGAAATAGTAGACTCTCTTAGCCACCGCCAACAACATCCAAAACTAAGTATGAAGACCGATCGGATTCATATGAATTTCTCAAACTGATGTTCTCCAATGGTCAGGTATCTTCTTCGAGTCTGCCCTCACGCATAGCCACGGCCACCGGGTTTTCAACTTTGATGATGCCATTTTCCCGAAGTCTGTCGTATATTAGTTATCGAGAAGATATATTTATAGATAGGAATTATACAACCTTTCAAATTGAACAAACAATCTTTCTGCCTCACGCTCCTTTTCTTCCGGTGTCATTTCCGGGAGGTTTGGCTGTGTTTCCATATCTCTTCTTTGACCAGTAAGAGGATTGACGTCAAGACTCATGCTGTTTACTATCCACGGTTGATTGCTGTTGACGTCTTGCACCTCACGGCCCTGGCCTCCTTCCTCTTGCCCAACATTCCTTGCAGGGTTATGTGTGAATGGTTGCTTCCCCATAGAGTATAAGTAGCCAGAAGCATATCCATAGCCGATATTATGAATCAGTTGCTTTTCGTCATTATTAGATAGCTCAAACAGAAGTCGCTGGATGAGGATCCTCAGTGGGTCGGCACTTATTGAGGTGGAAAGCCTCAAAAGCCTGGATGACAGCGAGTTGCCCGTACCAAGGATGCTTTCGCGGTCTTTATCAGTCGGTAGAAGAAGAGTCTGAAGAAGTGCCTTGATGCCGGTAGGGGCAGTCTGTGAGATAAGAAATAGCACCTGCATGAGTGGTGAACAAGATTTACCCAACTCATCTTCTGCGTAAGCTTGAGTGGCGAGATCTAGTATATGTACCAATCGGGTAATGTGGACTTCTTCGTACGGAATTGGCGCAGAATGTGACGTATCGTCAGGTATGAGGAATACTAGACAGTCAATCAAGGTTGATATCGGTGTCTGTAGAGGGCGGAGTGGTATTTCCAGAGTGCTGAGAATTTGCAGGATGGGCTGGCGAGAAGCGTGGAATGCAGAGGATTGAAGGGGATAGGAAGCTGCTATATTGCAGGTGAGCTTGAGAATCTCGCACAGGGCATCGGTTGCGAGGTTTGTTGTTGGACGACCAATTGGTATGTTAACGAAGCGCGATATACTCTATAGCAGAATGCATTAGTTCTGACGCATGGCAAGCTTATTTTATCGATTGTGATCAGGGTTGTGAAGCCTACAGCGTTGATAGTATCTGCCATCATAGCGACATCAACTTCGTAATTCGTAGGCTTGGACGTACAGAGAAATAGTAGCCTAGCCGAGAGGAATTTATTGACAGGGTCATCTTTCTAGCGAAGGATAAGTAAGAGATGTTCAAAGAAATAGGTATGTCCTGTCATCGGTTCGGGGAGAGTATATCACCTGTAGCAGTAGTATAGCCAATTCAGGATAGCCTTGATCTACGAAAATCTGCTTTGCTGGCGTTGAAAGTAAGATTATGTTGCTAAGGCACCGTAACGCAATCTGGCTGGTAAGGTTTGAGCGAGTATCGAAGGCATAATGGCGGAGGATAGAGAGACAGCGCTCCGTTGAGAGGGGTTCTACTTCGCCACCGTTCACGATGTAATTTCGCAGCGTCTCGAGCTTTTCTGACACGTCTGTATTGTCCGATACTGAAGATTAGCTCGATTTGGCTATGGGAAGTGCAATAGACTGAAGAACTTTCCTTCCCAGGGTAGATCTGCTCCTGCGGGGTCCAGGTCATCTAATAGACCAAGGTCACTTGCCGTTCCTAAGAAACGTTAGGTCCTAGAAGGATTTACAACGGGTCTGAGATAATAATATAGCCAAGCATACGTGAGTTAGACATCTGGTAACTAAGTGCAGGTAGTGAAGCTAAGGTGTTCCGTGGATTCATGGATCCCTTTATGAGGAGGAAATGGTGGTAGAGTGGTAGATGCGCTTTCATAACCCGGCGCTATTTTCAACCGGAGAAATGATGGGCCAACCATAGTCGCAAAGCGTTAACGCTATGCAGCAAGCAACATTCTCATACTCCGGTGCCAAGTGTAGCATGAATCTCCCGTAATGTTCGAGGCAGAACAGAGTACTAGGGAGGTGGACATCGCACCTGGAAGCATAATAGAGCGTACCCTTCACATGGGTCACAGCGCCAACATGGGCTCACGGATAGATGAGGAATGTACGGGGTGGTCTCTCCATTAATCCCTTTGATTAGCTAGGCCGCAAACAGCATACAGGTGGCTGCCTATAATCAGATCGTGCCTTGGTGCAAGACCATCGTGTATCATTAATACAATAATAAAAGGGTATCTACCGAACCGAACTGAACTCCGTAATGCGATCCATCCCAACCCCGGACATGCACATACAGTCGAAGAAACCGCCTACCGAATAACAGGCTCGCCCATCCAATCCGGCTCCTCGAGACTAGTCACCACTTTGGCGCGCGCCTCAGGACCCTCCATCTCCTCCTGCGTACTGCCTCTCAACGACCGTCGCGCACTGTGTCTCCGGACGCGGCCATCCGCTGACGCCGAGGGAGCATTGCCCACTCTCTTTCTCTCGTCGTCTCTAGCAAAGACCTGAAATCCACGCACGTGCGTATCTTTGCCGTTCTGGTGGTTCTCGATCACGCGCATCTGGATGACCATTGCTTTGAGGACGTTGCCTGCGTAGGGGTCGTTCTCTTCGTCGTCGTCCTCGTCGTCATCACTGTCCCCATCATGGTCCTCGAGAATGTGGCTCCTCTTCATTATCCCCTTGGGTTTCATCTTCCCTCCAACTCCAGCCCCAGCCTTCCTCCCACCACCAGTAGCAGCACCACCACTCTTCCCAGTCCTAACCCACCCCCCACTTCTACCCCCCACGCCCTCCAACTCCACATCAACCCAACCACATGGCCCCTCGCCCTCCCAATTGGCAAACTCCACCAGATCATTCCCTCCCATCCCAGCCAAAAAGGTCATCTTGGTCGGGGTATAACTCTCATCCATCTCGAAATCCAGATACACACGGATGCGCACGATTGCGACTAGTTTGAAGAAATGGAGGGTGAGAGTGTGGGGTTGCGGGCCGTCAGATTGCCAGTATTGTGAGGGGGAGGGGTGGCGGAGAGCAGAGACCCCGCAGCCGGGTTTGTGGGTTGAGACGGTCCAGCTGGCGAGGGAGGAGATTTCGCGGAGATTGGGGGGGAGGGGGGTGGGGGACTTTTCTAGTTAGATATCGTTAGTATTGAGTTGGGGGGATGTAGGGGGGAAGGAGAAGGGGAGGGGGAGGGGGCATACCGCGGTCGTGAAGCATCTCCGAGTCGGTACCCGGTTCAGGTTCTACCTCCTCTTCGTCAATTTCTTCCTCTTCGTCGTGATCGTGTTCTGGCTCTTGTTCGACCTCTTCGATCTCTGAGGGCTCGTCACGATCATGTATATCCTGCGTGGAGAGTAGTTCATCCGAGGAGACAGAGCGTGCGTGAAGCCGACGGTGGTGATGTCGTTGACGAAGACGATTGAGTTGATCGTGGTCCTGTTCATGTACATGTTCGCTAGGTCCTTCGTCGTAATCATCTTCCAGGACATCCTCCTCATCGTCCTCGTCCATCATCTGGTCGCCTGGGTGGTTCGATGGTCGGCCATGCACGCCGCGTCCGAAGAGCGAGAACAGCGCGGCGGTTGCGGCGGGGTGGTGGGCATGTTGGCCTGGGTGGCTATGAAGAGGATGATCGGGGTCGATGGGTCCCGAGGACGGATGCAGTTGAGGGATGGAGAGGCCCTGCGACGGAGGGGTTTGCCATTGCGCGTGGTGGCCGAGGCGCGAACGGCTGGCGCGTTGGGGAGCCGGGGGCGGTTGCGGGGGGTGGTGGTGGGTGGTGGCGTTGTCGGAGGGGGATGTGGTGTCAGGGGCGGGATGCCGACGGAGCAGATGATGATGACGGGGCATTTTGGCTCGGAATGAGAGTGGTTAGGGTAAATTGGCCATGTTGGAGGTGAGGGGAGAGTGAGGAGTGTGATTCTGAATGCGGAACTTCATCATGGCTGTTATCGGTCACGTGTTCGTTATCAGTGACTTCGCTGAGCAGTTACAACTTACATGGGAGGTTCAGTGAGTTCAGTAACAGTAGGTATTAGATCAGCATAGCTGAATGTACAACGGTATATGATACAAAAGTAACCGCAGCCAGCGGTGCATTGGTCTAAAACGGCTTTTAAATCCCACCCATTTTCTCTAGTGATCAGCGTCCACGTATCCCAATCTCTCACCCATCTTGATACGCTGGCCCTTCTCAATGGACCAGTTCCATCCGCCCTCGCGGTGACCTTCCTCCCAGCCGGCATCGAACGACTTGCGAGTACCCACCGGGGCCTCAAACACCAGCACAATCGAACTACCCAGCTGGAACCCACCCATCTCTTCACCACGCTGGAGCGGATGACCGCCCAGGGTTCGGCTGGCGTGAAGGTAGGTTGCCTCGACGAAACCGGGGTACTGCTCGCCGCGCTTGGCTGCAGCGGCGGCCGCCATATCAGCCGCAGTGTCGGTGGTCAAGCTGTTGGTACGCAGTTCGGCATCAAAGTTCACCTTGATCGAGCCCACATTGGTGGCGCCCACAGGGGTGTAACTGAAAAAGCCCCAGCGCCAGCGGCCGAGCAGCACGACACGTTCATTAAGGGTGAACAGGCCCGGCAGGTGGCGCTGCAGGTACGGTGACACTGAGAACAATTCACCCGCAAAGTGACGGCGGCTCTGCACCACCCACGGCACCGGCGAGTGGAACCGATGGTAATCACCCGGAGCGAGGTAAATCACGACATAGTAGAGAGCGTTGTTCGAGGTCGGCTTCGGGGCGTACCACGGCGCACCATCCCCAAGAGCCAGGTCGGCCTTGACTTCAGCCTCCGCGGAGGCTTTGTATGGGGTGGAGGCATCGATGGACGCTGAGCGCTTCCGTGCACCGCCCTGGTCTCCTGCCAGGAGGGTCGGGAGCGTGTAAGAGATACCATTCATTTTGGCAAACTCGGCATCCGCTAGCATCTTGGCCTCGTTTTTCTGGGCCGGCTCTCCCTGGTGGTCTGTAAACTTATCGGTGTGGTCTGCGTGGTTCGGGGTCGCAGCACCTAGTAGGGCATCCAAGCTGTATGTGACACCCTTGACCTGCTCAACCTCGCCACGTTCGATCAATCCAAATTGCAAAATGCGGCCATCGGAGGGTGCGAGAATAGCACGAGTGTCGGGGTCCAGGGGGCGGACACCGGGTTTCAGTTTGCGATAGAAGAAGGCCGCCAGGTTCGGGTAGGTGTGAAGATCGGGTTCCGCAACCTCATCCAGGTTGACGCCAAAGACCCAGGAGTAGAGCTTGAAGCCTGGCACACGCAGATAATAAGGCAGCTCAATCTCGTTGAAGCGTCCCCACAGTCGCGACATGGCCTTGAGCGGCAAGGTGGACATGATCTGGACCTGCCATGGTCCACTCAAACGGTGCTTCGGACGGGCAGGGGCTCTTTCAAAATCAAAAGACTCGCCGGCAGCTTCTCTCTCGGCGCGTTCGCGTTCGGCACGCTGGGCCTTGTAGAACTGCAACAAGCCCAGCAGGCCGATGCCGAGACCAATAGGGATGGGATACCATTCGACCTTGGTGTTGCGCAGAGCAAAACGGAGGCGGGAGCCGAAAGTGCTTCGGGGAGGGTTTTCGTGGGAGTTTTGGTGCTGATACTGCTTCCAGGACTGTGAAAACTGCCTGGCACCGGCCTTACGACGACCAGTGGCCCGCAACGAAACTTCCATCAATCCTACCTTCTCCCCATGAGGGGAGACTGTGAACTTCCGGCGACACAGTGCAGAACGGCTGGACAGGCACAGGGCCATAATGCGGTTCTACTTGGAGCAAGTCATCCCAGAGGGGGAACCAAAGCAACGAGTGCGAAACACCGGCCCTCAAGCACGTGAAAGGACCAACGGAGGCAGAGGCTGTGAATTGCAGGATCAGATCGACAATCTCATGACAGCCACAAAAACCCGTGATCGGCATCGCGTCTTTCTCACCGCCAGGCAGAATCCCCTCGTCCGCGCGGCTTCTCCTCCGTGAGCTGCCAGTCGCTCACGTTCCCATCCGTGAGGTGGTGTTCTTCTTTCGTGACGGGCAGCCGGTTGCTGTGGTTGATCCTGGTATCTCTGGTGATACTTTCCGTCGTTTTGCGCTCTATCTGGCCTGCGTGGTGGTGGGTGTGAACCGTCGCGTGTCGAAAAGGACACCGTCATCATTCCGGCTTCCTTCCGGCTTCTTCTATACTTCCGGTGGACCCAGCTGCCCAACTCGTACTTCCTGCCAGTTGTCTGTCATTCATTGGCATTATATTCACTTTTGCTAAAGAACCAGATTTACTTCTTCCAGGTCTTTACTCGCTCTACTGCATGGCTATTGCATCCACGATTATGCGCCTGTGATCAGTCACTTCCTTCCACCCATCACCCATCAGGACAGCACGATTCCAGAATGGCCTCATCTGAAAACCCGTCCGCTGTGACGGAATCGCAGAGCATTGCCTTGCATGTGTTGTGTCCATCCTTGCCTCCCCCAAACCGGTTTACGCTCAACGACCTGTCTCCGTCCATCACCATCGCCGCTCTCAAGGCGCGAATCGCCCAGACAATCCCCAGCGAACCGTCACCCGAGAGTCAGAGGTTGATCTACCGGGGAAAGCCCCTCACAAATGATGCTGTGGCGCTGAGGGATGTGCTCGAGCCGTCCAACGTGAGTTGCCCTGATGTCTTCGTTCGCGTTCGGCAGATTCATTAACAGCAATGCTGCTCAGGACCCCGAATATTCCATCCACCTCGTCCTTCCTCCTGCCCCAGCACCCCATGCGACCAGCTCCGCTAGAGCTCCTGCGCCGATACCCCGGGCAGCTGGCATGCCTGCGCCTCAAAGTCCATTTGCGTCAAACCGATTCCCCCCGCAACACGTCCCGCATGGGCAAGAACTCCGGTACCGGGGTCCCGCATTGCCCGCAGTTCCCCATGAAGCGGAGATCGGGCTTGCTTTGCGACGGAATATCGAGGCGATTCGCCGGCAGATTGACATGCAGGAACGAGTTGGGCCGTTGGGAGGCGTAGCGGCAGGTACCGCGGGGGCTACTTCCCACTCGTCAACCACAACCACATCGTGGACTCAGATGACTCCGGGCCTGTCGCATCCAGGACATTCATCCATCACCTCATCTGAGTCCACGACGTCTAGTAGCAATCTCCCTGAAGAAGTCCGGCTGCGCCTACAGATCCTCAGACATCAGATTGGTTTTGGAGAAGAGCAACTGAATCGTGGGGTTGCGCCCCCGATGGACCATATTATCCGGATCCGGACGCAACTGTTCGCTCTGCTCGACGACCAGTACCAGAATCCGCATGCTGAACGTGATGGCTCGATCGAAGCGCTGCTTACCCGTGTCTTCAACATCTACACTCGCGCCGATCAACTACGCGTCTCCCACGCCCGGACTTTCCCCACCCCAATTCTATCCGGTCCTCCCCCGAACCCTGCCCCTGGACAGGCTCCTTTGTACCTGCTTTCGTCGCCCAATGGATATCAAGCCTTGGTTGCGTCTCCGCGAGGCGCGGAGACTATGCACTCGTCCATTGATGCGCTTCGTGCTATGCACTCCCCGATCACAACCTCTGCGCCCCGTGCTGGTGCCCCCCCCGAGCTGCACAATGCGAACGCCGTTGTCATGGAGAATATTGTCCGTCAGGCGGTGCTCAACCAGCGTGTGGAGAACAACGGGCAGATGAGCTTTGCGCGGAACATGCGACGTATCTGGCTGTTTGTGCGGCTGTACTTCTTCTGCTACATGTTTAGCGAACCCGGCACGTGGTCACGTGTGCTGTTTGTGTCTTTGGCCGTGCTTGCAGCGCTCTTATCAGAGACCGGGATCCCGCAGCAGCTGTACCGGCTGCTTGTGGCGCCGGTGCAGCAACATCTAGAAGGGCTGGTACATTTTGCTCCGGACGACCGGGCACCCTCAGGCACAGACAGTCAAGGCTCTGGGACTAGAACTGAGCCAGCCGGTCCACCCACGGGGCTGCGACACCAGCTTCGACGAGTGGAACGGTCGTTGGCGCTCTTCATTGCGAGCTTGGTTCCAGGCGTGGGCGAACGACACGTCGAGGTGCGCAACGCTGCCGAGGCCGCCCGGAACGCCGAGCGCGCGCGAGAGGAAGAGGAGCGGCGTCGACGGGAGGAGGCCAACAGTCAAGGCACCAGTGGCGACGCGCAGGCGCAAGGAAACAGCGGAGAAAGTGGCGAGAGCAGCGGAGAGAGAGCTGAGAATGGACCCAACACGATACCCCAAGCTGAGAATTAGCCACCTGGCTCGATCTGACTACTAAGTATAGTTGGCGTTCGGGTCTTCCTATGATGTATGATAGCTGCAATTCATGACCACGTCTCGTGGCATCTAGTCTATCACTTATCTCTAAGCTGATCCGATACCCCTCCTCTCCCCCCTCTTTCTCTGGCAGATAGAGAGCCAAAGATCACAATTTACTCCCCGCCGTCTCAACCGAAGAATCCAAGCTCGTCGTCGGAGTCGCCGACGGATCTGCCATAGGGCCCGTATCAAACGACTCGTCACCACAGAAGTGCCTACACCATAATAACCATTAGCAACCATACCCTCTTCCCCTTCCCCTCCCCAACCAAAGGCAAAAAAACGAAAGAGAAAGAAAAGGAAAAGAACATACCACCCCCTCTCCGCCCCATGACTCAAAAACCCACAATCGCCATTCCTCACACACTCCCACCCACCACCAACACCCCTTCCCCCCATCCAATCCGGAACATAGACCCCATCCCTCAAAACCTCCGTCCCTGGCGCAAGAACCTCCTTGATATCCCTTCCCTTCCCATCCCCATCCCCATCCCCCTTCCTATCCCATGAACTCCTCCGCACAAACATACTAATCCCCGCCGTATAAACCCTAAAATCCTCAACGCCTTCATCCTCCGGCATGTTTCCCGTAAGAACCCTCCCCATGGCGATCAAGGGGGCAGCATGCGAGCAGATCAGGACTGCTTTACTGGTTCGTTGCTCGGGAGGGAGGGGGGCTTCGAGATGAGCGATTTCGGTGTCCAGGGTGGAGATTAGGGTGGATAGGGTGGTGGCGATGCGGTTGTGTAGTTGGGGGATGGTTTCGCCTTGGGTGGAGGGGTTGAGGATGGGGGTGGGATGTTGGGGGGGAGGGGAGGGGGAGGAGG